TTTATTCTTTTGAATGCTTCGAGTATTTTTAATATATATCCTTTGTATTCCTTCTTTCTTTGAAAGAAGATTAAGATATCATTCAGATAACAAATTATAAATGAATTAAATTTTTTGAATATCTTGTTGTTCTGTTATTGATATATAATCGATATATTAGTTAAACCGAATAATATAATTATATATTTTTATAAATCTAATAATAGAATAAAGATTGTCTTTCATTTGTAATTTTCTTTTATTTATATCAAATTGAAAACATTTCTTTGATTTAATTTCGTATAGATTACAATTTTATTCAATTTATCCTTGAATTCCTAGGCTTTTGATATTGAATATATATCTCTAATTGTTCTATTGTTAATTTGATAATAATCTTTGTAAAGCTAATTATCTAGATTATTTTTCTTAAATATTAATAATATATTGAATATATAAAGGGATTTGGATTTTCTAATCCATCTTTTCTTCTCAATTTTAATTCTATATTCTTTCCACATCTATATAATACTAGAATTATATAACCTCAACTTTTCAATAAAAAATACAAATCCCTTTTTGAAATTGATCTTATAATTCCAAGATTTATATTCTGATAAAACCCTCAAATCCTATAGGTTTTCGAAAAATTTGACAAATCTTTTGTATTATATTAGAATTTCTTTTTTATCAATTTTATCGATCAATAAAGGATTTGTTATTATTATAATATAATATTCAATCTTTTCAGAAGTTTATTTCTTCGGATTATATAATCATTTGTTATTACAATTATAACAATTAAATATTAAAATATCTTTTACCCAATCAATATTTGAATTATATTTCTTAATTCATAGAATATCGAGAATAATTGTATATCTATCTAATAGCATTAAGTTCATTTTGATTTGTTCAATATATTTATCTAATATAATTATTTTAATAATATTAATTTTTTTATATATTTAATTATCAATTCCAATTTTCTTTCCTTCTAATAATATTAGCTAATAAAGATTCTGTTTTAATTTTGTAGGAATTCTATTTTCTTTAACAAAATTGAAATCTATGAATATATTTATAACTTCAAAATCAATCAAAATATTTGTTTATTGATTCTCTAATTTGATTTCTATAATCAATTACTCAATTCTTATAGTATTATTGAATTCTAATAATAATAATTTGATGATTTGTTCTTCAATAAAAAGATTTAATTATTCCTATTGATATTTGTTTATACTCAATAATCGGTAGAATATAATGAATAGTAATTCTATTGGTTCTATTTGAAAATCTCGATAATAATCCTGATTTGATACTTTTTTGTTATTTTTGTTGATCCTTTATTAGATATAATAAATCCCGATTTATAATAAGATTTCCTATACCTCTTTAATTTCTAGATTATATTCGTTATGTTCTTATATTTCATCGAAAGATGAAGAATCTATATCCGCGATATACCTTTTGGTATTGTTTGCCTTAATATTTTCTTTAAATATTATATAATAAATATCATTATATATTATTATATAAAATACTAACAAAATAAGATAATCATAGATTTTATATTTCTTAATGAAATCAGATTTCTTTTCTTTATAATAATATTATATCCATTTCTTATCTAGATAACTAATTAGATACTATAATTCATTTTCCCGAAATAAATAATAGGATTCAATTAATCGTTGATCCTCCTCGAATTCTTTATCTTCTAATTTGAAATCTTTTGAGAATTCTTTTTTATAATTGATACTATTCTTAATATTAGTTTTAAAGTTTTGATTATTGATATCCAATTCCTTTAATTGTTCAGGATTAAATTGAGATAATTTTCTTTCCAATAATCCTATTTCTCTCGAATTTCCTTTTAAGATCCCTGTTTTTCAAGAATCTTGTTTTTTGTTCTCAAATTTTATTTGTTTTCTACTTTTTGTAATAAATGATTTTTTCTTTTGAAAACAATCTCAAAATATATATTTGCTTTTCTTGTAAATATAATATAAGTTATTCTTCTTATATCTTTTCTTCTCATCAATACTTAGATTGTTTAGCTTTATATAATATCGTTCAGTATTATCCAATTCCATTGGATCGCTAGTATCATAATGTTTATTCTAATAATAAGATTTTTGAAACTTTCTATTTTTTTAGATGATTCCTTTCTTCTCCATTTGTTGTTTATAGAATCGATTATCAATAAGAATAAAGGTTTCAATTAATTTGGAAAGATTAAATGATTTCGAAACTTTTATTAGTTCGTCTTTGATGATATTCTTCAATCTTTTATAGAATTATAACTTTAGATAATCATCATCTTATATAATATATCTAATATATTATTGAAACTTGATAATATAAATCGTGATTAATCTAATCTGTTTGAATTATCACAATACTCTTTCAGTTATATAATCAAGATCTATTTCCCTAAATACCTTATCGAATCCTTATTTGAACGATTTATAATTGAGAAAGAAACAATGAATCTCAGATTTTATACTTTCATTCAGCTAATTATCGATAATCTTGATTATTAAGTTATTGAAAAATGATTCAATCTAATTGAATATAGTTTTATAAAAAAAAAAGATCAATTACAAGATCCTTTATATAAAAATCAAGAAAAGTTGTTTATTAAAAGTATAATAAAGATTAGCTTATATAATAAAAGCTTAATATTTACTACGATTTTTATAAAATAGATCAAAAATAGATATCTGAATCGTTCATCTATATTCTATAATAACAATAACTTGAATAGAAATCCTGATTGAATTGAATAAAAACAATTCGATAAATTGCTGATTGAAAACCATTATACTATATATAGTTTAATTGTAATAATACTCAAAATATAACGATTTAGTTAAAGTAATAATTGCCTTAGGTTTTCGTCTGATTGGTAATTGTAGATTAAAATTAATAATCATTGATTATTTATTCGAAAATGAATATGTTACTAAATCAATTGGAATATAGATAAATTAATTGATAATTAAATTGAATACAAAGTTTTTAAATTATAAAACTATTTTGATTATATATTAATAAATATAAAGAAACTTCGTAAAACTCTAAAGCTTCAAAAAGCTTTTAGAGCTCTAAAAGCTTTCGAAGCTCCCAAAGCTTCTTATCATATGATTAAGATCAGATTATATATCCGAGCTTGTTAAAGATAAAGAGACCACATAAGGCGATTACTATACAAATTTGTATACGAATCGTTTTGCTTTTCGATAAGGCCTAAGCTTATATAGACACGTTGATTGTTGCCCCTCAATATATCCTTATCTTAATCGTAAATTGTGACAATTATATTATAGAAAGTAAATATTGAAAGATTGTTCAATTATAAAGATAATATCTTTTTATTATTAGATAATATGATTAAGATTGAAATCTTAAAGGTTTATTATAATGATTCAATAGAGGATCATTTTGGTATAAAAAAAATATAAAAAATCTTAAAAAGAAAATACTATAAATAAAATATACAAAAAGATATTAAAAAATATAAACTCAAAATGATCGTCAAAATTCAAGATAAGAGTGATAATTATGAATTTTATCAAAATTGAGATATCTTTTGTAAAACTAAAATCTTTTAGGTTAGAAGAGATGGAAAATCGTAATCTTGAATCAAACAAAATTTGGATGTATTTTGAAATATTATAAAAGGTATTATTAAATCGAATTCATTTAGAATTATTTGTAAAGGAAAGATATATCGATCTTTTATAATGACAATTAAAAAGATTCAACGAATTATAAAGGAATTGATAAAAGATTGAAAAAGAAAAAAGATAACTTTTGAATAGATGAAATATATATTAAAGATTAAAGCTTTGGTGTACATTATTCGATATAAATTATATCGATATAATTATAAATATTATATAATTTGTTTTAGACTATTTATTTCTAAAAAACAAGTAAAAAAGAGGTTGGATTTTGTATATATATATCATTGATAAAAAACAATCGATATAATCTTTGAAAAGTTTAAAAGAGATAATTGAAGAAAAGTTATATAATCGAACGAAAGCATTTTCGAGATTGGAAAATATAATAAGATATAAGTAACTTATAAAATTGAAGAAAAGAGATGTAGGAATTATATTAAATTAATATATAAATCAAAAAGAATCTTTATAATAATATAAAAAACTTTTGATTGAAATTATAAATCTTTATTAATCTTTTTGAAGAAGAATCTTAACGATAAAGAAGTAAATTCAATAATATATTAGGATTAGGTCTTTATTCTTATTATATTCTTTTTATTTGACAAATTAGAGTTTGAATATATATTTATAAAGAATAATATAAAAGTTTATTTGAAGTATATTAGATTAATTTGATTAAAGTATAATATTAAAGACTTTCAATAGTTTTTCTTCTCTTCAAATCTTAATCCAATTGAGAAGATATAATTGTTACAGGGTAACAGTCAACTTGTCCACATGAGCTTAGGCCCTATCGATAAGCAAGACGATTTGTATACAAATTTGTATGGTAATCGCCTCATATAGTCTCCCCACCTTTAGCAAGCTCGGACATATAGTCTGATCGTAATCATGTAATGGATCATAGGATCTAAAGGATCTAAAGAATCGAATCCTAGATCCACTAGATCCAAATGATCCGATTGATGCGAAGGTCTATATAGCTAAGAAAGGATTCCTTTTGTAAAGCTTTGTGTTCAAGATCAATCATTTAGTATACTCTACTATTAATTACGAATTGCAACCATTGATATTACTTTAAAGCTCCTGCTTGACGCCTAGTTATAAACCATTCGAGGATCCAGGCCACTTCTACGTGATCTAGATCGCATCCTTCGTAACAATAATGTTGGATAAAAAAGGAACTAAAAAAACTATCATTTATATCTATTTCTATTGAAGAATTGAAAAGGGAATTCAAAAGATTATAGAAGATATTTGATCTCTTAAATTTCAGATTATATATTGAGAGATTGATCTGTAAATTAAAGAATGTAATTGAAGTAAAAGAATTAGCTATTATTCATTAATATATTATCAGATTTTCAATAAAAAATATTGTGGTATTGATTTAATATTAAATTTTCAAAAGTGTAGGTGAAATTTAGAGGGGGTACGATGAGTAATGATCAGAACTCTTACAAGTTTAAATTTCTTTAATTGATACAAGGCATCAATATTTCTTCCTTCAGCCAAGGCCAATAAACTTTCGAGCCGAATTCAGCTGCTTTTCCCAATAGTCGTAACAGTTTAAAAATGCCATACACATCTCTCGTATCGGCGGCAGCAACTCTCCATGGTCCTACAACTTTCTATTCCCCGTTCATTAGCCGGGTGACGATGTAAGGTCTATTCAGATAACTTACAAATGTATCTCGGCCATTCTGATTATCCATATAAGCAATATACATATGCCAATCATGCCCAATGACTGTCCATCCAACCATTGGATGGAGCTCATCGCACAAGTATGGCCGATTTTGCCCTGTCTCGCCCAGTATTCTTGTATTCTGTAGTCCTGCGGCTAGCCAAATTGCCAATTGTAGGAGTGCTTCGTCTTTGCCACCATTCTCTGGCTTCACCTCGATGCCGGAAAAGAGAGCTAGTGACCCCGTATTTACGTCCGTTGTCTGGCTGATCCTGTTCTGCAAACCGGCTAGGATAAGGTTCTCGTATAGCTGGGACATTTCCGGTGTATTAGGGTGGAAAGAAAATGTATAGTCCGTTTTCTTTTGAACTCGGTATTTCATAGGTGTAATCGGCGCCAAGTCAGGATTGATCGTTTGGGTTTGCCTGCAAAGAAATTATGATCAGCATTGATAGATATTAACAATGAAGCTCGTTAGATAAAAGCCTACACGTTTTCAACTTCCATCATGGAGTTTCCCTTTAGTGCTAGACACAGCACTGGATGAATCACTTTTGTGCACCACGCATTCTCATCCTGATGGTTTATTCCACACTTTCTGCTTTCCTTCAAGATCTTCTCCACACCACTCCATAGTATATCGAGTTCTGGACCCGATCGCGTATCTAAGATATCATATGCAGAGTTCGGGATACTAGCTACTATAGAAGGATACGTTGCGAGGATTTGATGCTGTAAAAGATTATCTGTTGGCAATTTTTCCGGATCACTTAGGCTGACAAGATACTGTTACCTTTAGACCAACTGGTATAAGGCCGTCCTCTAATTGATCGACAAGACTTTGCTGTAAAGCCAAAACGCGCTCAGGCAACGTTACTGCCGATGGAATCTCGCAGAGTATAGAAGGCTTCGATAAACGTAGATCCCTTAGCAGGCATCGTATAGGGCTTAATGTAACGGATTGTGATGGATGCGAAAGTCTTGTCTTTTCAGACAGGTCCAGTCTTTCATTGCGTGAAGCGCTTTGATCAGGAAATAAGTCATCATCATCTGGGGCAGTCCGCCGACGCTTTTCAGCGATTCGAGGTTCGGACATGTCTCTCGTCCGTTTCCCTCGAACTGATGAAGTTGAGGGTGTAAGTGGTTGAGTGTCGGGTGGTTCATTAACATAAGTCTGGAGCCATTTATCAACAGATGATTGGATTTCCATTATGTCGGTCATTATCACATGAAATTCTCGATGTACGCGGAAGGAGAGATGCACAATATGTAGGAGGGAGGATATAATACATAGTCAAAGCTTTGCATGTTCGTTTCCTAAGCAACAAACACGTGAGGGTCTAAATATATAACCCACATCTCTAATATCTTGCACAACCTCACATCTTGTACATTTCTCATTTATAATTATAATCATTTCAAAATTCCCAACTTCGCCTCTGCCAAATCTTTACGAAAACTTGTGCCTCTTGTCCTCAGGAAAGATTAACCGCACACGCCATGACCTCCATTGATTGGTATAGCCCATGACCTACCTCTTTACGTGCCGGCTCCAAAGTTGCAGATGGATATATAGTATTGGATACCGACCGAGCCCAACTGTATACTGTGAGCCCGATGAATGAGTTACTGCTCGCTGAATAAACAATATCTCATTTTTAGCGATCTTGCCATTTTGGCGACCGGGAAAATCCCAGGTGCTTGGAGTTCATGGGCACCAAGCGGTTTTGGTCTCAAAAGGTGTTAACCTCTTCCTTGAACAAAGTTGGTGCATCGCCAATGCCGATTTTTTCCAAAATGGAAGTTGCAGACCCATACCCAGAACGGAAAAGAAAAGCAGAGCTCTGCTTGAAGGTGGACTTTGAAAGTAGACTTTGACCTGGGAAAGAGGATAAGCAAGTAAGAATGTTCACGTCCACCCTCAGGACAGCTGCCCGTGTTTAATGGAAAGTGTGACAAGTCCCGATTGGTGACATAGCAAAAGAGTGCATTATGAACATAATAAAGGAAAACGGCATGTGTGTCTGATTACCAGATTCTAATGAAAACAAAGCATTTGGACCTTTGGCTATTGGTACCGCTTAAGAAGGAGAGACGGCCATCAGTGATAAAGTTCTGGATGTGGATCTGGATATCCCGCCCTCGCAATCATACCGTTTATTCGCATGGTATCTCCTCTCCGCAATCATAGATGTCGAATCCCAGAGCGAAGCTGTGCAGTGTGTAGAGTCTTTTGAATCTTGGTGTCCAGTCTTGACTCGTATTAACAAGCTTCCTGGGTGGGCTTGAACTCATGATTGAAAATTACCTAGGGTTATCTACTCGGTATGTACTCCGTATTTGGTAAAACTCTAAAATACATTGATTGGACGTTCGTTACAATGGTGTAAATTGAGTGATCCTCCATATTCATCGCTCCACTATTTCCAAAACTCGTTTCCATTGCGCTGGGGCTCGTCTCGTTGCAATGATTGTTGCTCGGTGGATGGATGATAATAAGAGAGAACTGACAATTCTTTCCATTTATAATTTCCATGAGCACCACCGCTTGGGTTCGTAAAATCAGCCTTTTTAGGTAATTATAAGCTAGATAACGATATAGAAGGGGGTCAGTGTCAAAAGTGCGCAATTTCATTCGGTTCTAGAAGTTATTTTGTTATCCTCTGTCCTGAACTTTACCTAGAAAGGCAAAGCAGTTTTGCGGACGGGACACCTTATCAGTGCGGTGAGCAGTATTCAGATTCCAGAATCACGGTTGCTTTCAATACGTAAAGCCACGTTTGAACTTATTCCAAGATGGTATTAGCAGTTCAAAGTTGGGGGTAGTCTGTACTCTGTATGTATGTACACTTTGATCACAGCGCGAAAACTTGTTCTTATTATTACTCCTACTGAATGATCAATGCAGACTTACGCCGTCAGAGGCATTGCAGATATAATAATAGTCGACCATGGGGTCATCTGATGGTAAGAATATAAATTGATGACTGAGAGTCAGATAGTATTCAACCAATTTGTGCAGAGAGTCAGGACAAAATTGTGGTAATAGGTAGGTTCACCAGTTCTTACTCCGGGCCCCTTACTCCGTACATGTCCTAGATGATGATTCTCATCGGCGACAACACCCCACCAGATCCTAGAATTGGGTGCAAATGACGACGCGCTGAAACATTGTCGCTGGAAGCCACTTTTTTGTTTTGGATGTTTGGAGATTTGGAACCGCCTTCCTCCACTTTTTGTCTCGAGCTATTTTTCGATTTATTTAATGAATGAGATAGATGGCTTGTTCTACTACTTACTGCGTCCTGTATGATTTCATGTCTTTTGCCATCCCGATACCAAGGTCCGATGGATTGGCTTTCTTGTTGGTTGGTAATGTTGGTGATCAAGTGTAACAGGAGTTACGTAGGCTCTGGACATCAGCCCAAACGAATTCCCACCGAAAATACACGGAGTACATCATCGAACACGGTTACAATGCCTGGTCCCATTAGAAGCTGGAATCTGGAAGCTGTAAGGATTTTTACGATAACGAGACACAGCATACTTGTCTGCATAACCAGTCATCTCTCTCCATCTCTCTTCCTTACTAAAACAATCGGCCAGACTCGAAAGCCGCACAGCTGCATACACAAATCCGATAGGTGCTGGTGTAGTGCTTACCACCTAGTACCTACCTACTATTTTAGGTATTAGCCAGGTACCACGTGAAAAGATAAGGCCAAGTATACTAGGAGGCACCCAATAATAGTAATACCCACAGGAGATTCTTCTTGAGAAAGCTTTTCAAACTTCTCGTTTAAATTCTCATAACATGTCCGTATACGTAGGTGTACGAATTGAAAAGACTCTCATTTCAAGTCTTTCAAGCTTCCCCTTGATAACTACCGAGTCCAAGTCAAATTATAAAATGACGCTCGTACCAACTCTTATTATTATTGATGAGGCAAAAACCCTCTTACTGGCTGGGTACTCCGTAAACGTATTTTCAATTTGTTTATCCTTAAAATCGTGGCTAAGGAGATGAAATTATTCGTCGACACTTTTGTGCATTAGCCCCCCCAGATGCCTAATTGATGCTAGTGGCGTGGAAAAGCTGGGACTTTCCGTTCGTTAACCCATGTAATAAATAGATAAAATAAATAAATAATCATACAACAAGCCCTCTGTGGCCCCTGCAAGCAAATGCATCCAATACTCGACAGAAGTAGCATACGCTACTTCCCTTTTGGTGCATTTTCCTTAACTGCCCCTTCGAGATGATGACTCTAAGTGGTTGTGGCTTTTGCCTGTCCTGCCCTTGCACATTCATGTCTCCTGCTACTTCTTTCGCATAGGTACTTGGTTGGTCCTGCACTTCAACGCACCACCACCACCACCACCACCAAAGCGCATACACACATTCATTATTCTCATTCGCACTTTCCACCTTACCATTTCTTTCATTCCTTTCCTTTGAATGCCTGCTTGGCCAAAAGCAATAATATCGGCGAATAGCCAAACCTGCCGAATCGAATCCCACACCCCCAAACCGTCACGTTATTGGATGGTCTTTTTGTTGATCGAGAATCTGTCGCAGACCTCCTTCAACCTTCTCCATTTCATTACTCCAACCTCTCAATCCAAATATAATTGACTTACAATGTTCACTTGATCCACCCTCCATGCATCGAAAACCAGGAAAACGACGAAGAAGCTGAGTGCTATGAAGGAGGCGAAAATCCGGGCAAACAATAAATTAATAATGGAGGTCGAGGCTCAGACCCAAGCCTCCCATCCACCTGTAGTTCGTTCACCTGAAAGTTTGCGTCAACGTCAACGAGATCGATTGTCCCCTAGAGGCCGTTTTGCGACACTTAATACTATACCTACACCTCTCACAGAGGACGAAAGACAAAATAATAACGTGCCATCATTGTCCGCTCCAAATTTGAGGATTACTGGAAAGAGAAGCCCGAACCAACAGAAAAAGCTGATGCAGGAGAGTTCGCGCAATGATAATAATGTTTACCGGCGGGCTAAGAGAGAGGCAGAAGATGAGAAAGGCAGTATTGCTCCTGATGGGGGCTCTGCTGGCCGGGAAGGTAGACAATTTACCGTTGCTAAAGTTGGGAATGGCGGAAAGATATACTTACGGTAAGACAAGGTGATGCTTGTTGACGAAATAGTACTCGTTACCACCAGAACGAAGTTTAAATACTTGGCAGTAAACAGTACTGACAGACGAATAGCCCGTCAATACGTCCAGCAAACCAACGCTATCCTCAGCCATCTTTCGTCTTTCCAACAACACCACCAGATACTGCTGGACCTGATGCTGCCGGGTTTCGTGGAGAAGAGGAGGAGGATTTGAGTCACCGCGGTAGTCTTTGGTCCCCGTCAAAGTCGGCATCGAGCCTAGCCCAGCGGATAGAATTCGCAGCTCCGCCAAAAGCACGACGCGCGAGAGCACACTCATACTCAACTGTAGACGATCAATACGCCCCAGTCACCGACAAGGACGCTGGTGCTTTCAAGGTTGTTATCGAAAGGCCCGGGACTGGTACGGCCACCCAAAAGCCTGACTTTTTTCAAGGTACTCCTGCTCTAGACGTCACTATCCCTTCGTACAAATTGGGAAAACCACGATTCAGCATGCGCGGCACCCCTTTCCTTCGAGGTTCTTCTTATACGACCACCAATGATGACGTACGCTCAAGTGTCTTGTCAAGCAGAGAAACATCACAAATGGATCCGGCTTCACAGCGCCATACGCGAACCCTTTCTCGACGTCATTCCGATGCATCTCCACAGCCTATTGCCGTCAGTGGTCCACCAAGCCCAAACTACCAATCACGCCCAATGCCATCGCCAAGAATTGTTAAGCCATCAAGAGCCATTGAGCCGGAAATGTTCGATGCTCTCACTTTCAAGCCAGCTTGCGACCACCCATCTATTGTCCGCTATGGCGAAAGTGGAGGTATTAGAGCGGCAACTCCAGCTCGTCTTGTTGCAGAAATTACGTCTCCCACCTTCGTCGATTATGACCTTCTTTCAGATTTCTTTCTTACGTTTCGATCATTTCTCGAGACAACAGATCTTTTGCTCATGCTCATCGCGAGGCTGCAGTGGGCAGTTGCGAGAAATGATGAGATTGGTACGGTGGTCAGGGTTAGAACTTTCGTCGCGATTCGCCATTGGGTACTAAATTACTTCTTGGATGATTATGTCATTGACTACGAGCTAAGAGTGTTGTTTTGTGAACGACTTAATGCATTTGCAGAAACACTCTTGCAAGGCGAAACGCACACTAAGGTGCCCTTGAAGATAGTAGAGGAGCTGAAGAAGTGTTGGCGGAGAGTATGTGCATTATACTGGGATGGGCCCGACTTTGACCCAGATCTTGGAGTAGAGGTTCGGATAGTTGCTGGGGGAGTAGCTGGTTCCCGAGATCCCAATTTAGACCCGGCTTTCTGGGAAACCCATCCCGCAGGTCCCCCACGACTTGATGGGATTATTGAGCCTGACTTCATCGAGCATGACACCTCAGTGGTTGAAGGACGAAACTTTTTCGCCGATGTTTCCCGCGCAGGTTACATTGACTCTATAGCCTATAATCCCACCCCTCCAAATGCCAGAGAGGACGACAACGATCCAGAACCACCCCATCCCCACGAGCATAGTTAGTGAAGACTTCGTATCATGCTCATTTCCTAGTCGAACAAGAGGTGGCGGGACTATTAACCCCTTGGGAGCGCATCCAGTTCCTACCAGCTCTATATACGATCCAGCTCCCCCGGTGGCAACCACACCTAAAGCATTGGCCGGTAAACGAGTGCGCCCTTCGCATTCACACAAGCGCAGTGCAAGCTTCTCCGACTCGTTGAGAGATTGCCGAGCACAACCAGATCCCGTACCACCTGTGCAAAAGGTTATCTACAAGAGTACCGAGTTACTTCTTACTTTGCCTTATGCTGGAAGTTTAGTGAGGGGTAACCTCTTCCCTCCCGGACAAGCTTTTGTCGATGTCGTCGCCCCAAGCACTCCAGCAGAATTTGGTCGAGAAACTACCTTGTTTCCCAGACCGCCACCCAGCCACAAAGGCCCTTCGGCAATGTCGGGACCAGGGATGAAAAAACTTTTAGGTAGTGTGCGTCGTGCATTGAGCACTAGAGCAGGTCATAGCCCCAGTGGTTCCCCAACGCAAGGCAGCTTTCCCAATATGCCTCCCCTGGGCGTTCGAGGGGCAACTATAAACCGACTTCCTGGTACCGCTATAGTCCCACAAGCTCAAAAGCACGACTCAATTCGTGCACCAATGAGGATCGACTTGCTTGGCGCTGAAGTTGCCGAAGACTTCAAAAAGGCAGTTCGAGAGGAAGAGGAGGCTGATGAGGCCCGTAATTCTCGTATAATCAAGCAGCCGTCACCGCCAGGGAGCAGCCATCGCGAATCAGCAATCCACTACTCGACTATGTGCCCGGATATTACCTTGGAAAATTCAAATTCCATAACTTATAGGTCACCCAAGAGCGAAGTTACAAATGGAAGCAAGAGTATTGTAATTGTTGACGATACCATGGCGTTGCCCTTGCCTATGATGACTGGCGCATTGGCCGTGAGCCCATCTTTCGGCTCAATCGCTGACACTTTTTTGCATCTATCCCATGGACCTACGCCGCCAACAACGCCCCCAGGAGTTCCTTTCCCTGGAACCCCAAGGAGATCATCTCATCTACTAGGACACACTGTGGACCGCAGTTTATCGTTAGAAGGTCTTCCTTCGCTCGTCGGTGACTCACAGCCATCAGGAGAATGTGAGCATCCCTTAGGTCCGCGACCAATTCCTACACATTCAATGAGGCTTCACAGTCAAACATACCGAGTCAGAAAATCTGCATCACTACGCCGGTATGCGTCTTTTCATAGTGGTTTTACTCGGCACCACAGGAGTGAGAGAAGCTTCGATGCCACCACATTCACCGAAGAACAATCAGTCAGGGAAAGCCTCTCCCGGAATGCGTCTATTCCGCTTCCACTTCGAGTACTCCGAAGAAGACCAGGTGGAGATTTGAGAGCCGTGGGCAATGTTGGGGACCTCGGTAATGCTAACCCTCGACCCATGTCGACTGGCTCCCTGACGACTTATTCCGATTCTGTACGAAGCTCGTATCTTCTTGGTAGTGGAGATGATGGCCGATACGTTGATGTAGTCAACAGTGATTACGATGAAACTCAAGCACATGTAGAGACATTCTCGTTGGGGGCTCTAGCTGAGGTCACGCCTAAAGGCCGCGTCTCGCTATTCGATACCCATTCATCCCAACCGGTCATGCGCCCTTCTTTTGAGAAAGAAGCTCAGATGCTTGCTCAGATTCCAGATGATATTGATGATGATGGTGGGGTTGAATCAGCTCTTCTGAAACTCGAAGGGAAGTTCGAGCAGAGGCGGTCCGAAACCTCAGGGGGCCAATTTTCTGGCAGATTTGAGAACGAAGGAAATACCAATAGTTTTGGCGGCGGCCCATTCGATGTCAGTACCCTTACTTTGGATTTCGGCCAGGAAGAAAACTGCAGGCGCCGGCAACGAAATCTTGTGGACTCGAGAATTTTCAACAGTCCAGACCCAACTACATACCAGCCGCAGCAGGCTTCGGTCAGTACAGAACATAGACCTGCTGCATATCAACCGACGGGAATGCCAAGGACTTCCTCGCTATCGGGGTCGAATGGTCTCACAGATTCATTTTTTGAAGGCTCTTTCCTTGACGGCGCATTTGACGAGGATGCAAATTATCACCGGCATACAAACAATTGGTCAGAACGCTCAATTCTTGAAGGACCTGATGAAGGGCACCAGTTGACTGCGGATAACACACCGCATTCCTCTCATCACGGATCCTTTGATTTCATAACTGAAACAGAAAGCCTGCGAAGAATGCGCCCCAGCGCAAAAGGATCTGCTCGTGAGAGTGGCACTCAATCCTTCCTCAACATTGACAGTGATCTTTCTTCGGAAATGTCTGTCATTTCGCAATCCGACTATATCGAAGAGATGTCAAACATGGCTGCCCCAGCTTCGCATCCGTTGAGACAAGAAGCAGTGATCAATGAAACACCTCACCCATCTAAATCACCAAATCATCCTCCGTCGCCTCCAATAACTTTTGTACAGGCATTGAATATGTCTCCAAACACTGCGAATATCCCTCGGATCCATGATCACCAGTTGGAGCAGGGGAATCCTCTACCACCAACTCCCGATATCACACCCACTACTGCTATCGGTTCAAGTGGATTCGGCAGAGATGCCTTGCGACCCAGTGGTACAAGTGAAGTTTCTCGTAAAACATCTGTCCACCTGCCCTTCATTCTTGCATTTGATTCGCGAGTCCTTGCTCAACAGTTTACTCTCATTGAAAAGGATGCATTGAATGAGATTGATTGGAAGGATCTTATCGAAATGCGCTGGAGAGATGCTGCTACAGATACTCGCTCTTGGGTTGAATTCCTGCGCTCATCGGAACCTCGAGGTGTTGAAGTTGTCATCGCTCGGTTCAACATAATGGTCAAGTGGGCTGTGTCTGAAATAGTCTTGACTGGCGATCTGGAAGAACGAGTTCGATGCATCATCAAATACATCCACATTGCCGTGAATTGTCGAAAATATCGAAACTTTGCTACGATGACGCAACTCACGGTGGCTCTGACCTCTAAAGATATCTCCCGTCTTACCTCGACGTGGGCCCACGTTCCGGCGTCGGACATACAAACACTTCACGAATTGGAAGAACTTGTGACACCTACAAGTAATTTCCATAACTTGAGAGCTGAGATGGAAGGCTGCGGTGCAGATCGAGGCTGTATTCCATTCGTTGGAATCTATACTCATGACCTCATTGTCAATTCGGAGCGTCCAAGTCAATTTGCAAGCACGCCAACAACGGAACCTTTGGTAAACTTTGAGAGGTGTCGATGTGAAGCGACCATCACAAAGAATCTTCTTAGATTGCTTGAGGCTAGTCAGTTGTATAGATTTCTCCCCATAGAAGGCATCACTGAAAGGTGTTTGTGGATGGCAGCATTACGAGATGAAGACATTGCGAAATATGGGAAGTCAATTCAGAATTGATTATCCACCTCTATCAACGTCTCTATCGCACCTTTAATTCCTTTGAAAACAAGCGCGCCATGCAGTCACCCATGCGAGCTCATTTTGGGGCTTTGCCTGAATTAATCTACGAAACCTTCGATTGGGTTTCGATTCATCAATAGATGGATAAAACAACAAATTCTTTGTAATAACAAATTCAAATTTTGGGGACTTTTGTTTAAAATTTTGTAATGTGTTTCACCACAGTATTCGAACTTCATACCTCTCATTTCGAGATAGCTGCGAAGGATTCTTTTCATGTACTTTTTTCACGTTTTCTTGGTCCCTACTTTTTACAAGCACAGCATAGCTGTGGGTCACCACGACGGCTCAACATAATATTTCCTTATTGATATTGCAGTCTGGCTTCGCACTCATTTTCCATGACCATGACTATCACGATCCATTTCCTGTTGGTTCACTGTAACTTTTTTTTTGTTTTGCTTACGTCCACCGAGTGATGAGCTTAAAGTGGCTTTGTGGTGTTGAGAGGATGGATGGGTGGGTGGGTGAGTGGGAACTTTGCTCCAAAGAATTTCATGGGCGCTACTACAAATGGGTGTGGATGGCATGTAAAGAGAGGCGAGGTAAATACGTTGCGAAACTTGGAGAGGGAAAGCACATAATTTCTTGTACGGCATGGCGGATCGACTTATACCTCCGGTGGAATGGATAGGATGGATGGATGAAAGGATAGGCGGATCTTATACCCCTTTGTGTGTTGCTTGTTTGCTTGTGGATAGTTAAGTGTTGGTGGTGGTAGACTAGCTTAAATGGCTAGATGAGATATCCATGAATGAAAGAAGAAGAATTTCAATCTACTTATACAATCGCCACGTGAATCTACTTGATTATCATCTAATCGTTGTGTAATATCCATATGTACCTGGAAATACTCGACAATACACTCTTTTCAAATCCGAAATCATCCACAATCATCTGAAAACGTCACATCTCGTTACAAATACCGTACATGACATACAGTCCATTCATGCTCAACCCAAACCACTCCCCCCCTGCTCCAACCTTACATAATTACACAACCCCCATCACTCAACCCGCCACCACCACTCGAACCTCCTTTCCCTCCTCCCGCAGCCAAGACGGCGGTTCGACTGATATCCTCCCATACTTCTGCTACCAGCTCACCGGTCATAGATGAACATCTGAGATGACGAAGGTGAGGTTAGTTTTGAGGATTTATTGATGTATTGGGGATGGATCGCAGGTACTCCTGCTTTGGGAGGTGAAGCAGGAAAAGAGATGAAAACGATGGAATTAATGGGATGGAACTATGAAAATACTCACTCCATATATCGATCACATCTCAATTCCTGCGCAATGCGGTGACCCTCTTGCGGATATATTATTCCGTTAGGATCTTTTTCAGATCGGAGATCTCGCTTGAGTGCGAGGAGGAGGATGGGGAGTTCGTATTGGAAGGCGGTTTGGAGTTGTTTGGCCCACTGTGTTGGTATAAATGTTTAGTTTAGTTTTGGGTTATTTGCATATCGATGTGAATTTTCGGGGTGTTTCATTGATGTGTGTGTGTCTGTGTGTGTGTTTTCTTCACCTGACTTTGCTTTACTTTACTTCAAGTGATCTTTAACCTTATATATATTAAGAAAATGATAATCATAATGCAAATAAATATACATACAAATCTCTGCACGTTAACCAAGCTCAATCGATTCGGAACTGCATAACAGAGTACGACGACATTAGGTTTTAATGTTTTCCAATCGATCGGCGAAGAGGAGTCGTAGAAATTGATGCGGTAGGGGATATTGGAGAAGCGGATCCCGAAGGTGAATGGTTGGCGGGAGTCTAGGAGGAGCTGGGCTTGTGTTGAGCTGGCGGAGGAGGAGAGGTTGGATGGGGGTTTGCTGGGTGGGTGAGCTGGGGTTGGGGATTGTGATATGGGAGGTTTTGGAGAGAACTCACGATAAGAAGGTTGATTTACCTACATCGGGATCTCCGAGTAGGAGAACTGTTGTTTCTATTGGAGGGGGTCCCAGAGGTGGTTCATCCATAGTCCAATAAATAAAGAAATGGTTAGTTTCATGTTTTACAGAATTTAGCTTGGAGTGGTCTGGCTAATAGTGGATAGGAGGTTGATGGAGGGGTACTTTGTGATAAGCGATAAGGAATTTACCCCTGTGGGATAAATACATCTAGGAAAAATATCACTCTCATTGGCTCATTGATTTGTGCGCCAGTAAGAAAAAACTAGACAACATTATCATTGAAGTAATTCTCATGATTATTTCATGAATGTTCGTCAGGAAAGTCTGGAGAAGAGAAGTGCTTCTGATACCACAAACGTATTTACGACCTTTCCACACCAAATACAACTGGATTCCTGAAGCAGAGAGAATCGCAGAGGAGGGGAGAAGGAATAAGATGGGAGGAACGACGCATTATAGTGATTGGTCGCATGAGGATTTGATCAAGAGGGTAACTCAGTTGGAAAAGCAACTTGTCAATAATACCAAAAGGTATTCATTCATTCTTCATCATTCATTCACAAACTCTAATCCTCCAAATCCAATACTGAACAAAACACCAGCGCAACTCCCATTCCCAAGAGAAATATACAGAAACCTCGCCATGTGCGGGAATTCGATCCCTCCAAATACAATACTCGACTTATCGCTCTCAAACTAGCATATTTGGGAAAACGCTACAATGGATTCGAACATCATGCACACCCCACACCTTTAACTACTATTGAAGAAGAATTATGGCAGGCGTTGAATAAGGCTCGTCTTATATTTCCTCAGGGAGTTAATCCCATGGCGCCGGGTGAGGTCAATTGGGAAGGATGCGAATATTCGAAATGTGGGAGGACGGATAAGGGTGTTAGTGCTTTTGGACAGGTTATTGGAATTAGAGTTAGGAGTAATCGACCGCTTGCTAAACCGAAAGCCAAGCCCGCACCAGAAGAATCTGCAGAGGGAGAAGCAGGAGCAGAAGATGATATGTATAACACGTATCCGAGGGAAAATGGCATCGAAGTTACATCTGCGCCGCTTTCCCCATCAGCAGGTATTCCAGGACCACGGGGGACGGATGGTGGAGCATTTGATTTGTCGGATCCGGATATTCAGGAAAGTCTTGATTTTAATCACATTACTGATGAGATACCTTACCCACAAGTACTCAACCGTCTTCTGCCACCTGATATCCGTATACTGGCGTGGTGTCCGTCACCACCTATTGATTTCTCCGCTCGCTTCTCCTGTCGCGAACGTCGCTATCGATATTTCTTTACCCAGCCTGCATTTTCTCCCATTCCTTCTCAGCTGGAACATGGCGCATCAGCTAGTAAAATGAAAGATGGGTGGTTAGATATTGATGCTATGAGGGAAGCGGCAAAGTTATATGAAGGTTTACATGACTTTAGGAATTTCTGTAAGGTTGATCCGGGGAAACAGATTACGAATTTTGAGAGGAGGATCTTTTATGCGAATATTGAGGAGGTGAATGATTATACAAGTTCGCTGGCTTATGTAAACGGAGATTCGTTTCTTGATGATTCGATTCATTCCAGAACTGATGGTGAGAGTAAGGCTCCTAAAGTCTATACTTTCGATCTTCATGGATCAGCATTCCTTTGGCATCAAGTACGTCACATGGTTGCAATTCTGTTTTTGGTAGGACAGGGTTTAGAGAAACCTTCTGTGGTATCAGAATTGTTGGACGTGAAAAAGAATCCAGGAAGACCAGCATATGAAATGGCTACCGATACTCCCCTCGTCCTCTGGGACTGCATCTTCCCCCACGAAGACGACGCATCTAGAACTGACGCCCTAGACTGGCATTACATAGGCGATAGTCCGGGTTTCTCCGAGGGCAAATACGGACAAGCAGGGTTGATGGATGATCTCTGGAAAGTGTGGAGAGAGCGCAAGATCGACTCGATTCTCGCAGGCGAACTAATGGGCATAGTGAGTCGTCAAGGTATTGAAGCACACGAGTTGAGCGGGGGAAAGGGTGGCAAGGGCAGGAGTCAGAAGGTTTTTGATGGCAGTGATGGTCCCCGGTTGACAGGGAAATATACAAGGGTTATGGATAAGACGAGGATGGAACCCGTGGAGGTGGTTAATGAGAGGTATGTGCTTAGGAAGGGACTGGTGGCTAAGGATCAGAAGAAGGGGTTTAGGAGGATGGAGATTGAGAGGGATGGGGATGTTGAGGGTAAGGGCATGGGCAGTAAGATATGATGATATTAGATCTTCCGTCAAAAGTCATCTAGATGTTGTGTTTATTTAGATGTATAAAATTCGAACAAATCAACCAAATCTTCCATTCACATCATTTTTGGAGGAATCAATGTAGATGCTAAATGATATTATATTGATTGAACAACTCCCTTGCTCATTGTCGATTTCAAAGTTCAGGAATATATAATTATATATCCCTCGACCAAATCAGACCAGACAGATCACCTCAGAATAGACCAAACCATCGCGCTTGATTTAAATTTGTCTCCTGCAGTTTTAGATACGCAAATAAAGAAGGAAAGAGGGGTTAGTGATCGAATGAAGATCGAATGGGGATTGAAGCATACAATATGTATATCATGGACGTAGTCCATCAGGTACGGTTAATACACGTAAACATTTTAATTGCGATGATCTCTGGGATTAATCTAATTCTTCCACTTAATCTCAACATCTATTAAAAATAACTCTATCTATCATACCCATATCCAACGCCAAGGTACCTTCTATGTCCTTCCAATCCACCTAATCCCTGCCACTCGCAATCAACTGTTCCATGATATCGGCAAACCTAGCTGCTACATTATTCTTCTCCTGTTTCGCTTCCCCTACGGCTAACAGTACCTTTTTGATACCCACGCCGATACTGTCACTCTCCGTATATTGTTTCAGTTGATTCAACGACTCTTGCAAATCGCCCTCGTTATCGAACGCCTGGACTTCTCGCAATATAGTTGCTAATTCGCTGAAAGTATTGACGTTAGGGACTGCGAGTTCACGGTTGAAGATGGGCTGAAGATCGAGTTGTTTGAGGACGCTACGTTGAGATGTAGTGCCTATGATTAAGAGACGACGTTGCTAAAAATGTGTTAGTATCATGGTATAGCGGAAGAATGTAGAGTACTTACATTTGGTGGTTGTTTAGTGAGAAGAACCATGAGGGCTTGTAGAACCGCATTGGAAAATCTAGGACCGATAGGAACCCATTCTATAATACGCTCAATATTGTCTATAACAACAATATTTTGAGGAGATTTGTATGCATCCATAAAGACCTTGTTGAGATATTGAATTTTTTGGCCATCGCCGAAACCAACCATGTTCTCAGCGGAAACAAGCTTGATGAATGGAAATTCCGAGCTTTTGGCAATAGCTGCTGCAAGGGCAGTTTTACCAGCACCAGGGGGTCCATGAAGGAGAACAGAGAACAGAGATGTCGTTTTCGACTGTCTTACAAGATCTATGAACAGACGGCCATCTTTGAGAATGGTTTCAATGTGCCTGCTGAAAGGTAAGATACCTGCTGCCATGGCACCTTCAAGTTCTTCCTCAGACACACCAAATGCGGGTTTAACTTCATCGAGGGCATGCATGAAATCGCTGCGGTTAACCTTCATGTTTTCAATGTCGTCGCTAACTCCCGCAACGGTGCCAACTTTGACATGCCTATTGAAAGCGAAGGATGAGGCCGATTTGACGAGACCACCAATTTCAGCTCCCGAGAAATTCTTGGTTAGATGAGCGAGTTCAGCAACGTCCACATCTGAATCCATAACATCATTCTTTAACATCTTGGAAGTATGAATCTTAAGGATTTGTGCTCTGCCAGCTTCATCTGGCAAAGAAATCTCCATATGAACTTCCAGACGTCCAGGTCTAAGAAGAGCGTCATCAATCATATCCATACGATTGGTCATTCCAATAAGAAGAATATTGTTGAGCTGGTCAACACCATCGAGTTTAGACAGCAGTTGGTTGACAACACTGTCTCCAACACCAGTTCCACCACCTGATCCACTGCCTCTTTGCTTGCATACAGCATCCAATTCATCGAAAATGATGATATGAAGACCACTCTCGTCTCCCTTTTCCTTGTACTCCTTTTCGGCATCTGCGAAGAGCTTTCGGATGTTTTCTTCGGATTGACCAACGTATTTATTAAGTACTTCGGGACCATTAATTACCTTGGGCTCTCTTGAGTTCAACATTTTTCCGATTTGGCGGGCAATAAGCGTCTTTCCAGTACCCGGAGGACCGAAGAGAAGAATACCCTTCACGTGCTGAATGCCCAATTTCTCAATTAAACCAGGGGGAAAGATACGAGAAGCGAAAGCTCTTCGGAAAATAGCACTGAACTCTGTATCTAAACCGCCAATGCCCATATTTTCGAATTTAAAGTCCGGTGCGATGATAGAATTAGCGGCCGGCCGCTTACTCGATCCCTTTAACTTAATGGGTGATTTTGCATCTTTGTAGAATGTGATGGGTGTTGTCCTCACTAAGATACCCCGAGCCTGTGGAACACTGACGGTTGGAGAGGGCTCAGCGCTTTTTTCCATCCTCAAGTCAGATAACTGAACTGTTTTTACAAGAAATGACAAAGGGACGTTTTTGAAATCCATCAACAGCCTTTGACCAGGAGCAAAGATTTGGTTCTCGAACCACTTGATGAACACGGCGGCCAGTTCATCTTGGTCATAAGGCATATCTGAGACCTTCTTCGCCGAGGCAAATCCAACCTCAACGTCAAGAGCACCAAGATATGCTGAAGGCCCTTGAATGAAGGGATCGTATGTTTCCGCGGCTATTGGATCCAACATTCCAACATTACACCACGTTCTTTGAGGATCCGACAAACTAATACATCCTTGAGGGAAGCCATCCAAGGGCCTTGCAGTAACCACAAACATGCCGTTCAATATAAGGTATATATCCGATCCGTCTGGGTTATGCGGAAAGTCCGTAGGGGATACTGCGGACCTTGCAAAATTGTCAGCACAAGCAGTGCATTACATGTGAACCAAGCTACTCACAAATTGCCAAAAATGTATAGATTCGCCTTTGTTTTATCTTCGATTTTGGCGATATTTAGTTGTGCTCTCCTGTGAGATATTGGACCTGATTTTGATGATTTTATAGGCAACTCTCGTCCACGTCCAGCAGGGTTATATTTTGTCTCATCATAGCCACTCATAGCAGTGTCTTCCCGAGGAGGAGGTGCTGGAGCTCTACCATAACCTGCTGGTTGTTGCTCCCCTCTTGAAGCTCTTGACCCTTGGCCAAAGAGGTTATTACGGAGATTCATCGTTTTCGTTGGAGATTTTTGTGTTAAAAGGGAGAGGACTCGAGAATATGGAAGTCTTTGTAAGATTGAAAGAAGAATCGAAGTTGTGGAAATGAAACTCGTTTTAAATTCTTATGTATACGAGGCAAAACAGAGTTATAGCTGTAGTCTGCACTGCTGCGGAGTGATTGATCTTTAGGGGATTTCGCGAGGCACAGCCCTACGATATAGAAATCAAACTGTCCTTTTTAACAAGGACTCGAAGTTCAAAATGAACAGATTTTGGTTTTGTAAGTTGAAAAAGATCAGTGATTCCTCTCTATTCCCTAGACTTTTCGCATAAAATATGCAGGTATGAAGTTTCCAAGGTGGATTGTGTCTTTTATTATGTTGCGAATGCTGTCTCTTCTAAGTTTGGCATCCGCAAGTGGTGACCGTGCGCAACTAATGATTGGATTGGCCTTGTCATGATTCTACAACCCCGGAATCCTTATCGCAACCTCTCAGCCTTGACCTAGACTTCTTGGTTCAAAACGGGGATCAATAACTCGTTTACCAGTTATGCCTCTGTGAGTATCGATATTGAATGATTATCCGAAATCGGATTACTGATAGTCACTAGTCATTTGCTGGGTAAAAAGTCCTGGAATGTCTATAACAAAGATAACATCGAGAAAGTCAGGCGCGATGAGGCTGTTGCGAAAGCCAAGGAGGAGGCGGAGGAGCAACAGATGCAAGAGTTAGATGCAGAGCGTCGAATGCAAATCTTACGAGGGGAGATACCTACACCCTTGCCTGTAGAAGATAAAGTAGAAGAAGACGAAGGTCCGCGAGAAAGACGTTCTCATGGTTCTCGCGAAGAACGCAAGAGGAAGCCTAGGAAGAGAAATGGGGAAAACGACACTGATTTCGAGATGCGCATTGCAGCTCAAGGTACACAGTCTTCGAAAGATAAACGTCAAGTTATTTTACGAAAATCTACAGATGGGCCATTAGTTGATCATGCCGGAAATATTAATTTATTCCCCCAAGAACATTCACACAAGTCTCGAGTCGAGAAGAATGCGGAGGCAGAGAAGGAAAAGGAGAAGAAAAAGAAAGAATATGAAGATCAATATACAATGCGGTTCTCGAACGCGGCGGGTCTAAAACAAGGTCTCGATAACCCGTGGTATTCGAAGGCAAGGACAGAGGTAAAACCCATTGAATACCCAGGTAAGGACGCATGGGGGAATGAGGATCCAAGACGAAAAGAAAGAGATGCGGCGAGGATTGTTTCAAACGATCCATTGCTTTCTATGAGACAGGGTGCTGCTCAAGTACGACAAGTAAAAAGGGAAAGGGAACAATGGATGAAGGAGAAAGAGAGAGAGGTAAGGGACCTGGAGGCAGAGCAACGAAGGAATAAAAGGAAACGGAGACATGATAATGATAATGATAATGACGGAAAAGACGATGATTTGGAAGGATTTAGTTTGGACAGGCCCGAAAAGAGGTCACGAAGCTCTCATCGTAGGACTGATGCGGACCATGAACAAGAGCGAGAACGTAGGCATCGACATCGTCGGAGGTCAGAAAGAGATGAGAGCGATCGACATCTACACAAACATCATCATCACAATAGAGATTAGCGGATTTATTATTTAGTATTACAATTTGCAGCCTAATTATACCCCTAATGCTCAATCTTAACCTCAAACATATCCTTCTTGACCAGTTCTCCTAACTCAGCCGCTTCCATCCTCTCCAACGCCAGCTTGACCTCCTTGTACGTCCCCTCTGATAATCCCTCCTGCCTGCTACTATAGATATCCAGCCCCTGTGGTGTAAACAAACTCGGCGCAAACCAAGTAACAACCCACCTCTCCTTCTTACCCATCTCCAACCCCTCCGTAATCTCCCTCTCTCCCCATCCCAATACCTCCCAATGACTACTCGCAATCTTCAACCATCCCTTCCCTCTCCAATTCCACGCTCCATCTCCATCCGGCGTATCAATACCCTGTATACTTTTCGGTTGCGGCAACCAGGTTCTAGATATAGGCGTGGAGGTTACTTCATCATCGAGAAGTGGAGCTGCATGAGGAGAGGTAGCTGGTATAATTTTATAAGTTATGCGTACATTTTTTGCTTTTTTCCACATGGGGAGCGTGGAATGCGTGACGGACCAGGTGTGCTGGAGCCATTCGAGAGGTGGCGTGGTGAAGGTTGGTGAAGGATGGTTGTATTTGAGGGGAGAGCGGATGATTATTTGGGATTTGTCGACCATTGCTGCAGGGTGTTTGGATGTAGAAATTCCTACGATATTTGAAGTACTATAGATTTATGATTTTAGTGCTTTGACTTAGGAAATTCGGTTCCTGTTTTTGCAGCACGATGTTGCTAAGGCGTGATGATCAGTTGAAACAAAGCGGCAGGAGTGTTATATTTTGATACAACTCTACATTTTACCTGTTGACTGATTGAGTTAGTAGGTAGGTATATATCTTTGAGAAATAACACCAGGTTTAATGTATTCCACCTTTAGTGTAGTGTGAATTTATTCTCTGAAGCAAATGTAAATATGTAGGAAAAGAATTTGTGAACCTTGAAGGGCTTATTAAGTGAGTGATATCGGAAGCTCATGTGGATCCCAATCAGACCTCGAACTGCAAGGCTTCCGCTCCGCCTCTAGCCTCGCCATTGTAAACAAAAAACCACCCAAACACCCCTCCCCATACTTTTCCCAAAAGCTCCATATTTAGTTTTGCTCCCAGACGTGCAACAAAACGTTGGAGGAGTTGAGGGTTGCGAGGCTACCGATTCAAGATCTTTCTAATCACAATTGGACTATTTAACAACAACAACAACAACAACAACAACAACAACAATTGCGCATTATAATCTACGAATTACGAATTAAATCATGGATGATGTAGAAGTCGAAGATGATTCCGCTGCAATGGCAGCCATGATGGGATTCTCTGGTTTCGGAAACCAAAATGCACTTTCTAAGAAACGTAAATTCAACACCGCGACTGATGCATTTGTCGAAGGTGTAGAGTTGGAGAAGATTGATCGGGGAGGAAAGAAGGGACAGGGAAGTGGTGGGAATCAGATTCCTCTAGGCAAAATGAGGGTTATGGGGGTAAATACTGTGGAGAAGAAGAACAATGAGGAAATCGATTTGGGTGATGATGAGGATGTGGATGGGGATGGAAATGGAGAAGATGAGGGCCCGAGATATCTGGATACGAGTGCGCCGCCTCCGATATTTGATGGGATTGAAGGAGGTGAACATGCTTTGGGTCAGGATGGGGTATCGCAGGATCCAGCAATAGTGGAAGAAAGACGGAAAGCACAAGAACAAATTGATGCGATTTTAGCTGCTGCACCCGAGCCTGTCAGTACAAATATCTCACAGCCGGCGTCGGGATTGCCGCATGGTCTTCCAGAAAAACCAGTTTATAGCAATATGGGATTTAAAGGGAGTGCTGGGGGTAATAGGGGAGGAAGAAGCGGAAGAAGTGATGCAGGGAGCATGGCAAGTTCAAGGCCCAGTGGACGGGGAGCATTCAATGAGAAATGGTATGAAGGATATTACGATCAAACTTTCAACGAGAATCCATGGGCGAAATTGGAGCAGAAGATGAGGCTGGGAGCAAAGGGTAACTGGGTCTAAATATAGGTGGGACATGGGATATGTTTATTATGGAGAAGACAAACAGACAGCACTTGCGACGATGATTTCTGCTATTGCATGAGAACAACCATCAGATACCCGAAGGAGAAGTGGTCATCTAGGGAAACAAACATACTAGGTATGAGGTGAGGAGGTTTCAGAATTTGGCCGTTTTACCAACTGTACAACACAAATTGTATTTGCAGTTCGAACCTGGACATCAGGGAAGAGTTATCCACAGGACAGGAGTTTTCAAAATTTTAATACCAATGATTTATTAAAAGCTAGACATTGAATAGGTATATCCTGACAGCGATCTAGAATACAACGAGTTTACAGCTAATCAGCAAAACCTTCAAATTCTTCATCAGCATCATCCTCAATCTTTCTCTTCTTCACCTGCTCGATCAAAGCCTGTAACTCTCTCTCCTTTTCTTGCTCTACTTTCTTTTCTTCGTCTGTCATTTTGTCGAGTCTCTCGATTTCTCTCTTTCTCTTCTTCTTTTCCCTCTTGAGCTCTTTCAAATCTTGTTTCTCATGCTTCTGACTCCAAGCCTCCCTTTGCTTCTTCCTTGCTACTTGCTCTTCCGTTGGTACATATGGACCGGCATTCTTGGTTTCCTCCATTGCGACTCTTCTTGCCTTTTCTCTGACTTTGTCTTTATACGCATACTCAGACATATCCAGTTTAATGCCCAAAGTCTTATCACCTTGCCACTTTTTCAATTCGGGCATTTTAGGTAACCTGACAAGTGCCCAAGCATTGCCTAGATCAGTCCATTCAAGGTCAGCAACTCGGAATATACTACTTGCTTGATGTTTCGAGTATGCCTGGACCCAACTGACGAAGGCACGTTGTCCTTTATCATAAAGAGCACGATCTGCGAGCACCTCTTTACGCATCTTTGAGATGAGAATTTTAGCAGCATCATCAGTCGTGCTAATTTCAGGCCGTTTGAGAGGCGTGATTGGAGTTTTACGAATTTCGAGAAACGGAATATAATCTTCCTCTCGTCCTGGTTGTAGGAAAATGACACTCAACCCCTTTCGCCCGGCTCGACCTGCTCTTCCGCATCTGTGAAGAAACACTTTTGGGTCTGACGGTGGGTCTATTTGCACAACCAAGTCAACCTGTGGTATGTCAAGACCTCTTGCGGCTACATCTGTAGTGAGTAGTATCGTTGGGCTGACTGCTGCGACATATTTTGAGAAATTCCTCTGCCTTACGTTAGGTGGGTGCTTGCCATGTAATGAAACTAGAGCAAATTGCTTAGGCAGGACTGCCTCAAGTATAGGTTGGAAGTAATCGACAGCGGCACAAGTCGAAAGATAGATTATAGATTTCTGGGGAGTTGGTTGAAGCTGTGACAGTAATGATAGCAGAGCAGGAAACTTGTGGGTTGGCGGAGTCAATAGGTAAGACATTTGAAGACTCGCAGGGGTCATTTTATCCCCTCCAGCCCCCTTAACCTTCACAGCGATTTTCACCGGATTCCTCAGACCAACCCTTACTATTTCACCTACTGCTTCACTGACACTAGCACTGAAAAGACCTGTTCGCCTTTGCTTCGGCAGACGACTGAGAATCTTCTGTAAATCATCCTTGAAACCTAGATCCAATAACCTATCTGCTTCGTCCAGTACCAAAACCTCGAACGAGGACTGTGGGCAATGAACATGTGGAGAGGAAAGTAGTTCCAGTAATCTGCCAGGTGTGGAAATTAGGAGATTGGGGCTATTCTTCAAAAATCTGCTGAGGTCTTGCGCAGGGGTAGTTGTACCTCCGAGTAGAAGTTGTGGGACTACTCTTAACGTTGACGAAGGTTTCCGTTTCTCGCCTTCCTCCAATGGTTTCAGCGCTTCGGCAGAAGGTTCATGAAATGCGAGTAAAGAGGTGAGGACCGAATGGATTTGAGTCGCGAGCTCCCGAGTTGGAGAGACAATTATAGCACCGACATGGTGTTTCTTGATAGGCTCCTCCAGTCGCAACAACTTTTCCACAACAGGTATTAAAAAGGACAAAGTTTTCCCACTGCCTGTGACAGCCTTAGACTCATCAGTACGAAGTCCATGAGACGATAAAGTAAACCTACCTCTACAACAACATCTTTATTTCCCATAAATAAGGGAATGGTTGATGCTTGTACCGGGGTCATTTTTTCAAAGCCCATTGATGAGATGGCATCCAGTATCCATTGGGCTAATGAAGGTGTGAGTGCATCCCAAGCTCTTGGGTCTTTCCTTTTTTCGCCATCGATTGCCATGGTCTCTGTGATATGATATTGATATGAAGCTGGTTTTTCTACCACCACAAGTTTGCGTTGTGAGTTGAAACTAGAATTTGGAATTTTCTTATCTTATCGGCATGGACCATTTTTTTCCGGGTCCGACCTAATTTAGCGAGTTGGACCCTGGTTAAGGATGCACCCGCACTTTTTCCCTCCATTCAAAGCTTTTCTTTCTGTTCCTACGTCAGAAGGTCTGAGGTTTAAAATGGCAAAATACTAGGTAATAAGAGATTACTTGATTCTTTGTTAAAATAAACTTTGATACTGATAGAAAATAAAGGCAAGTGAGACGAATAACTCGATCGTTGTAAATATTTAATGGAAATATCTATTTCGTATGGAATAGATTCAATTTATCGATGTTTCATTCTCTTACTTTTCATCTACCAGAATCACATGTGGATGGTCGTGTGCTTAGTCACTCCCTTCAGCAATAATAAATCTTCTTTGCTGTTCTTCTGTGCCGCGTCCGGGAGATCTTATCAGCCCGGTGTCTCATTTAATTCCAATCTCCGTTAACACTTAAGAACCAAGTTATAAATTCATGTGCCACGTCTTCACGCGGCGTAAAAATTCATCATATCTTTCTACAACAATGCAGCTCAGTCTGCACCTCTCGTGCCTTCTCAGACAATAGATTCATTTGATATATCTTCCTCCGCCAACGCAAAACGCTCTTCACGGAAAGACCAACATCTATTCTCTACAATATCGCTGCTGCGTACATTTGCCTTTGCTCGACGGGCATTTACTGGTGTCATTCGAATACCCTGTTTGCCAAATTTCACAATGCCGAGATCATTTCCAGATATTCCGGCTACTCCGCGAGTCATATCTCCTTCCCCAACTCCATCTGAAATCTCGCGAAATGGAGAGTATTTTGGACCTATGACCAGATCTGCGAGGAAGAGGCTGTCAGCGCAGGCGCCCCCGATAGATGAAGGAATAGATGAGGATGAGACTGATGCCGAGGATTCAGCTATTGAGCTGGATAGATCCAGGTCAAGGAGCCGAAGTCCTCTAAGATCTCGGAAAACGGCAAAGCCCATAGTCAAGACTACAAAAAATATTTCCAAGCCTGAAGAAGTTGTAAAGTCAGAAGAAACAAATGGTACAAATGGAAAGGCCTCGAATGGGCATCTTTCCCCCACGACGGCAAGGTCAGGCTGGAGCTGGAGAGACTTTAGCAGAAGTCCCAGTCCTTTGGGACTTATACCCATCCACAAACAATGGAGGTCATTTGTGCACCGCCATGAAATACCAAGGAAGTTGTTGCACGTTTCGATAGGATTCTTCACAATCTGGCTTTATATATCTGGTGTTCAAACAGATGCAATTACACCTTATCTAATGGGGGCTCTAATCCCCATTGCAACCGTGGATTATGTTCGGCATAATTACCCGGCTTTCAATAACTTATACGTACGATTGCTCGGGGCTTTCATGCGGGAAACTGAGTACGCTGGATGGAATGGTGTCATCTGGTATTTACTTGGCGCGTGGATCGTACTTAGATTTTTTCCGAAAGATATCGGTGTGATGGGAATACTCCTTTTGAGTTGGTGTGATACGGCGGCGAGTACCGTTGGACGAGCCTACGGGGGATATACTCCCAGGATAAGACAAGGTAAATCACTTGCTGGGTCTCTTGCTGCATTTGCAGTTGGCGTGGTCACCGCAGCCGTATTTTGGGGATGGTTAGCACCAAGGACCGGTCCCTTTCCAGATGATCTGGACTGGCCTTTTATGTTCTCGGGAGAATTGATTCTTCCTGCGGGAATCCGGGACCTCATTGGTTTGAGTGAGGCTCAAAGTATTGTTTCTGGTGGTTTAGCTTTGGGCGTAATGAGTGTATGGACCGGTTTCACGGCCGCGGCTAGTGAGGTGGTGGACATATTTGGGTGGGATGACAACTTGACGATCCCAGTACTCAGTGGGTTTGGGATGTGGGGGTTTTTGAAGATATTTGGGTAGGAGGATAAGGGACAATATAATCATAGGGCACAGGAGGCGTTCCGGGTAGCTCAACATAGCGAGAGTTTGGATGGAGCGATAAAGCAGGCAAATTCTCATGTGCATATATAGATTCACTTCACACCGAGTTTATGTTCATGTAGGAGGGGGATACAAAATAGATGTATTAGTAGGACGATCCGAAAATTCTAAACACCAAGCATAAGCATGCAGTGAGAGCTGGGTGGCCAATTTGACGATAATTCCGAAATGAAGCATGTGAGGAAAATCTAGGCATACAAATTCACGAATTGATAGACATTATTGGTTGAAAGGATAAAAAGAACACAGCCCTGTCAATTCAACCGGTCGTAGAACATTCGAAGCTGCCGCACCGTTTGATTGTAACTCAAATGTTCATATGCACATGGGGAGGGACATGATATATCTGCAGGCTTAGAAACCCAGCTCCGGAAACAAGAAAAGCGTAAAACGTAATAATATATTTGGGTAACACAGAAACCTTTCTTCTGATAAACTTAGCATCATCAAGTTATTGTTGATGATTGAATGGTCCTCGATCGGATTTGATTGAATACTAATGCTGGATATATGCTGAGGCGAGAAAGAAATCGAGATCTCTGGGACCGAAGACATGTGTGTATATGCGTGGTTCCTCAAGGGAAGGGGAAAAAAAGAGTAGGTGAAGGAAGGATATTCAAAACGATTGAAATTTTGATTGATCCCTTTTTTTTGAAATCTTCAGTGTTGGTGTCATTTTTCATTTCTATTCGTCTGTTTCGAATTCCCGTCTTCGACTAGGGGAGGAGAGGGCTTTGAACGGTAGAATCTTCATATTGACAACGCATGCAGATGTGAACAAACGATTTCATGTCATACTCACTTGTTCTTTGGAAGCAGGGGATTTTGGAAAAGATCTTTGTCCTGTGGTCTTATGGTTTCATAGTCTAATTGTCTAATTATCCAATTTTGTGATTCTCTTGTTGGAATTTCTGGATTTTACTAGGTAATTGGAAATGATATGATGTTTGAGTTGTGAGACTATGAATTGAGTATCTAGTATCTAGTATCTAATACCTAGTACCTAGTACCTACTTCCTACTTCCTACTTCTCACCACTCACTACCTAGTACCTTGCCTCCCTCCTCCATAATATGCCTCTTCCGTAATGCCTCTTCCGTAATGCCTCTTCCGTAATGCCTCTTCCGTAATGCCTCTTCCGTAATGCCTCCATGCCTCCATGCCTCCATGCCTCCATGCCTCCATCCCTCCATCCCTCCTCCGTAATATGCTCGCCATGTTACTTACAAGTGTATCATGTTAGGATTATCTCTCCGGCCCTAAAGCCTAATGTTCCTGCAATGAAGCCTAATTGATGATTCTTTGACCATTTAACGTTCAGAAATGTTTCCGCCATGATTATCTTACTTTTGCCTTACCGGTACCTTAAGAACCTTACATGACGAACCTGACTACTCTGAACCGGTGTTCATACAGAAAATCCTAGAAAAATCCTAGAAAAATTCCCACATGCACATGGGCATATTTCATCCAACGCTGCTTTTATGTTGGGATCCGCATTCATTTTGTAGGTATTCATTAGGTACCGTACCTACATACCTAGCTAGATAGTCAGTCAGTCCGTCAGCCATCCATCCATCCATGGATTTTAGCGTGACCGCGCTTGCTCGTTTGTTCGTTCGTTCGTTTTCATACCTGACTAAACACTTTTACAGCTTAGTTCGTTCCTTGAGAATTATACGTATACGCAGTAGAATGAATGAGTTTGTCCTCCACAACCACATAACCACAACCACCACCACCAATTCTTTCCTTCCTTCCTCTTTCCTACCCTTTCCCACCAATCCAAATTCCTCGGCATATGCAATGGCAACACGGCCTATCTCTGATCAATAATATCTTCTACTTTGGGACCAATCCAAGTCGACTGCGTAAGCCAGAACTTTCCAGGGTCACCCCATCGAGATATACTACTGCATGCTTGGAGGGGTTCGGGTTGAACGTGAGAGGACAGAATGGGTGGGTTGGAGGAGGTTGGTGCTAATGGACTAGTGAGGAAAGGGGCAATAGGGCGAGAAGATCAGCCTATCTCTTCCCTCTTGACGCGGGGTCATTGATACGTAAGGAAGTTCGGGCTCAAGACAATTTTCCTCTTCCCCTCCTCAATGCTAGTCCTCTCTAGGTGATTTGGGCCAGTCGGCCGTGTATAAAAGGAACCGTAAGATCCTCCTCGAGAGATTTCCTTTCTTCTTCCTCTTCATCCGTTTGCAAGTTTCCATTTCAACTCTACACCGCTTCATACAAACAACTTTACCTTGTCTAACAAACAAGACGTCTCATACATACCCATTGACTCACAACACTATTGTCTGTGCTTGGCCATTGTATCATCTACTCGTCAGGATACTACTACCTTGTACCTTTTACATTACTTGCATTGCATAGCAATTCATACTAAACGATTCACTCTTCCGCATTATTCTTTGTTGTCATTTGCATATTTTAACTTTACCCTAATTCCACACTATTACATCATGGCCTATCAATCAAGCTACTACCAAAGCACCTCGCTCCCCATTCCAGTTCCTACAAAATCTCAACAGGTTTCTTACTACCCTCCGCAAAACACAACTTATGGTGTCTCACCACCAGAAGCTCCTGAATCTGTAACTACAGGTTCTGGCATGACTCCTGCATATGGAAACTCCACTTACTCGGCTACGTCCAGTAGTTACGCGGGAAGTGCGAGTGGTGAATATGACAGCACTGCTTCAGCCAATGGTGTCGATTTGCAAGAATATATGCAAGATCGATTTTCTGGCGCATTCGACCCTCTTCCTTTAGATCGCACTTTGGCAGTTCAAGCACAAACGTGAGTCAATATCTGAAGATCTGGACTTCAATTTGCATTTACTGACAATCTCATCAGATCTGGGTTGTTGAATGCAAAACATAGAGAAATCATGGATTTGCAAGCATTGGCGCAACAACGTCTTGCGAGAACTAGAGCGAGATTGCAAGAAGGTTATCAAGATGCCAAGGAGGTGAAGGCGAATTTAGAATGGACTCAACATCGAATGGGGTGAGTGTCAATTTTCTACCATCTGCTCCACAAATCTGAGTTCTAATATCATTCCAGAGCGATCAAAAGCAAAGTTTCCAAAAGACACCCCAAAGAATACGCACAAGCCCGCGAGCGTTATCCATCTCCAGAGTACTAAAAGCACAATCTCTCAATTTGCTTATTTTCTACTTCTACACTCGCTTACGAAAAAGTTTCCCCTTTTCTTTTCCTTGATACCTTTTTATCTGCGCTGCTTTTATGGAGCGGATCTTTAAATCATTGTCTAACGAAGTTACGACGATTTTGATTGGGTGGAGCGCTTGTTATTTCCAGTGCGGGGATGCAGCAGTGCCGGTTGAACAGGCTCCTTAGCACTTGCAGCTGGTGAGAGACGCCAGGGCTGCAGTAGTTCCCGTTCATGCATGGTTCTGCGGGCCCTCTGGGAAATCGGGCTCTGCAGCTGTGGAGCTACGTGTGGTGTGGTGGTAATGGGATGAAATGGTGTGAGGTTGAGACTTTATCAATTGGAGGGAGGGCTTCTCTGTAGAGTGATTGGACTGTATTTTCCATACGCGTGGTGTGGGTGTTGGGGGTGGTGGGGTGGATTTCTGTAAAGACAAATGAAACGGCGTGGATTACTAACTGCTTTTGGGTGGCTACTGGAGTTGGGACATGGCTGTAGGCAAAATATGTAGTTAGTGCTTTCAAATATAGGCAAATGCTTCACTGTGAGTGGTAGATATCTGTAAATTGTGACCTAACGTGGATGATATTTTAGGAGGGCCAGAGATGGGCATTTTCCCTGGAAGCTTGCCTCTTTGAGACATATCATGCACCTTCTCTCACACCTGACACTATTCTACTCCACTTCCCTGTCTACATGCCCATCTTTGGACTAGAGGATGAGTATTAACCCTGGTAATATCCCTATCGAGCCCATCACATAAGCATGTCTTCTACTCGTCCCTCATATCACACTAGGATTCGATAGCCAAGCTCTGCATTGTTCATGCTTCTATCCCCGGTGCTTCTTTCGTGATGTCATGCCGATAGAGATTCTCCTTCCTCGCTATACATATTCAAACTCCGATGTAAGACTAGGCGGGGACTTTCGGTGGTAGTGTAGATGCGTATATATTCATTCCATGCACCAGTACCTCTGTCACGAACACCTCCCCGCGTCATCATAATCCCAAACCATATCCCCAAACACAAACCCAAACAAACCCCGTCCTCATTACAACCTCCTCTCCTCTCCTCCTTCTCCCCTCCCTCCCACACCCCACTATTCCCCACTCCCCCTCCACCTCCACCCTCTCATCCCTCCCAAACAAACCCCTCCTCCCCCCTCCAAACCCTCTCTAACACCTCCCTCCCAGGCAACAACCTCTCAAACACAACCACCAACTCCCGTTCCGCCTCCACAACAACAACCAACACATAGCGCACCTCGAAATTGCGAAACACCTCATTAATATATATATCCTGAATTTTCTGACTAGGGATAAAGCGCGTTTTGGTGGTAGAGAGGTAGGATTTGGGAGATGAGGAGATTTGGAGACCGAGGTGACGGAGGATGAGAAGGGATTCGGTGGTGTGGGTGCGGAGGGTGAGGGTGAGGGGTAGGAGGGTTAGGAAAGGAGGAAATTGGAAGGAGATGGTGAGATGGAGGAAGTAAATATAAAGAGGAGGATGAAGGAATAAAGAGATGATGGCTATGTATTGGTTGGGGACAGCGGAATGGAGATTGATGCATTGATTGATTCGTTATTGAAAGAGTGTGAGGTTTTGAAGATTAGGGAAATGCGATTGATTGATGTGTATTATGATAGAAATTGATTTGGGAAACGAGGCTTATCGATAAGGATATATTTTTTTAGTCCAAGCGAGGCTGAGGGTTGAAGAGTGGAAATGTAAAGGTGATGGTTTGACATACTGGTTTCAATATCAATTATTGGGAGAGGATATCATGCATCAATACTGTTTCTCTCCCGGGTTTTCTACAATAAACGATTGCATACGTGGCAGATCTGCAAGCCATTCCGGTCCCCGCGTACCTCTCAAACCCACCAGCATCAAAGTTAACTTTAATATCAGCCATGACTCCCCAGCGTTATGGTCAGAACCATAGTATAATGTAGCCAGTCAAATGCAAATCCAACTCCATCCCTTTAAAGTGTCTTAATCCCCCCCGATATTCCCATCACTCTCCAGTATCAATCTCCAAATCAATCTGCACCCCATTACCCACCCCATAATCCTCCAACGTCAACTTATCCTTGAAAGGTCTCTCCCCCTGCCTCTTCAACATAATCTCATGTGGCTGCCTCCCAATCCTCGCCGCTACCTGCGCTTTAAAAAGTCGAATCGGGTCACTCGCCAAACATGGAATTGCCGCCTTAGTACCCAAACGATCATTAACATGCACAATAATCATCGGTTCATTCGACGGCGCCGCTGAAGCAGAAACCGCTGTAGAGATTGGTGCCGCAGGAGGTCTAACCGGAGGATTCACAGAATCGGGTGTTTGGGTTTTCGGTTTGGAGGAAGAAGAAGATGCGGAGGAAGCTTTAAATTTCGAAAATGCTGATGAGCCGAATTTGCTGGCTATGTCGAGCGTATCCTCTTCCTCTGGTGTTTCGATATCTTTCAATGACTGTTCATCTTTCTTTTGTTCTTTGGCCGTAGAAGAAGTACCAAATTTCCCAGCTATATCCAAATCATCCTCATCTGTAGCAGCTCTTGGAGGCGAAGGTCTTCGTTTTCGTTCTCTTTCCTGTTCTCGTTCGCGTTCGCGCCGCCGTTCTCGAATTGGTGATCTCTTTCTGTCTCTTCTGGGTGATTGAGATCTTTTGCGGTAAGTTTTATCGGTGTCGCGTTCGGGCGATCTAGAACGAGCTCGTTTTTTTAGTTTGAGACCTGCCATGGTGACTGTTATAGTACGAAGATGAACCTCTTGTAGCTTGGGTGTGATACTCTAGACTCGCTCGGCTAAGTCTCGGCTACTATTTCAATCCTCCCATCACAAATCAATTTTTGTACGTGGAAGCCTCATGATTTTCAATTACTCAATTTATTAGAGGTGACAATCAAAGTGGTCAAATTTGTGTTGTCTATCCCTATTTCTTAACTTCTAGTGTCAGAAATATCTAGTCAAATCAGTCACTAGATTCTGGTGCAATATGAGCAAAAATTGTAGTGGTTAATTTAAACTACGCTTTTTATTGAATATGCCGAGCATTTTGTCAAAGCAAAATATGTTGTTATGCGAAAGCATCTAAGCCTAAAGACAATACCCTGACTCTGCCATCCCTACGCCATTTATAAACAAAAAAAACCTATACGCCCAGACTCATGATATCCGAAGCATTATGATACAGAACTGAAAGAAGAATTACATCCAATCAATCCTTGTTCTTCTTCTTCTTCTTTTTCTCGGACTTTTCGCCATCATCTTCTGACTTTCGTTTCTTTCCATTAACTTCGGGTGTGTCATTTACAGCACTCTTCTTCGCTTCCTTTGCTGCCTTCTTAGCTGCTTTTGCGGCCTTCTTCGCAGCCTTTTCAGCTTTCTTTGCAGCCTTCTCAGCCTTTTTGGCTTCCTTATCTCCCTTTTTAGATTTCTTTTCGGAAGCATCGCTCTCGTCCGAAGAGTCGGAATCAGATTCCTCAGCAACTTCCTCGATGAGTCTGAAATAGTTAGCATTGAACGTAGCTGTGGACGGGCAGCATCATAACTTACTTCTTGTTTTTCTTCTCTCTCACTGGGATAGCAGCAGCTGGCTCATCTCCAGCGAGACCATCGGCATCTGCGTTGTATTTTCGGGCTTCCTTGACTTCCCACTTACCAGGAGCTGAAGTTGCCTTACCATTTGGTCCGACAGCAACACCACGAGGAAGGAGGGGCTTTCCTTCAATGCCTCGGAGATGACGTTCAATCTTAGCACGTGAAGTGACACCCAGTGCGGATCTCTCCTCATCATCAACATCATCACCTTTGCCTTCACCTTGTGCACTCCAGTCTGACAAAGCATCGACGCGCAGTCCAATAGCTGCCTTGGCGGCCAACATACGCGCGATCTTTCCCTTGTTCTTGCCGGTAGCTTGACCAACCAGCGAAGCATGGTAGATAAGACCGTATTTTGGAGTGTCATGTTTCGTCTTAAGGGCTCTGAATAGAGCCTTTTCAGCACCAAGGATTTGAATGGTACTGGCAGGGCTCTTGGCGAGGTTCATAAGAGATCCAGCGTGAGCTATCAATCGAGCTCCAACCAACTCGCCGACCAACTCGGTCAAGTTGGGGGCAATTGCTTGCATACGTGCAGACAAGTAGCTTGACAATTGCTGACGATATTCTGTAAAGCCGACGACTTGCTCCGCCAAAAGCTTGATGTTGTCCAAATCTTCTTCAGTGATTTCGGTACCCATACTAACTTCAGCAGCAGCTTTGATGGCAGCTTCAATTTCTTCTGGGAGAATGTCCGCGAGATCGGTACTTGAAGTGTTCACGCGCATACCGACCTTCAAAATAACTCTAGCGTAGGCCAAGTTGTCGTTTACAATCTTTCCCATTTCTGGGAAATGCCATCCGTACCATTCCTTTACTCTCATAGCGTATGTGTTTAGCTCCTTGTCCAAATCATCCAACAACGAAATAGCTTGCACAATCATGGTATCAACCTTGTCGGGTGAGAACTTCAGCTTGTGGCGCGACAAAGAATGCGACAGACCCAGTGACATGGTGGAGATGTGTTCGGGGAGGAGACCTGGGATCAAGGAGGGGAGGTGATCGCGGATTCCACGGAAAATATCATTTGTTTTCGAGTCGGAGATTGGTGTGAGAGTCAAACCAGGAAGTTTGTTGATAGCTTGTCCCAATTTAGGGTCAGCAACGGCCAGGGACGCCTTCTTCTCATCTTTTAAAGTGTCGAGAAGTTTTGCAAGCATAGGTGAAACTTTTCCCTCGACCAACGAAGCAACCTCCTCCAAAGCTGTCGCGGCACTGTCGAACTTCTGGAATTGCTTAAGCTTCAATCTAATCCGTGCAATTGAACATGTTAGAAATCTGTATCACAATTGCAAATGCGCCATCTGGAAGCAATTGCACTCACAATCCATTGATCCCCTCCGCGGTTTCAATTTCTGAAGCGACATCATCCTTCTTCAAAAGCTTTTTATCGGCCTTAAATAAAACCAATCCAGCCGCCGTCTCCGTAAGAATAAATAAAGGCGCCATTGTGAAGAAATAATTCAAGTCTCTTCGTAGTGATGCTGTTCAATGGGCGTCCAAAGTTCTGAAGCTTATGATTTTTCGCAAGGAATAATTTTTTGTTCAAGCAAAAAATTATGGCAGACGCTAATGAGATCTCAAGCCACAGGCATACCTTCAATCGGTTTAGTCGTCAGGTCAGGTGACTAATAACCAACCTCACTGAAACCCACTCACGACCCATGCAAGTAGGTAGCTTGCGAAGGCAACTCAACTCTTGGCTCAGACAAACCTCAAGCGACGACAATAGATCTTGTTCGCAGACAACGAAAACAAAATGGAGGGTCTATTTTTCAATGTTCAGAATGGGTAAGGTCTTAATTCCTGTTGGTAACATTAATACCTAATACTTTCGCAGCTACATTGAGGGTATCGTCAGAGGTTATCGCAATGGACTCTTGACTGGCCAGAATTATAATAATTTGATTCAATGCGAGACCATCGATGGTAAAAGATACTTTCCTGCTTTTCAAACACATCAAGTAACGAGGAACTAGATCTTAAGCTTCAACTTGGACCTGCGTACGGCGATTTCTTAGCATCACTTCCACCTAATCCTTCAACATCTACCTTGGCTGCGAAGACGACCGACAAACTCATCTCCGAATTTCGATACCTACGAGCAAACGCCGTTGGATCGCTCGCAAAGTTTATGGACTATTTGACATATGGATACATGATCGATAATGTAGCCCTTTTGATTACTGGCACTCTCCACGAAAGAGATACCCGGGAATTACTTGAAAGATGCCATCCTCTTGGTTGGTTCGAGACTATGCCCGTGTTATGTGTGGCTACAAACATAGAGGAGTTGTACAACAGTGTATTGATTGAAACGCCGTTAGCGCCTTATTTCAAGGGAAGTTTAAGTCATCAAGATTTGGATGAGCTCAACATTGAAATTGTCCGAAACACGTTGTATAAGAACTACCTAGAGGATTTCTACAACTTTGTGAATACTGACCCAGATATGGCCAGCACTCCAACCGCCGAAGTTATGTCTGAAATACTGGAGTTCGAAGCCGATAGAAGAGCTATCAACATTACACTCAACTCTTTCGGTACAGAGCTATCAAAGAAAGACCGCCAAAAGCTTTATCCCAATTTTGGGCGTCTATCCCCAGCAGGAACAATCTTACTGTCAAGAGCAGAAGATATTGAGGGTGTTAGACTTGCTGTTGAAGGGGTTAGCGACTACAAGGGTTATTTTGATGCCACCGGATTGGGACAAAGTAGCACTGGGGCCGGCAACATGAGCGGGGGAGCTGGTGGTAATGAGAAAAGTTTAGAAGATTTGTTCTATCAAAAGGAGATGGAAATCTCCAAGGGTGCATTCACGAGACAATTCACATATGCTATTGTTTATGCATGGGTCAAGTTGCGAGAACAGGTATGTTCCATTATTCATATCAAGCCAGTGGATGACTTCTAATATTTTGCAGGAAATACGCAACATTACCTGGATCGCCGAGTGCATAGCACAAAATCAAAAAGAACGAATTGGCAATTATATCAGTGTATTTTAGTGCGGGGAGTTAACATGTTACTAATAGTCTTTTCTTTCTTCTTGACATAAGGATGTCAAGCTTCTGTACTGGTCTAGTTGGCGAGCTGGCGTAGGGAGATTACGGATACTGATTTTCAAATTGCATGATACACTTTTATATCTCCTAGAGTACATACTTAGATCATGGTGATATACATTTTGGTATTATTTAAAGACTTATCTCCCCTTTCCATGTACCCTCTGTTAAGCCCAAGGTCGTAATCAGATTCTCCCATCTATCACTGCCACGCTCCTTTTTCCTTAGATACTTGAGCAACTTCTGCCTCCTATGAACTAACAAACGCAAATTTCTTTTGTTAACCTTATCCTTCTTTCCGCGCTTCGATTCCAATTGATCCGCAAGGACTCTAATCTTTGCAGTCAAAATCGCAATTTGGACCTCAGAGCTCCCCGTATCTGGCCCAGCCCTCGGTGTCTTCTCTGGTTTATCGACGCCTGCAATAGCATCCTGAGTGGGTGCCCTAGGTCTCAGCACCCCATCTGTCTGGTGGCGTCCAAAAGTATCTATACACCTCGCAATGTTCGCTCTGGTCTTATCCTTCGAGTTTGCGTTTTCTAAGCTCACAATGCGGGCCAACGCTGCGACCGCATTCGCATGATTTTCCTCGTGCTTCTTCCTTGCCTGCTCCTCTTCGTGAGGGTCTGCTAAATCCCGATTCTGGGCTAGTCGAGGCTCTGTAAGGTGGTATGACTGTTGGATGGCGCCTTGGAGCTCTGTCGGGGTTAAAAAGTGATTCAAGAGAACATTGTCGGTATTTTTGAATTGGACACCTCCTCCCGAGCCCTGGGTCATGGTTGCGTCGAGTTTGGATGTAGATCCTCCGACGGTATCGAGAGATTCTAGAAATGGTGTGGACACTCCCCGTACTGGATCTCCCAATGAGGCTGCCCGTTCCTTCTCAAGTACTCTTTGCCTTTTAAGATTGGAATCTTTTCTCTGTCTGGATTGTGCTAATGCATAGGGATCTTTGTGCGCTCTTCGCTGGGCGAATGTGGCCGCATTGGCTGCGGATGTGGTTGAGAAAGAGTGTGTTGATGAACTCGCAGCAGGGCGAAAACATACTGTTATAACAATTAGATAAAATGATACAAGCTTGTCGTCGTCAGTGTTTATGTCTTACAAGAAGGTGCGCTTAACCGCGAAAGAATGGATATTCGAGGAGGCATTGTGATTTTGTTTAGTTTAATCAAGTCAACAAACCATCCATCAGCTTACTGGTCCTCTGCCTCTGCTCCCCTCAAAGTCCCATCCAGATAAATTTCCGAGCTAACATCTAATGTGGACTAGTGGGAAAATTGTCATAAGGCCTAATATTTATGGCGGAACTGACAAGGGCCAATGGACAATCTTGATTAGGGTTTCGTTAACTTTTTATTTCGCACCATCGCAAAATTGATTCTTCGTCCCTCGCAAATCGACAACTTCACGACAACCATCTCCTAAAGATTTGACCAACTGGACAATAATAAATCAAATCGCAAAGATGGCACCTTCTCAACTCCCCGCGATTTTTAATCCTACCTCCCAGGATATTGAGCAGCTTTTGGCCGCTCAATGCCATTTGGGATCCAAGAACTTGCAAGTTCACATGGAACCATACCTCTGGAAGACTCGCCCAGACGGAATCAATGTTATCAACATTGGCAAGACTTGGTACGTTTGAACAGGAGAAAGGGTGAAAGGGCCAATCAAGGAAACATGGGTCTAACAAATTTATTTTACAGGGAGAAGATTGTCCTCGCTGCCCGCATCATCGCAGCCATCGACAACCCAGCTGATATCTGTGTTATCTCCGCTCGTCCTTACGGTCAACGTGCTGTCTTGAAGTTCGCCGCACACACTGGTGCTGTTGCCATCGCTGGTCGTTTCACCCCTGGTAACTTCACCAATTACATTACCCGATCCTTCAAGGAACCCCGCCTCATCATTGTTACCGACCCACGTACCGATGCTCAAGCTATCAAGGAGGCTTCCTACGTTAACATCCCAGTTATCGCTCTTTGCGACACCGATTCCCCAACTGAGTTCGTAGATGTAGCTATCCCAACCAACAACAAGGGTCGTCACTCCATTGGTTTGGTTTGGTGGATGTTGGCTCGCGAGGTTCTCCGTCTCCGTGGTTCCATTGCTTCCCGCGAGGCTGAATGGGACACCATGGTTGATTTGTACTTCTACCGTGACCCAGAAGCTGAGGAGAACAAGGATGCCGTTGAGGAGGCTAAGGCTCCAGGTGCTGATGAGGTACGTTAAATGTTTAATTGATCCAGAAAGATCCATCTCTGACTTAATTTCCCAGGTCGGTGCCGCTGCCGTTGACCAAGGATTCACCGGTACCGGTGATTGGGAAGTTTCTGGTGCTACTGCCGGTGCATTCACTGCTGCTAGCAACACTGCTGCCGCTGGTGGAGCTTCATGGGATGCTGCTGAGCCATCTGACTGGGCTGCTACACCAGCTGCCGCTGGACAAGAATGGGCTGCTTCCGGAGCTACTGAGCAATGGTAAATGTCAATACCCAACAACAAAAATAATTAAGATGTTTCCGCAATGATCTATATCTCTTGGGGGTCAAATTTGAAAGCACTAATGAGGGAAAGATACTCGATAACTGTTCATGTGCCATGGTTTGAGAGGGAAAGCCCTGTGCGTTCAAAAGGAGTGGACTTGATCGTTATTCCGCTCTCAATGATATAAGTCTCTGGTTGTGGCACTACAATCTTAGATATTTTTGCAAAGGATTGATATTCTTGATGTGATATGGCTGAAATGACGCTCCGTCGTAATAAATGGGGTATGTCATGAAATTAATCACAAAAAGCATTGCAAAAATATGCTGATCTCAAATTATGATCCTGTGTATTTGTGCCTAATTCACGTGTATCTATCGTAAAGATCGATATCACCTTGTTGAAATGTTAAAATTTTGCAGTTGCTCCCATACGCAACCCCAAAAATATGTACTTCTCACACATTTATCGACACGCGGCACACTGAAATGCTCTATGAAGTTTAAAATCCAGTAGCCTACTTTTCTTTTAGTATGAACTTAGAAGTGAAGTTGAACCATTCATTGCATTGCATTGCACTGTACTGTACTGTACTGTACTGTTTCATCGAGCTCCGTGAATACTAAGATACCTACCTACCTACATACAGAAGGAAAGTTGCCTTGGGTGAAACACTAAACTTTGATTTATTTGCAATTTAACGATGGAATTGGAAGTCGAGTCGGGGGGGTTTGGATGTATATTTTAAATTTGGTAGGTACCTAGGTAGTAGGTATAGAGGGATAATTAGCTATGTTGAATACCTACCTAGGTAATAATTATATCATTGCTGTACCTACCTACCTACCTACCGATATGTATGATTTGGTGTATGATGTATGGTGTATAATGTATAGTGATGAGGTGTATAATACGGAGGGATTATGATGGAATGCTCATTTCACAATATATGTATATATATATATTTGTATATACTGTATGTACTTGAAGTATGTTCTTTTTCTCCTTTTCCTTTTCCTTTTCCTTTTCCTTTTCCTTTTCCCTCCAAGTTTCTACCTAGGTCCTCAGTTACGAACTATTTAAAATATGTAAATATCTTCCAATCATTTATTTAATAGTTAACAAGTCAAGTCTAAGTCTTAGTCCAAGTCAAAGTCATCCCAAAATCCCTCTTGGCTTTTCTAAATTCTCATATTGTCTAGGGTCGTGCAAATCATAATTTCGTATACATCGATGAGTGTCCAACTAAGGGAGTGAAAGGTAGAGTTTGAGAAGGTTGGGGTAATTGGGGGTTCCAAGTCCTGTTAGGGTGGGAGTTAGTATGCGTGTAATATGATGGGATGAGAGCTTGTATGCATTTTCGTATGCATTCCTGGATTATTCAAAGAACCGCAAAGCACGAATCGAAAATGGGAAGGGAAGGAAAGAGGAAATACTAACCCGTAACAGGATCCCATCCCTTCACAGCTGTGAACCCTGCGGTTCCACATCCTTGATTTCCTCCGCTGGTGACATCATTCAACACGCTAGAATGCGCATACAAAACGGGGTTGACGAATCCGATGGGTGCTTTTCCGGCATTGATTCGTGCAGCATTTATTAAGGTGAAGATAGCGCCGATGACGGGAGTAGAGGCCGAGGTACCGTATACGAGAGAGAATTCTCCGTCCACAGCAACTACGTAGTTTACACCGTTGGCGGAGATATCGGGGTAAGCACGAGTCGTTTGTGAGTTGTTGTACTGGGCTGAGGTGTAAGGAGGAGGATAGTTGGCAACTAGCGGGGATGTTAGCTTTGGGTTTGGTAAAGGGAAATGTCGATAGATACGTATATAGGCTTGAGATGCGGTATGTGATGCTACAGGGACGGATTTACTTACAGTAACTTGCCACGGCTTTGCTTTGGTATTTGGGAATGGAAAAGACATTAGAGAATCCTCCGCCGGAATAGACTGGAAAATTGGGGTCAGCATGTAAATATAGCTGAGGATAAGTATGAAAATATTTGATGAATAATAATACTTACTGACAGACTCGGCAGCTTCTTCTGGTTGAGTGACGGTACCGTTTGGTTTGATTTGGGTAGCTCCGACAGCTGTGACGTATGGACATGTAGCAGGAAATGAAGGGTTGAATGCTATCCCAAAATGTGAATATAGATCCTACAAACAATGTATGATGGGGAAGACATACCATTACCAGTTCCACATTCTCCTCCATTACCCGCAACACCATAATCGCCAGAAGAGAACAAGAATGTGACACCCTGAAGGCCTAGCTTGAGATACTCATTGCATTGACGTACCTCATATGCTGGTGAGAGATCGGTTTCATCGTAACCGTAAGAGGTGGAAATAACCTTGGTGGCAGCAAATCCACCACAGTTCGGGCGTCCTTTGTAGTAATTACTGCTATTGCCATTTGTATCAGGGTAGATTGAATCGTAATCTGGGTCGTCACCACCGCCTGTTTTACAATAGGAGCCATCGATAGCGTCGAGGAAATTGTTGTTGGATGCTCCCTCCCCAATATCTCCTGTTTGATATAATGTCACTTTTTGAGGATATGCAAGTGCCATTCCGTATTGGAGATCCAGGTCCTAGGCTGCATTAGACAAGAAGTAGATAGATGGGGTGAAAAATCAACTTACAGATTCTCCGTTGTAGTCAAAAGACTCTTCGATTGTCTGTAAAACACCACCGTCGATGGAGTCAAAAGTTGGTCTAGACCCGACAAGTGGAGGAGAGAAGTTGCCAAAGAATAAATCCAAATCTGAAGTCGAAGTCAGTATTTGCAGAGTGACATGCAAAGTGAAACTTACCTGCAGGGAGATATGCTTGTGGCGTATATTCGACAATACCATAGGAGTCTATCACTGGTTAAATTTGATACCAATAACGGAGAGTCATACTTACTTCCTTTTGCAGAAGGGCCTTGGGTTGGAAGCCCGTATAAAGCTCGGAGACAATCGGGTGTGATTTGTGTATTGCAAGTCGCCAATGGTGAAGTTTCTAGGACGCCATGCGATGTAAGAGAGATGATTTTGCCTTGTTTGGGCAGAGATGGATCGTTTGGTGAACCAATTCTGTGTTTGGAAAAGGCATCCTTCTGACTGGTATTCTCTCGCTTCAGCTTTCCAGGTACAACCTTTGCATCGAAGTGAAGAGTTGGTGTGATAAAATCAATGTGTTTGCGCAAGTTTTCAGGGACACTGTAGTCATCACAAGCAGCAGCACTTTGGCCAGTTTCGGCATGTGTATAGGCCTAGAAGTAGGAGAATAAGTAATTGCGTACCGAGTAAGACATTGGAGGGAAGTGAGAACCAAAGATGTGTACCAAGATGGAGAAAAATGTAGTTCAAACATCCACATGGATTGAACATGGCGGAGCTTTAGGTGAAAGGAGTGATTAGGCTTACGTAGTATTTAGTGTTGAGAAGAGACTCGGCTTCTGCAACAGTAACATTGGCATGAATCCAATTGAGACTTTGCGATTGCTTTACACGCTCGCTCTTGATGCCATATTCTTCAAGCCATTGAAAAACTGCATTAACCGACTCGGCACTTGGAGCAAAGGTTTCAGCAACCTTCTTCGCACTCCAATGCTTGCCATAGTTTGGTGAGGAGGGATTGGAAACATCCATCAAGTATGCTTCGGCGTTATGCAAATTATTTTGAGTGATGGCGAATCGCATTGGGAGGTGTGAATCCGGGTGTAATGGACTCTCCCTACGCCAATTGCGAGGTTCTTGATCTCTTCGCTCATGGACGACATGTCTTTTTTGAGAAGCTGGAGCAGCAATCGCTCCAGTCAAGAGACTGCATGCAAATATAAGAGAGAAATGCATTTTGTGAGCAGAAAGAGAGTTCACTTGAGTCTTCAACTACTTGGGGAGAGCTCGAGGTCTTATGAAGCAAAGAAATAGCTATGGGAGCTTCCTTATCACCTACCATTTCTGGTAAGTACCTGTCAACATCGGCACTAAGAACTTAGCAAGGGGTGCATTGCCAGGCTACATATGTGATCCAGGGGTGGTTGACAGGGTTTTTGACACCATTCTTACCCATATTTGACTAGTATGGTGAGTAACTTGCAGCACTTATGAGATGAAAATCTTTTATCTAAATGCACCTGCATGAGAGGAGACAGTAAAAGGAAGGAAGTCGATACGCCGTGCATTACCTGCCCGATGAAGAATGGTTCGTGGGCAGGTATAGAAAGTGTTGTGATGGGTCAGGTCAATAACACCATCAATGATTTCTGCAGCGGTCCAATCAACCTTCTTACTGTTTTCTATCCGAGACTTCTCAGATGGAAAAAGTTGAAGTATCTCGTATTCATTGAAATCATCCGAAGTCGTAGATATTATGGGGAAGGTGTCAATTGTTATTTCATAAGATGAGAAGGTGTAAAGGTTGCGCTTGATGAAAATGGTAGAAATCAGTCTTTGTGAATGTTGATAAGATGAGCACAAGTCTCAAGATGTGGTAAGATAAGGTTTGAAAGGTGGATGGTGTGTCCATGGTGTGACGAGGTGGTATACGGAGTAAATTGGTGGGGTTGAATAGATAGGATGAGATGAGATTGGGTGATTTTTCATTCTCGGCGAGATATAAATGAAATAAGCAATAAGCCGAAAAGCTTAAACAACGGCTATACTCCGTACTGTACTAGTATTGAGGTATGTACATATATGTACATATATCTGGGACCGGCAATTGAATTATTCCGTCCATGTACTCGAGTACTAAAAATAGTAGACTTATCTATGGATAGACGCAGATGGGAGATTTTTAATTTCACCCTCCACTCACATGATTCGGCAGCCTTGCAGCATTGGTTGACTTTTAATAACCTTATATTAATGGTTATTCATTTTCATATGCACATTAGAGGAAAAGCTCCAGTCACCTTTGATTACCTAATCCAGTCGGGTCATGAAAAGGCGGGTCTTTGGTAAATCTGACTCGACCTATGAGTATGTGCCCGTACAACCTTTTAAGATTAGGTAGTTAATGCTCAAGATCAAAGCCTTGAAGCCTTACTATGATTGGGTCCACTTCGTCATACCCTTTAATAGCCTTGCAGAAAGGATCAAAGCTCGATCTGTAATCCTGTGTGTGATTGGCTGGCCAAGGTAAATCATCTACAGATTAGTCCCGATGCGGTCAAATCTGAGTCTAGCCCTCTCAATGTAGCCTTACTCATGGAATTGTCCAGCAAATTGCCAAATTCAATTTTCATGCAACTATCATAGCAAGTCAAGTTTCTCACAATGTCTGTTTCTTTAAAATGTTGGAAAATTCTGATACAACAGGCGATTCCATACCTAATAGACAGCATTGTTGAGTCGTCTCCATCCTCATTTTATCCCGCCAAATCTACTTCAACGTCAAAAACACATCGCAAGAGGCAGTGACTGTGCAAGAACCAACGAAAAGTACCCCCGCAATTACAATTCTGAACTTATTTACATCAACAAATTGAGCATTATGTCCATTATTGGGAGTGTTCTCCAGACTCCTGAGCATGAGAACCCTCTAGTATCCTTCTATCGAAGCAAGACTCCGGACACTACAGGACGATATATTTCCCAAATCTTGAAATGGGACTGTAGAAAGTTGGAGGACACACACGACTATATTCAATGGCTGTTCCCTCTCCCAGAAGAGTCCATGGTCAGCAGTGCACCTTTGGTAGATGCGGATGTGTTCAATGCGTTTCAGTCCTCTCCTGAATTACAATCCCTGCTTAAGAATTCTTTGGTTAAGATGTTGGATTTCTATGGGTTCGAGTTCGTTGATGGTTTGAATGAGAATAATAACTTGCCTACTGTACGTTTAATGTCAAGTTAACAAGTATATCAGGTCAGTGGTGTTGTCTAACTTTTCTATTAGATAGTCAGATCTCCCAGTTTTACTGCAAAATGCGGCAACTGGCTCGTTAGGAGAGACCATAATCACCTGAGAATCAGTCGAATCCTTCGATCTCTCCGCGTTCTGGGTCTGGAACCTGAAGCTGCCGCATTGTATAAGGCAATATCAGACATTATCTACGCGGAACCTATCCAAATTGTTAGCTCTCAATCAGCGGAATTCTGGCGACGTGCTGCCCAGAGACCCTTACATTGGGCACCGCATCTGCCTGAAAAAGAATGCCGAATGGACAGAAAATGGAGACTGGGCGCAGAATTCCTAAAAGATTATGAAAGAATAAAGATGGCTAGGGAGTTGCAGCAGCGGCACGACACAAAAAAAGCTCTAGAGGAGGAGAAAGAAGCAGAATTTCAAGCCACAAAAGCACATATTGCTGCAGTTATGGCTGATCGACAGAGAAGGTTCGAAGAAGCTAATGTTAGTTCCCAAAAACCAGGTAGAGTTTCACTGTGGAGTAGAAGTAGCATTTCAGAGCCTCAGCTCGACAAGAAGGAAGATGTAGTTGCTCAAACACGCGAACTCGTGTCTGATGTACAGGAGGTTATAGCAACCGAAGCAATAGCAACTCCGAAATCTACAGACAGATTCTCAGATGCAACTAACTTTGACGAACCTATGCCTAGGCTTGACAAACCCGAACTCATCAATCAGAAAGCTGCAGAGAATGGTGGACAATCAGCTACTCACAAAATTCAACAGTACCAGCTCATGTCTCCTCGTCATCCTTAGTCGGCATAAATACGTCTTTTCATTTCATTTTTCACGAGATAGATGATGGTCTAGGGAATACTGGTAGTTATGAGGTGGTTTATGGATGGTCTATGAGTGGTTATGGGTGGTTTATGAGTGGTTTATAAATGGTATATAAATAGTTTATCAGCGGTCTAATAGGAACTCTAGTAGTTTGAAATTTAATACTATATCAAGTCAATATATTCAAATATAAACATCTGGGAAATACAGAATAAAGTTTTAAAAAATTATATTCTGAATAGAACTTTATAATATTCATTGTTTAATTTTTTATATACTAAATATTTTCAATAGTAAATGAATAAAAGATATAAATGAGATTAATAAAAATAAAGACATAAATAATAATAAAAATAAATTTTATTTATAATAATTAAATTTAAATATTCAAGATTTTAAAAAAAATATATATATATATATTATATATTAATTCAAAATTTAATACCGGTACTAGATAATAAATAATAGAAGTTTATTATAAGTCTTATTATATATGATATATAATATATATCATTTATATTTATATTTTATTTATCTATATATACCCCGACTTTAAACTATCTCCCCCTCCCTCTCTTCCTCTCATTCCCTCAATATCATTTAAAACCCGCATCTCAACTCCAGAACCCCTTCTTCACCTTCACCACTACCAACACAAAAAACAACATAAACAAGACTCACTCCGCACACGCGCTTATTCCAAGGAATTAATCAACAACTCACAATACAATCAAGGTTTGTAAGGAGACACAGCTCTCGACCCCGTCATCACTACACCCCCCTTCTCAGTAACCAAGACTGCGTCTTCTATTCTGACGCCAAAACCAGCGGGTTTGCCTAATTTAGCGGCTTGGGCTGATGTTATGTAGATACCCTATTGTTGGAGCGAGCACGGGTCAGTTAGGATTATTTTTGAATTACTGGGTTTGGAGGAATGTTAGGGCCGGGGAGGAGAGTAGGTGGACTTACAGGTTCATTAGTAACTACTTCACCCATTTTCAGTTTCTCTCCATTAACTCCATTCAAATAAGGATGTTCGTGCATTTCCAATCCCAAGCCATGACCCAATCTATGTGTGAAGAATTCTCCGTATCCTTTTTGTCTAATTACTTTCCTAGCCGCCTCATCCACAACCGAACATGTCTCGTTAATATTCATCCGTTCTATCGCTGCGGATTGTGCATCGTGTACCAAATACCACATATCCATCAACTCTTTGCTAACTTTTGATTTCGTAGGGAGAATTGTACGAGTCACATCGCTACCGTACGAATGGAGAGAAGTGCCAATATCTACTAGGACAAATTCTCCATCTTGGAGAACTCGCCCCTTACCACCACCATGAGGATTTGCAGCCTGTTCTCCAAAAAGTACAATAGACCAAAATCCCTCCCCAACACCCGCTTGCGTAAAAAGTCCCGAAGCAGCTTCCACAATAGTTTCCTGACTCATACCTACCGAAATACACGGTTGTAAACTCCTAACCAACTGCACCGTAAATTCATTTACCCCCCTCAAAATATCCAACTCCTTCTCACTCTTCACAGCTCTCAAAGACTGAATATCTAAACTCGTAGGAAGCACTTCAACACCATTTTTCTGAAGTCCCGCCGCAATCATAAATCTCGCATGTTCATCCAACATAATCTTCTTATATCCCGTTTCCTTAACCAAAACATCATAAGCCGATTCCTCTTCTCTCCATTCAATAACACTCTTCTCCTCAAATACCATATCCAATGCCGTAATCCTCCCAATCTCAAATTTCGGCACCAGCAACGACGCATGCCCCCTCTTATCCAAAATAACCAAAAAAGGTCTTTCGGAAAGTTCAAACGAGCTGGAGATATTAGTAAAATATGCCGTTGAAGCAGAAGGCTCGGCAATAAATGCATCCACGCCTGCTTTTTCCAACGCGACAGCAAGTATAGATTGACGTTCTAGGAATTCTTCTATGGCGATGGATTTTACATCAAGAAGAGAAGTATGTTCTTTAAGGGAAGCCCAGGCGCATTTTTGAAGAGGGGGAGATGTGAGCTGGAGATCGCGATGGAAGGTTTGGGGTAGGAAAAAGTTTATAACCATCGCTATCCAAATCGCGACTGCGAGAAGCAAGATGAATGTCATGTGATTTACACAACATCGTCGTTTGTTTCTTGGTTTCGACTTGAGTGTTTTTGGATGCGACTGGGAGGCTCCAAAGGGCAGAAGGGGCTCCCGAATATCCTTTTCCGAAGTCATGTTGTGTGAGGTCTTATCGGGATGTATCGAGGATGTGGTGCTTGAGGATGTTGTTTGTAGCCTGTGATTCAGGAGTCGGTTGGGCTCGGGTTCAAGGTAAAAGGAGGAGATACCATCAATGTAACTTGTGGACTTAATCTCGATTGGTGGTTAGCAGGAAAAGACAGGTTTCGATGTTAGACGTACACCGGTATTCCTCCTGTTGTTTGAAGGTGTTGATGTAGCTCGATATGTAGTAAAAGATAACCCGGGAAGATGAAGGAGGGTCCGTGCATGATCTATCTCATCATATTACCAATGGCGCACAGAAGTCGTTGGTGTGCAACCAATTAACCAACCTAAGGTACACTACTAGGCAGGTATCATTCACTTCCGAGATCACGACAGTCAGCGCTCAAGATTCTATGAATATCTCTATATTGTATGTAAAACTAGGTAGAAAAGAGTGATATAGACAATGGTTCGTCTTTCTAATACGAAAAATGGCATTATAATCGACCAATATCCCTATCCAAAGAAATCTAGTCAAGCAAAAAGAACATTCAACACTAATCTATACCATCCTCCTTTCCCATTCTCCTCTTTTGATATTGTCTTCCCTCATGCGCTAAGATATACCAAGATTGTAACTACATGAAAGTCTTCACATTCCAAGCAGCGCATTGACTCCAGGCTCGCTGGAAACATGGATAACATCATGGCTGTCTGTGAAGCCGTTGAATCTCGTTGCCGAGCATTTGGTGTATGCACCCATGCCCTCAAAGTAGAGCCAGTCTCCAACGTCAAGATTGTGATCAAAACGAATGCTTGCGGAGATACGATCGATGCCGTCGCAAGTCGGGCCCCAAATAGAGTACTCAGTGCCTCCTAAAGTTGCTTGACTTGCGAGAGTGTCAAAATAAGAGCGTTTCCCAGTACGAAGTACTTGAGCGATTGGGTTTTGATGGTCAAACATGATGCTTGAGAAATTACCATAAAGACCATCATTCAAGTAAAGCATATATCTCTTTTCCATTGACTCGGGGTCTCCAACAGTTCGACGTGCAATAACATTGCAAGCAAGTGTAAATGCGTTTGCGACGTAGTAACGTCCAGGCTCTCCAATAATTTTGATGTTTTTTGGCATGTATTCTTCAAGGGCATCATTGAGAGCTGCCGCCATCTTTTCAAATGTCTCACTGCAGAACCCTCCACCGACGTCAAGAGTGTGCATATAGTAACCATAAGTGCGAGCTTGCTCAAAGACGGTGTGAGCATCTTGAACTGCCTCTCTGAATGCAAGGGGGTCAGAGGCACCGGACCCTACGTGGAAGCTGACGCCGACAACATTGAGGTCAAGTTCTCTGGCCAAAGCAAGAAGATCGTTTGTTGTATCCATGGTTGCTCCAAACTTCAAGCTCAATTGGCACAAGCTTGAGGAGTCATCGGTAGAGATTCGAAGGAACAACTCAGCTCCCGGGAATAGTTTTTTGATCTTGTGCAACTCATCGCTGTTGTCGAATGTCATTTGCTTGACGCCTTGCTTCGCGGCATAACGGACGTATGAATTCGTCTTGCATGGTTGGGCATAAATTATACGAGCAGGATCGATGCCCGTCTTGAGGACTTGCTCTATCTCGCCCTTGGAAGCACAATCGAATCCTGTGCCAAGTTCTGACAGGAGACGAATGACTTGTGGGTCCGGGTTACATTTGACCGCTGTTCTGAAGTTAGCAAATTTCCATCCGTTGTGCGCGTAGAGGTAAAGGACTGACCATAGAAGGGCTTGACTCTAGGCAAGTTTCTCTTCCATCTCATGTGCTGTCTGTAAACCTCGCCTAGATCAGCTACGAAGAACGCATCTTCGTCACCTGCTTCGCAGGCATCATTATCAATATTTTCCACCCTTTGCTTCAAAGCATTTCCAATTATATTTTTGGGAGTATTCACGCCATTAAGGTCAATATAAGCATCTTTAGGATAGTATGATTCGATACTATTAAGATTGTTATTGTTTTCGTGGGTAACAATGGCGGAAGGTGACATATCCTCGTGTGTAAGTGAGGATTGTTCAATATATTTGTGAATTTTTAACTAGTACATGTCAGTACGGCCGAGGAAATATCAAAGTGTAACCAAGCACTGGCAATGGGTGCAATCTTACCTGTACTTTAAAAAGCCCAAGGGGATATTATGGTGGTCTATAACGATCAGATCCTGTGCTGATCTGGCGAGGTCGGCTCGACTCTTCCTCTGCGAGAGGAAGGCCCTTTAAACTCGTCCTATGCGGCAGCTGAGGAGTTTCGGACGAAGACGGGGTGTTGTTAAACAACTCGTAAAACAAACGCTCAACTTGATTAAATTGCAGCAAAAGGAGGTGGTGTGGTGTTGATGATGTGCCGGTTAGGACGTTCGGAGTAATCTTGATCAGAAACTAATATTGCGGCCGTTGGAGCCGTGCTGGATATTTCGCCTTTGATTAGACCAAAGGCAGTCGAGAGGGATTTAGTTCTTCGATATTAGAAGATCTGCGACTGAGGTATTAGCAACTGTGTCATGAAATCCCTCATCTGAACGTTTGAGCAATATACGAAGGAGCTCGCGATGACTAGAGAATCACAGTCTTTCCCTGATGACGGGAAGACAGATACCAAGAATGCATCGCACTCCAAGAGAACAGATTTTTCACCGGCGGGGTAAAGAGCTCACTCACCAGAAAGAACTTGTCAATATAGTCCAAACACAAGACTATATTGTACGATGGGTTTATTTGAAAACGATGGCAGCAGATGCGCAAGATCGAGCAGAGTGAGTAAGTGGCAACAATATTCCACACCCAAAGTTATATATGAGTAGTTTGTGGGGGTTTGCAACCAGAAACCAGATGGGTTGGTGTTCGAGGGTTTCGCGCGGTGAGTGACCTTGACCTTTGGCTGTTTAAAATTTTGTAATACGCTAAAATTCTAGCCGACCCACTTCCACTTCCCCCGTATATGGAGTAAATGAAAATACCTCATTATTCTCATTCTCCCAGATTCTCCCAATTCTCCCAATTTTCCAAGCACAAACCGCAACTTATGTTAAATCTGGAAAGATGGAAAATTGAAGGGAGATGCCCAAAGTAAGATGAAGTTCAGACGGTTCAAGTAATCCATGCCAAAGTTTAATTAATATTTAATCTATATTCCTACCACTTTCTAGGTAGGGAGCACCGGGAGGTAGGTCGGTCGGTGGTAGATAGGCAGGTAGCTATTTGTCTGATTTAGGATAATGATGAAGTTCTACAACCTTAGACCATTGCTGTCTTCCCAATTGATCGATCAATACATTACCATTATCTTCAGGCATTTTGGAAATTTGAAGATTTTTACTGCATGACGTAACATATATCAGTTAGCAATGAACCTAATACCTAATAAACTTCATGCCCCTCTTTTTCATGGGTGACTCGATACAGGAGAGAGTCAATACCAACCACCACAAAGGGATGAACCAGGCAACTAGTAAGGAGATGAGAAGGGGGACGGGTGTCGGTCACCAATGTTTGGTTGGAAGCAGGCTGCTCAACATGCATGTTAGAAATAGAGCATTCAAAGAGTACCTGGGTAAATCTTACACAAATAGCTGTATAAATGGTTATAAACTTCCGAGATGCACCAGATCAGCATTAGTTCCCCGTCTTCATACACTACGGTATTCTAAGCGGTGACACTGCTGTTATCAAAACATCTACCTGCTTCTTAAGCTTTAGTGTGGTTTTATGCCTTCACCTCTATCGCTTCCTTAACCACTCTTCGACCTCTTCATGGACCGCCAACCAACATACAAATATCCCTCATGTAATACAGCACAGCCCAGGATGTATTTATCACGTAGTTCAGGATTTCCCCTCTTTGCTTTCTATACTATGTCCTCACATCTTTAGTCCGCCATCCCATGTCTCCGGGACCACAGCTCTGAAATAAGATGGAACCATAAAGCTTTAACTCGCGACATGAAAGTCTGGTTAGACACTAAATGTTGATATTGCGCTAGTCTTCTCCGAGGAAGACGTGACTTGTGATCTGACAGCCATTGAGATGGGACTGCAGACGTGATAATCTGTTCGTAGCGCTAAGGGATAATTGAGAATTAGAGAAAAGAATTAATATGCCTACCAAGGATAAGAATATTTTAGCTTGACGTATTTATTGATGTATTGGAGGAGTCATGACGTTCGAAAGGTGATATGCCATTGCTCATTATATGCTACCATATGCCTGTCTAGACACCAGTGATCTTTATCTTTACCTATAATACATACCCCTTCAATCATTAATATTGTACAGCCCCAAACGCCCAAAATATGCAGCTGAGTGGAATACGGTGTGTTACAGAACTGCATGTACTATGATCCGAAAGCGGCATTCTTCACATCTTCTTCGCTTAGAACCTCAGGTTGTTCTTGTGCGAGCCCCAGATTCTTTGTTTCCCAAGTTCCATCGACCCAAGGCTTTTGTTCTCCAAGGAAAACCATATTGCCTTGGCCGCTTTCCAATGCATCAACCAGGTATTTCTGCGCGACATTTTGGACTTGCTCTCTAGTCACGTCCAACAAACGCTCACGTCGCTCCTGAACCATCTCTTCTGATACACCGGATACAAATCTTGTCATGCCCTCTTGACTGACGGACTGAGGTGCATCAACGCTCTGAAATACAGACAATTTGGCTTCTTCCAGGTCGCGTTCCGTCCATTCTTTTTGAACTGCCCATTTACCAGCGTTGCGCATGATTGACATCGTATTTTGAGGATTTGGATCGCGATAGGAGTAAAATCCAAAAATTCCGTCAAGCCCTCTCGAGTAAGCTCCCCCGCCATAAGCTCCACCCTTTTCTCGGATCTCATGGTGCAAATACTTATGAGTCAAGAGTTGGGAAAGGATTTGAAGAGGGGCACCAGCGGGAGACGTGTAAGAGACAGTTGGGAGAGCAAGGCCCCCATAGTATACTTGATACGGCAGAGGGAAAAAGGTTTTGGTGTTTCTGGTGAAATCTGGGAGAGGAACATGTCGAGAAGGTAACTCAGATCTTGGAATTGACGATAAAAATTGTTGGAGAGCGGCTTCATTATCCATGACACTTTCACTACCACATGTGAGGGCAGTCCGGAACGTGGAAGTCCCAGAGAACGCGAGTCGCTGGATTGTCTTGAGCTTGTCGATGACATCCGCCAATCCTTCGGCTTCCGGTCTAGAAGCAAGTGAGGTGGTGAGCTTGACCTGGGATAATCCCCCCACTTGTTCTTTCAATCGCCCATATTGTGTGACACCGGCTTCAGCATAACCTCTGGCATATACGTGCCCCGATGATGCGATATTGTTAACTGCCCCATCGGCTGAACCCTGCAGAAGTTGGCGAATGCGAAGTTCTGCATCGGGGCTATCAAAATTGGTTTCAAGAACTAGCTTTCGCAATAATCCAAACATGTCAGGCACATTACGATCCAGGGCAGTCCCGGAGAAGCTCAAGCCCTCTGATGCTGACTTGAAATCTGTAGGAGATGAGGAAGCATGATAACTAACACCGATTCCTCCAGTCTTGAGCTTCATCAAGTCTTCCAATTGCTCCATAGTCATGTCTTTTGTTCCAAGGCGCATTATGGAATCTGTGAATAATGGAATGTAGGCCCGTAACTCCTCGGGTAGATTCTCAAAAGTGTTGATCGCTCGGAAGTACGTAAGTCCATTGGTTGGTGCTTCTCGCCACTGTACGCTCACGTTGTCGACCTTAGAATCCCTTAATTCTATTTTCTCGTCTTGTCTTGGGATATCCTTGACATGAACGGTAGGAAGACAACTGAGATCTTGGGTGTTGGATTTTCCTTGTTCCTCCAAAAGCTCCAATTCTCTCTTCTCTAGCAGTGCCCGAGCTTCGGCCTCACCACCAGCCTTCTCTGTAACCTCTGCAATCTTCTTCGCAAGACGAGCAGCTTCTTCAGCTACAAGCTCATCTCCATATGTTGTCGAAGGAGTCATTGTGAAGGTGAGCGTGTTGTCATTTAGTAAGTACTTTTCCAACAAACCTTCCAAATAGCCACCCTTCTCGAATTCCTTCTGAAAGGCGGCGACGGTGTCATTCCAGGCTAAGGCTTCAAAAGGATCAACACCATCAAACCATTTAGGTTTAATTCTATGCATCAAAGACATGCCAAACTTGGCAGTTTTATGCTTCAAGCTCAACTCCAATTGATGTAGGTAACCGTCAATTTTCGATTTCTCAAACCCATTCTTGTGTGCTTCTTGGAAAGTTTTGTGGATCGCTTCCTTGACTTTCGGTACCTCAGCTTCTTTCACGCCCGTTAGTCCAGCGGAGAATATTCCGACTTTTCCAGAAGGATCATAGCCACTATTAGGGCTCCATTCAGTTCCCAAACCAGCCTCGATCAAGTTTCTATAGAGCGGTGATCCATATCCATCCATAAGCAGGGCAAACATTATCGAAAGTGAGAAAGTCTCTAATACATCCGAAGTATCACCTACCAGCCATGAAGTTGAGGTCTTATATTGCATATCTGCATCCACCAGTGGATCAATGGGCCCCGGAACCGTAATACTCTGCGGTCCAGATGATAAATCGATGGGTGATCGTATTTCCATATCTCCCTGGATGCGCTCAAAAGCATTCAATTGAGCATTAACCTCTACAAGATGATCCGCAAGAGGCATATCGCCGTAAGTAAAAACTTTAGCGTTACTTGGATGGTAATGCTCGGCATGGAAGTTTTTCAGTTGCTCATATGTCAAGTCGGTCATCTTTTGCGGATCGCCTCCAGAATTGTTGATTGCAGGAAAAATGTGATCTTGAAACCTGATGTAGTACAGATATCCAGCGTCCGACATTTGCCCCTTCATTTCATTGTATACGACACCTTTAAACACCAATTTGCTGTCGTCTGGTTTTGCAGACTCCCCCTCTATTGCCACTCGTGGGTTCTCGGGCCCTATTCTCCATCCTTCTTGTGTGAAGTCGCTCTGCTTTAACAATGGGTGTAATGTGGCATCAAGGTAAACAGACATCAGATTTTTAAAATCTTGTTCATTAGTGGTGGCGAAAGGATAAAATGTGTGAGAAGACGCGGTGAATGCATTCATGAAGTTTGACAATGTTCGGGGTAGCATTTTGAAAAAAGGATCACGGATGGGGTACCTACAGACTATTCAGCGCATTCCAAGGTGAGGTGAATGAAGGAAGGCAATTTACTTTTTGCTTCCACATAATGTTGTATGTTCCAATATATGAGGAACTCCAGTATCATCTGGAGGATTTGTTTTAAATCCGATGGAGAAGACATTATTCTTATCTTCTCTAGCAACATGTAAATAATCTGCGCCAGTTTTATCATGCTTCAAATGAAGTGCTGTCAACTCAAGTTCTTGAACATGCTTTGACCTTAAAAGTGTAAATCCATGAAGCTTTTCTCCCGGTTTTGGATATTGGGCGAGTTCCGTAACTCCCTTCCTTGCAGCTTGTCGTAACATATTTTAAATCAATATGTCATCAAAGACACAAAAGATGAAAGGTAAGGAAGGAGGAGGGAAGGAAGAGAATGATGGTGAATTAATCTTGTCAGGCGCAAAGAAAGGTGGTTGTTGATTTGATTTGATTTGATTGTTCGCTTCAGTGAAATTTCATGTTTGAAAGCCCGATTGTCCGGCCACTAGCTTGTTATACAATCAACTTCGTAATATCTTATTTTGAGAAGAACGTCAAGGTGCAGAGAGGCAAAATCAATACATAAAATCACCTAAATTTAGATTGCGACGAAGCAATCGTCGCTGATAAAGTTTAAATAGATATTCACGCTGTCCATTAACTATGTCAACTACAGCAAATCCCACTTACGCACCTGGCCCTGCGAATTCAAGAACCACCTCGATGAATGCGAACCATACCCATGCCGAATATCCCAATGGACATCATCACCATAACGATGCTGGAGTTAAGAAGGGAAAGCAGAAGAAGGCGACGGATCCGAGCGAAGCTTCGAAGTTGATCGCGGCCAAAATCTCGCAACTGGAACTGGATGCAGCTGGAGAGAAGGATCAAGAGGCAGAGATTGGTTCGTTTTGCCCATTCTAGATACTCCCTCCCAATCACCAATTTGTATCTTGCACCAGATATTTTGCTGCGGCGCGCATTACCTACTCGAAATGTGTCGCGGCGAAGGAGAGGGGTAAGCGCTTCGCTTCAGAACTGAATTGTTGTGTGTGGTCAAATTTAGAAAGGAGGGGTGTCGTCCTTTTTGGTTCTATGATAGATCAAAAAGTATTTGGTATCATTTTTCCATTTTGGAGAGACCAGAGGACCGATTCGCCCCATTTTGAGTTTCCTGCGAGTGCATATGGAGGGGCAATGTGAAATTAAGTTTTACTGGAAAAAATTGCTAACAGATTATCCTCTCAAGAACGCGAAGTGAAAAAAGCGAATCGAGAACTGAATAACCTCACATCCAAAATGGATGATCTTCAAAAAATTGAGACCCTTTCCAGGAGGGTCACGGAGCACCTCGCGGACATGAAGCGACTGGAGCGGGATAACCAGAAGAACAAGAAGCGTGGTGACGTGCTGCAGAAGGAGAAAGACGTTGCGAGAACCGATCTTGCCAAATCCAATACACTCCGAGAGAAGTTGGAGAAACTTTGTAGAGAATTACAGAAAGAAAACAATAGACTCAAGGTGCGCATTTTACTGGGTGCATGTGATTTTACAGATGCTAAGCGGGGTTAGGGTGAAAACAAGACTCTGCATGATACCGAAAAGAAGGCCAAAGAGGAGTGGGATCAGAAATGGGACGAAATGCTATGGCAATTTCAGGACTATCAAGATAAAAAGGACCATCCCCAAACTGTGGTTGTCAACCCTGAAATTGACGAGCTGTAAGTTCCCCCATGCCGCCGGAGTCCCATTACTAACTATTTTTCTCCCAGTTTCAAAGCGAGGTTTAAGTCTTTAATTGACCAGTACGAACTACGGGAGCTTCATTTTCATTCTCTTCTACGTACAAAAGAGCTCGAGGTTCAGTACAACCTTGCCAGATTTGAGCGTGAACGAAGAGCCGCCGAACAGGAGGTCAATCGGGCAAAACAGTTGAATCAGCAGGTCCTTACCTTTTCCAAAACCGAAACCGAGTTGCGAAACCAGCTGAATATCTATGTTGAAAAGTTCAAGCAGGTATGACCTACTTTTCTATACATGATCTTGGTCGCGTGGTGCTATTAGATGCCTAGAGCTAATTGCCCGTCAGGTGGAAGACACGCTCAACAACAGCAATGACCTATTTCTAACGTTTCGCAAGGAGATGGAAGAAATGTCGAAAAAGACAAAGCGCCTCGAGAAGGAGAATATGTCTTTGACTCGAAAGCATGAAGTTACCAATAAGAACATACTCACAATGGCCGAGGAACGCAACAAGAGTACCCATGAAATCGAGGCGTTGAAGAAGAGAAATGATAAGCTAAGAGATATCATTGACCAGATGCAGAGACAAGGACGAGGTCTTGCCCAAGGCATGGCGGGAACCGTGGAAGGGGAGTATACTGAAGGTGATTTAGAAGGAACAGAGAGCGAGTACGAGTATGAAGAGGGCGAGGACGAAGGAAGTGATGGAGAATACGACGAGGATACAGAGGAGGATCTTCACCCGGAGCCTCCAAGACCCTTTGGACCTGTACCACCTCCACCCCCGGCCATGAATGGCATGACTGGTGCGAATGGCGTACACTGAGTAAGGTGCCAGGCCTATCAATAACACAATTTTGTATTAAGATCTCAGTATCAATTCTCGATGCCGCTTGGCATTGTGCGTGCATATGAACTTGCAAAGTATTTCTTTTGCGAGGTAGCATCGAGTCAGACAATCTCACTTTGCACACATGTATATGTATTAGCAGACAAATCAGTAAATAGTCAACCTCGCTTGCAGTACCTAGCGCGCGGGAACAATTAATTGTGAGTGGTTTAGTTGTTACCATGTCCTGTTCGAAAGGCGAACTCGCTTTGTTCTCACTAAAGCACTTAAATTAAGATGGATCTTTGTTCTACTTCTTGTTACAAAGAAAAGATTGTCCCTTTCAGAGCTATTTAACGTGATCCCTTCTCATATTATACGCATGCTATTATTCTATTCTAAAAAGGGTTACAAGTTGGAAGGACATGTCGGTACTTGAGTCCTAGGCTTCATAAACTCCTACATACTAGATATACACAGTGTCGATCTTGCATGTTATAATAGAGGTGGGTAGTATGTTCTGCATATCATATACTGTCCAATGAGATCAAGAGAAGTTGCTATTTGTTAGTTTGAAATACTTGTTTCATTGCTTGCTTCAACGCCGGTTCTCATGGTCTAATTACAAGTACTAGCCACACAATTGTTCTGCTTAATACTCTCAGACAGTTCGAGACAGTCCGCAGCATTGTTCATGTTCGTAATCCAAGATAAAAACAGGAAATCAGACAGTGATATTGTTCTCACCTTGATCTACTTGTTGTTCAGATGTTGGGACAGGGTCGGAATAATGGCTCCCAAATTACTATTTAAGGACGTATCTCTTACCTTATCATCCATCCCATCAACTCATCGAGCATCATCTAAAGACAATCCAAACAAGATTTAAAAGATTTACAAGATTTACAAGCAAAGCTTTCAATCAGAATCGTCAGTCGGATCACACGCTTAACCACTCACAAATCAAAATGCCGGCCGCTCCAAGCTTGCGCAAGCTTCAAGCGATGTTGGACGACACCGTCCTCGGCAAATCCGAACCATCCACCCGTGCGATACTCGCCCCAGGACAGATACCCAGCCACCGCTGGATCTCGTTCGGCGGCGAAGTTCTCGCACTCTCCATCGACCTCGGGGAAGGAAGATACCCCACACCAACCGAGATCCACAAGTTTCACAACATCGTAAAACTCTACGCACCCTACACCAAGACCTGCATGATCTCAGTGACTCTTCCCAATTACGTCTATGATGTCCCAAAATCTGACCACGGCCGCATCTTCTTGAATCTCGTCTCGATCCTCAACGAATTCACTCGCGTCGCTCGTCTCGAAGTTATAACCCGCATGCCGTTTGAGAACTTCACGCAGCTCATAAACGCAAGTCACTTCTACAGACTCGATTTCAAGGATTGGAAACTCTTCCTTAAGGTCGGGTCTGAGGATCTCGAGCAAATTCATGTCGGTTCGACGATCGAAAGCAGGTTGAACGATTGGTATAAGGTCAACATCGCTGGTGTCCCTTGAGGAATCACGGTAAAGGAGAGGTAAATGTGGGAGGTAGGTGAACGAGAACTAAATTGCATGACAGAATTGAATGAAGCCCAAACTGATCGATCTTTTGTCGCAAGCAGCAGTTATAGTTATTTCGCGTTGCAGTTTCAAATCCCAAATTGAACAATTTTCTTTAAAAATAAATAGTAAGTTTTCCCTTATAAATGTAAATGACTTAATGACCGTGAATTGATATACAATCTCAAGAGTGACATGACCTTACAATCTCACCATCATCCAAGCATATGCTCGTTTAGAAGAGAATCACAGATATAATTATGAACTAACACCACCCGAATGAGTCTAAAGCGGTATCTTATATAGATAGTAGGTATCAGACATGCAAGGTTAGTGCAGAGTACCGATTAACCAGTCTCAAAGCAGCGCCACATAGCCTTATATCAATACCATAGCCCATCTACCTACCCGCCATACGTATAACAAACATATAGATATTACGCTGGATCTAATAGATTCGTTCGTTCGGAATTTACCGGCAATCTCATCCATCTATTCCGTAGTTCTAGCCTGCATCATGCAAGTAAGAACTAGTGCATTAAACCACCTGTATAAAACGTGCGTCCTGGCAAAAAAATCTCCACCAAAGCTTGGATATGGCATCCCTGTAGAAACCAAGGTAACCTTAATTTAATCTATAAAATTTCCGCAAGTTCTTCGAGACTACTTATAATTTCTAAGTGTGAACTCAATATATTCTAGTAATCTTTGATCTTTCACTCTGTTGGAAAGATATCCATTAATAGATCTATTCTAACCACAGCCCTGCCATTGGTTTGTCGAAAATAATCGGTTCTATCAGAGAAACTACCTCGATATAAAGCTCTAAAGTATACTCCAACTATGGAAACATATATACCATACATAGATTGCCAAAACAGTTTGATTCAAAGGATATAAAACATCTAATGAGGAATAGTAGATCTAGGAAGTAATCAAAAGGATATTAAGTAGGTATTGAATAAAAAACGAAAGATATATTATAGCTACCAGTATAAACCATCAATCAAGAATAAATTTTTAAAATTTATCACTAGCTAGATATAAATAATATAGAATTTCAGGATACTGGATTCAGAATCATGATCTCAAAACCAGAAACTCCCCTCTGGAACTTACTTAAATATCCCTTCTTAAAGCACCAAACTCATGTCAAAATTATAATAAGATCTTACCTGAACTATATAGATATCAATCTACAAATCTTAACAAAAAGACTCTAACCCAGCAATACAACTCTGTTTCAGTGTTTCTAGATATGTGTTCCTGGATCTGTGTAGTAGTATATCCTCACTCTTTGTTTGTCCACCAATAATTTATTGGCGATGAAAGAATCAGCAGCTTGAGGCTTTAGCTTATCCTGCTATGCTCCTCACTTCTAATATCTAACACCTTTCACCCGGAGACATACGATTTCTATACCATTAAAATGAAAATTTGAAAGCGGCATAATTACGTGAACGGAAAGGGCATTTCCGTCTCTGACTCTCTGACACTCCATATCATAGTGGATTCAGGAACGATCTTTAACTACTTCACTACTTCCATACCGCCGTATTTGATGCTATTAGCAATACATTCAAGCCAACTGCCGCATACGGAGAAGATGTCGGTTGGCTTGCTGTCTCTTGCGCTGCTGCCCCGTTTGTTTCCTGTTTTTGGCATTGAGATTGGTGGGAGGGGGGATCTTTTTTACTAATTCTTTCGATGTGATTGTTTATCTTTGATAAATCTGCTAATGGGAGTGATATTTGCATAATTAGTGTAATTGATGGTGGGGATGATACTGTGGGGAGTTTGTATGTGCAGAGTGATGCTTTCCTCAAGAATGTTGTTGCGGTTTTTGACGTTAGGGCTCGTGTTATGTAGCTCGCGGCGAGGGAAATTATACTAGCTTTGCTACCTCTTCGGCGATTCAGAGGAAAGCGGCAGTGAGTGAAAAAGAAAGTGTTGGGGGACAGGTCCGGAGGATTTGTGATTATATTGTACGTATTTTGAAGTTGAAGTGAACATAGTGAACATAGTGATTCAGTGCAGCCGTCTTGACGTAGCCTGCGGATATAGCAATGTTCAGATCGTGCTTAGACATTCAGCACTAATACAAATCCTCGGTGATGCGCCAAGAACCGATCCATCAACGTTGTGCCACAAATGAGAGAGGGGAAGAAATGTGCTCGGAGTTCGATTCATCGTACTCTTCAAAAGTGGAATTTAGAGTAAATTTACAAGAAGCTATTATTTGAAATACAATACGATCTTTGCAGAAGCCTAAAAAAAATGACATGTATGGAAATCAATTTGCAGCCTTGACTTGCAGCGATCCGAAGCGCAAGAACTCCTTGATTCTCGAGACTGAAAAAAGCACGCAAGTACGGTACTACAAATGTAAATGCTGGGACCATTCCTAATCACTCTAATCACTGATATGGCACCCAACCAATCTCGTCGATAGGAATCTGAACCCATTGTTTGTGTTCTTCATCTAAATATTTATAGATGTTGGCCATCAGATGATTGCTCCATCCTTCTATCCACCACAGATTCTCTAACTTTTTAAAGCACACAGATGAATATGCAAGAATTGCTAATGCTTCTTGGGTGCCCGCTTTTAGACGAGCCATGTATTCATCAGATAGACGAAATAGCCAGATGAAAATGTCACCCGCCTCGTATTTTTCGGCTGGACACTTGTACATAAACCTGTATGAAAGTTCTAGCTCATGAATCGCAACAGTATATATCCGTGCTTCGTCCTCATTGTGTACTGTAGTTTCAATTGCATTTCTTAGATGGCTTAAATGTTCAGTGTCGTCTTCCGCACATGTTTCACGTAAGCGGACTCTCTCATCCCGGGCTTTGAATAATAAAGCTAAAGGTCCGGACATTAGTGTGCCTCTGAATTGATCGATGATTGCAGTCACCCCTTTAAAGATTGTAAGCCACGAGGTAATCCCATTCTCGCCAACGACTACAAATTCGTCAACGCTGCGAGGTCGACCTAATGTATGCATTCCTGTGATTATTGAGAAGATGTGAAGAGCTGCACAAGTTTCAACGGTAATATCTGAAAGGAACGCGGTGCCTTGGCGGAGGGCCGCTTGATGTTGTTGCATTGAGTAATCATACAGTTGTCGACCCCGGTCAGGCGTGTGGCGAGCCATATGTAGGGCTGACAGAGCGAGCAGCGCACGCATGACGAATTCGTGACTAAACGCAATCTCGATAGCCGTAGTTTGCCATAGATCTTTCGCTTCCGGGCTGGAATTGATTGAGATGCTTGTCGATTTACAAAAGTAGTTGAAAACCTCCAAATCCAAAAGATTCAGGTACGGATCATGGCCCTCGGCAGTGCGGCTCAAACTATCGTTTGGAGCAGAAGCTGAAGCTGAAGATCCGGGAGAGGCGCTTGGTGTCTTCTTCGCCGCCGCTGCGGCATTTGCCCGTGAGTAATCACATGGTATTGAATGCTTGAGACAATTCAGGCAGCTAGGTTTTCCTTCACCGCACTAATAGATGAGTCAGCCACTGTTGAGCTCAGGTCAATAGCACATCAACTAGTGAGGACAACGAGGCAATTGAAGCTAAAGATACACACTATCAGATGGAATGTTCTGTAGTGCTTGGAATTAATTATAGATTTGGGGCCTACCTATGTGTGTGTGTGTGTGTGTGTGTGTGTGTGTGTTCTTGTTTAGGTAGAGGCATATAAAACGGGTCTGTTAATGGTTGCTTCGACTAACCTTAATCTTTCTCCTCTTGCAGTTATCGCACCCTGTCCTCGTCTTTCGATGAGAGCGACGAGAAGAACTGAACATTGTATCGGGTCTTGTGACATCATTATCCATCCTCATGCAGATCGTGCTTATGATGAATCCACTTTGGACTCTGAAAACCGCAAAAGAGCAGACTCTTGAGAGCTGGATATTAGCGGAGAACTCGGCGTTGGCGCGATGCGGATCTCCGGGTGTTAATCTTCTCTTTTCTGTCCATAAATCCTCAAACGCAACTCGTGTATACCACAGAATATCTTGGCTCAAAATGTGGTATTGATATTGGTATTGATACGATGAGTAGCTGTAACAACTAGTAACTTGCGGTTGGGCGATTTTGGTCGAGGTAGTAAGCCCGGAACAAGGGAATAGGTACAGCAATCCGATGGCGGCAGGTTGGAAGAGATGGGCTTTTCTAGTTTGCTGGAGTACTACTACAAACTATCGAGACGGCTTTGTAATCTTACAGCTGGGAATGAAGTAGGTATGAAGTTTGGCTAAAGTACAGTTTTGTCCTTCTCTCCAGCCAGTGAACATCAAAATCGAGTTACGTCGGCACCCATGGACAAGTCCTAAAGACCGAGCGGGGCTGACCCTAAAAATGGAAATATAATTGTGGCTCGGTGAGGCTGATGAATTATGTTACTCATGGGTAAGTGGATGGGAGAAGACCGACATTTAGTTCCTTCGGATCAATATCGAAATATCGAAAGGCTTGTTGGATATCTAACTTAGCACGAGTTAGTTGCAATCATCTATCTATCTGATTCTATAGGGCTGACGGTTGAATTAACGATTAATCATGCAATTGATGCTATTTCGAGACTTTATGAGGAGAGAATTAAGGTTACGTAATATATTTTTGAAACGGATAATAACCGGGGACAGATAACCGGGCAGGTGCCATTGTCTAGGAGCAGTTCCAGCATTCCAACATGGTGAATCAATTGCTTGGCTGGATCCGAACTGACGTCAAGCGGAAGCAGAAACAGAAATAACTTGGTGATATTCAATATGTAGGCACTCTTATCAGACAAGTACACACTATCTTCAATCGAGGTCCTTAATCCCACTCTACACATCTTAACATACAATCAATTCACTGCCCCGTACGTTCTTATCTGCGAGTTCCACTTTGGCTAGTTTGAACTTAGAATTAGCCCTTTCAGCTTCGAATCGACTCGGTTGGTGCCCCTTTATCCCTGCGGTCCTTGTGGTTCATGTTTGCTAATTAATGATCGATTTACTACAGACTTATCCAGCATGGCATCTTCACTCTCGACCGTTGATAGTCTGAAAAACACAGCTTCCTCTGCATACGAGACTGTAGCCAATAGCTTGTCTGCGACGTCGAAAAATGGCGAATATGATCCTGCCCAGGACAAAAATAATGTTGGTAAAGATGCACATGGCAATAAGTTTAGAAAGGGCGATTTTAAGGACCAATTGAATCGAGCTGCTCATAGAGGACCGCCGGAGAAGGAAGAAAACTTTACGGAGAAAGGTAAGCAAATAGTTCAATACGGCTGATTTGGCTGAGCTATGAGATGTCAAGCGCAGGTTGCTGATGATGAAAGCGTTGTCGTGGATACCAGGCATAAGCGCACTACAAAAGTCGACTCTGGAGCAGGAACCAGAGAATAAGACTGTGAAGGACGATGGAGTACCCCCAATTCGACCCCAACACGATGTGCCAATAGAACAATTCTTGAGAAAGCAATATCATAGCAGAAGCGGAGATGGGATACCAAATCCAGGGGAGAGTAATTGACTGCTCTGGTTGCTTTGATGGCGACAACGAAGCTTTACGAACATGTACGACATAACGAGAAACATGGATTGGGAAATGGCGCTCGGGAGAGTGTTGGCTGGAACTTGTCATATCATATGAGATGGCATCAATAAGCGGTGAACACAGCTAAGTAGTTTAATAGACTGCACTTCGTATTTACTTTTGCTACAGTACACTACGTGTGGATCTGCATGTTTTGCCTGTCAAGTGACCTGTCTCCCTACCGCAAGCATGGTCAACTTATTCCGGAAGCAACACAATGATTTTGATTCCGTACTCCACTCTTCTGATTCACTTGTCAATGGATCGATGACGTCGGGATACGATATTTGAAAGTTCAACAGAAACTCCTGAAAATCAGCCCCAACATCGCCCCGATTAAAAACGGCCCAATCTCCCAGTAGCTGGAGCGCATTTGGCAAATGAATACAGACAGTACCAACGAATCGAGTCTCCTTTATGTTTATACGAGGATTAAAGGGGGATATTTTGTAAACCACATTGAAAAATAGCTTTATTCAATTTGTAAAAAGATAATTCGATTGATAGCATTATACTAATCGAAAATTGATGTAATAAAACCTAGTTGATAAAGTTTGAAAGTTTTATTAAATAAAGTTTTATTAAATAAAATTTTAAATATTTAATATTTTCAATCTCTTCAAGAAAATTTATTTAAAGTTTTCTTTTTCCTTTCAAATCTGTCAAAGGGTTTGGGATCTTTAAAAGCTTAAAAATTAAAATTCTTAAAATTCAAAAGATTAAAAGATAATAGTTTATTGATTATTTTAAAGATCTGAATACTATATATCAAAACACGAGAAAGAACAACAGCTTGTGGACCTACATGGTCCCTTAATATTTGTAATATGAGGCTACTTTCAAGCCATGGGGCTCGGCAGGTGGTGATCAGTTAAACATGGAAGCCATGCAAGACTTCTCGTATTCACTGCCGTATATCAAAATAAACTTGAATCATGATCTTCACGAGATTCAACAAGTGCTGCCCTTAAAAGCTCAGTCTCCCCTTCATTTTTCAGGTCTTCAACTCGACAGCACTTTCGTTAGCATTTTCTTCTTCAGTTACTTCATTGCGGTACATAACTTTGATCAGCCGTCTCCACCAGATATTGCATCATCATGCAGCAGAAGAATCCACATAACGTAAGTATGCACAGACTATATCTTGCTCCACAGTCTCGAAACGTTGCTATTACGATTGCCTGAAGTTCTATAGTAAAAAATGCATGTTGCTAACACTGTCTAGCATGGCTTCCAGTCGATTGTGACCCAGCTCACACTTGGCTTGTTCATATTCCCCTTTGCTTCTTCCTACCCATTTAGCGGAGTGGCGACTCGTGCTTCAAGCATTCAAGACTGCTTGACTCAGCACTCTGTGCCATATCAAGATAGCGCTTCATCGTCGTGGGCTACGACAATTTCTCCTTATAATCTTCGTTTACAATACACCCCAGCTGTTGTTACTTTGCCTACCACCTCACAACACGTCAGCGATGCCATTGTCTGTGCCGCCGCAGCTGGACTCAAGGTCCAAGCGAAGTCAGGTGGACATTCATATGCTAGCTATTCAACTGGTGGTAAAGATGGAAGCGTCATCATCAGTCTTGAAAACTTCAATTCCATCAGTGTTGATAGCAGTAAGTTCAATTGATATGCTGGCTGTGATAGTGAGCGAAGTCTAATCAATATACTCTAGAAACCAACATTGCTACAGTTGGAGGAGGTGTACGATTAGGTAACCTTGCTCTTGGAATCTATAGTCAGGGTAAGCGAGCTCTACCGCACGGGACATGTCCAGGGGTTGGAATAGGGGGCCATTTCACACATGGAGGTTACGGATACGCATCTAGACTCTGGGGTTTGGCTCTTGATACTATCGTTGGTCTCGATGTAGTCCTTGCCAACGGAACTCAAATCCACACCACGGCCACAGCTTATCCTGATATCTTCTACGCAATGAGAGGAGCCGGTGACTCTTTCGGCATAGCTACAAACTTCTACCTTGAAACTTTTGCGGCTCCATCCTCCGTTCTTACCTTCTCAGCTAGTATCCCCGCAGCACTTAATAGTGTCAGCACTGCTGTTTCATCCTTCACCAAACTCCAGGAATTTACTCTCGACCCCACCCAGATCAACAACAATATCACATTTGGAATCTATACCGATAACTACGGATCTTTCAGTCTGAGTGGTTGGTGCATGAGTTGCGATCTGGACCATTTCAAAAGCGTCACTTTCCCTGCGATGCTATCCGCTTTTCCCACGCCCGCATCAAGCTCTGTTAAGTCTCTAGGATGGACGGATGCTTTAGTCAGTGCGGACAATGGAGGAGAGCTCCAGACACCATTAACTGGATATGATGCTCACGACACATTTTACGCGAAATCTGTGGTGACTAAGAATGCACAGCCATTGACCAATTCCCAATTGACTAGTTACTTCACTTACATTTTGAATCAAGGAAGAAGTGCGCCGTCTCCTTGGTACACTATTATTGATTTATATGGAGGTGCGGGTAGTCAAGTCAATGTGCCTTCTTCTGATTCATCGGCCTACTCTGATCGTGACGCTCATTGGGTTTTCCAAGTAAGATTTATCTCAATAATTTAAGTATTTTCACTCTAACTAACATTCAACAGAACTACGGATTTACCACTAACTCGCTGCCACCATATGACGATGCTATAACGCCCTTCGTCGACTCTCTCAATAGCGCTCTTTCAGCCGGTGCATCCACAGACTTTGGGGCATACCTCAACTATGTGGACCCACAACTAAGTGCAACCGATGCTGCTATGCTTGGATATGGACAAAGTACTTACAACAAATTATTGACCATCAAAAAGGCCGTTGATCCCAACGAAGTGTTTTGGAATCCACAGAGTATTGGTGCTGCCGATGATACCGATAGTACCAGCAACGGTAGTAGCGGAACAACAACTTCAACTGCGCCTACATCTACATCCACAACGCCAAAACCTAGTACAAAATCACCATTGAAGGTTTCAACAGATGCGTCCTGTGGCAATGGATACACATGTAAAGGAAGTTCGTTTGGAGATTGCTGTTCGTCGTATGGCTGGTGTGGTAGCACGAGCACGTACTGTGGTTCAGGCTGTCAGAGTGGATTCGGAACTTGCTCGTGAGAATTCGAAGTACAACATTTTTTGGAGTTGATTGGGATAGACGGATACGGGATATGATAATCATGTGATTTCGCTGGGCATGGTAGGCTCTCACATAGTTTTGTACAGTACCTAGTATTAAATTTGATAGATAATTTTTTGTTTTTTGAATCAATCGTAACAGTATGAAGCAAAGCAATTTATTAACTTCATCGTCTTCATGGTGATGCCAAACAGTTGGAAGGTTGGAAAATCACATGAAGAAAAGGTTCTAGATAGACGGATGCCGCTAGGCATATGAGGTGTGAATGTTGTCTAGGGAGGTCATGATCGGTATAGTGTTTGGATGATGAGCTATAGTATTTGGGAATATGACCTTTAGAAAGATCCTTATAAAGACATAGGAACGAACTAGAAAGGGATAATATCTTGAACTCCTCATGACTTTCTGTGATGGTTCGAAAGTTTGAACGTCGGACATTTCCTCTCCCGAGTTTGGGAGGACCTCGCTAATGCTCGGAACTAGCTTACATATTTATTAGTAATGTCGGATGAAGTTCAGAGCACCCCACAGAAAAATGATAGGTAACCCGAGATCCTGCTGCACCTTCAAACAAATGCGGGTGAGTTATGGAGGGGTAATAATACACCCCAACATTGAATCCATTGATAAGATCTCAGGATGCGGGCTCGGAGGTGGGAGCTTCTTTCCTGATGAAGACTATAACCTGAGGTCATCTCACCTCCATTCAAGGTTTGTTCAAACTGCCTCGCAAGGTTGGGTATTATTTCCTCCATTCTTGACCATTACTTTTCTCTATTATCGACAATCACCATGGCTTCTTCTAACACACCAAACGTGGCCTTTATCGGGCTCGGAGCGATGGGAATGGGTATGGCGACAAACCTACTGAAGACCTTCTCTGTTACTGGTTTCGATGTTTACGAGCCCACTCTCGAGAAATTCAGATCTGCGGGCGGACACACAGCTAGGACACCGCGATCTGCGGTCTCCGATGCAAAGTATATCGTCATTATGGTAGCAACGGCGGCACAGACGCTCTCGGTCCTTTTCGACGACGTCACTGGAGCGATTCACGAATTGCAACCAAATGCCACGATCATATTGAGCTCCACTGCTTTTCCCGAACACGTTCCAGAAGTCAGACAATTACTCGACAATAAATATAACAGAAAAGATGTGGAATTGGTAGATGCACCTGTGTCTGGAGGGACAGGTCGAGCAGCTTTGGGAACACTTGTAGTTCTCGCTTCTGGGCCCGAAAAGTCCATCGAAGCGGCAAACCCAGTGTTGAATGCAATGGCAGATCCGCTGTATATAATACCTGGTGGGCTGGGGGCGGGCACAAAAGTTAAAATGGTGCACCAAGCTCTTGCGGGTATACACATGATTATGGCGTCCGAGGCAATGGGATATGCTGCATTTTTAGGTCTCAATACTAAGCAGGCTTTCGATTACCTTACGAAATCATCGGGAGGAAGCTGGATGTTGGAAAATCGAGTACCCCATATGCTGGAGAATAATTTGCATCCGCATTCTGCTCTGAATATCATTGTCAAGGATATGGGTATAGTGACAGCTGATGGACGTAGAATCAATTGTCCACTATTTCTTTGCTCCGCGGCTGAGCAGGTATTGGCGTCGGGAGTACGTTCTGGATTTGGCTTGGAAGATGATTCTGGACTAGTTAGAGCTTATATACCCACCCAACCGAGTCTTGTCTTTGAACAGACCACAGCCGCTGCTATCACTCCGGATGATCCAAGATTGAAGCTAGTTGAGGATATACTAGCAGGGGTACATTTAGTTGCAGCAGCAGAAGCAATGGCTTTTGGTCAGGCTATAGGTCTGGAGTCTGAGATGCTATATGATATTGTAAAGGGGGCGGCTGGAGCGAGTGCTATGTTCGTGGATCGAGTGCCAGCCTTGCTAAATGGGAAATGTGCCTCGAATTCCTCTATCAATAATATCATTGCTCGTCTGGTAAGTTAATTTCACAAGAATCTTTTACAGTAACGCCTTGCCGATATATGGTGCTCACAATCGAATAGAATATAGCAATCGAGGAAGCGAGCCGAGTCAAATTTCCGCTGCATCTCGCAGCAACGGCGTTACAAATTTTACAGTTGGCAAGTGATCGAGGTTTCGGTGATGAGCCTGATGTGGCGGTTGCGAAAATATGGGATAGTAAAGTTAAATTTCCCTCGCCTGTTTTTGCATAGGGAGGCAGCTTTATCAATAAGCCATATTTTGAGCTTCCACACTTCCCAGTTGAAATACGTTTCCCTTAAAATGAAGACAACAATTGTTGGCATATAAGATTCGAGAACCTGTAGATATAGTAGATACGATTCTCTGGAAGATCTGTGCCGACATTTCCGAGCTATACTCATGCATTATGGGGAAGAGACTAATGAATTTAGATTGTGCTATGATCCCCTTCAACCACGGCTGGTTTGGCCGCCGGCTAGAAACTATAAAATTCCGAAACTCTATGCACATACCACAAATTGGCAAACCACAAGAGAATTGAACTGGTTTCTTGGGATTTGGATTTTGAACTTTCTGAAAGCATAAATGGTGCCACTTGGTGTAAATTCCGAAAGTCAGTAGGTAGCTGGCTTCGGATTTTGAATAACTTGGGAGCCCCGCCCTGAAAAAGATACAGACTTAAGAGAGAAATAAGAGTTTTTATCATTTTGTTATTTCGGATTTTTTTAATACGTTTTATATATCATTCATTATTCGCGCGGTCAGAAGGTATACAATTCCGAAGTTAGGGGTATGTATCTCAAGATGAAGAAGTATGAAAGGAGAAGTTTAGTTTTTTAGAGTTAGAGATATTTTCTCATAACAAGAGTATTGTAATTCAATAATATGAGCCATCCAACGCGAGTGCGTGCTGTGTTCATTTACAATCTTGAAAGGCCATTCCACGTCCAAGTCGGACACTAAAGATAGTTGATGATCTCAACCTGAGTACGACTTTAGTATAGTTTACTTAGCTTTCCTGGGCACATCCGCCGTTCAAGGGCCTAGCGTCTGGGGATATCGTACGGTAACATATTATCAGAATTCAACCTGCTTGTTTTGTTAAGAATTCCCAATTAAAAGTGGATTATTGAAAAGTAATTCATTCTATTAATTACATCAAGGTTTTTTTTCCGTAAATTTTAAACCGAAATAGGGAATGTGTTGCAGACTTCCCCGCCGCACGGCTAATGTAATCTTGCGCCGTCTTTTTCGCTTCCAGCTTCTAAGAATAAGTTGTCTTGGACAGTCTTAACAACAGGTAATAAATATTGCTATGACCATACGAAATACTTTGTCGCTTGATGTTGCTCAGTTTGTTAAAGATCTATGCCGTCACAAGGAGATATCGCTTACCCGCTAGGGTAGAGTAAACATGGAGTGTGTTTAAGGTTACTCGTGTCGCCGGAAAGTGAGAAACTTAGACGCTAGAGCAAGCAGGTTATCCCTCTTGAAGATTACCATCTTCTGATACTTGCATAGAGTTTTGGAGTCCCCAAAATATTCCCATGGCATGACCTCATGCCCAGCACTGATTATGGGCACGTCATTGTTTATATAGTCTGAAGAGTCCCAGGCTGTATTGTATTCACCTCATTCATCGCTGTGCATATCCCTTTCAACTATCATAAACATGCACATCCAGCATTTATTTTATGCTCTTGCAGCAGTCCATTTGAGCACCGCTGCTCCAGCTGCGGATGCTTCAGAAAAGAGATCAGATGCTACATTTGACTATGTAATCGTTGGTGGAGGGACAGCAGGTCTGACGATAGCCTCACGGTTATCCGAAGATACTGAGACTACAGTAGCAGTAATAGAAGCTGGAACCTTCTACCAGGTACGAACGTATCAATCAAGAGACCATGCATTGGCTAAACATCACAGGTTTCCAATCTCATACTCAGCTCAACACCAGCCGGGCACTCGTTCTGGATTGGTTCGAGTCCATCTGATACCAATCCTCTCGTGGATTGGAACTTCGTGACAACACCCCAAGAAGGTGCAGCTGGTCGCTCGATTCATTATGCTAGAGGAAAATGTCTGGGTGGAAGCTCGGCGAGAAATTTCATGATCTATCAGCGTGGTACCAAACAGTCATATCAACAGTGGGCTGATGCTGTTGGCGATCAATCTTACACCTTCGATAGCCTCTTTCCTTACTTTCAAAAAAGTGTTCATTTTACACCTCCAGGACCGAGTCGTGCCTCCAATGCATCTGCAGAATATAGCGCCGTAAGCACATTCAGCCCCTTCAACTTTGACATCTCTGCGTGATGACTGATTCCAATTTTTCCAGTCTGCATTTTCATCTTCAGGAGGACCTTTAGAGGTTTCATATGCGAACTATGCACAACCTTTCTCCAGCTACATGGATGGTGCATTCGGCGAACTCGGAATGAACGATATTCAAGATTTCAACACCGGTTCTATCATGGGCAAACAATACTGCAGTTCTACCATCGACCCGTCCAGCCAAAGTCGCGAGTCTTCTCAAACAGCATATTATGACGCTACAGTGCAAAGACGCGGAAATCTTAGAGTCTACTCAATTACCACCGCGCAAAAAGTTCTTTTTGATAGCAACAAGAAAGCCACTGGTGTCAGAGTTCAAACACTCGGTATTCCATACACAATTAATGCTCGAAAAGAAGTCATCATGTCAGCTGGTGCATTTCAAAGCCCTCAGCTCCTCATGCTCTCGGGCATTGGGCCAAAGGCAACTCTCGAAAAATGGAATATCCCTGCTGTTTCCATCCTCGAGGGTGTGGGCCAAAATATGTGGGATCATATTTTCTTTGGACCTACTTATCGCGTTAAAGTTCAAACATTGACCAGACTTTCAAACGATTTCATCTATACCACAGCACAATACTTGGGTGCATATCTTATCCAAAAGATGGGTCCGCTAACCAACCCAATTTGTGATTACCTTGGCTGGGAAAAAGTCCCAAGCTCACTACGAAATGGTTTCTCCGCGGAAACACTCAACGACCTCGCGCAATTCCCCGCCGATTGGCCTGAAGTTGAATACCTCTCCGGAGCAGGCTACGTAGGAGATTTCTCCAGTCTACCAACCACCCAACCAAAAGACGGCTACCAATACGCCACCATTCTCAGCGCGCTCGTAGCCCCCCTCTCCAGAGGCTCCGTTACCCTATCCTCCACCTCCGCCAACGACCTCCCCATCATCAACCCCTCCTGGCTCACCTCCCCCACCGACCAAAGCGTCGCCATCGCAGCCTACAAACGCGTACGCGCCGCCTTCGCCTCAAAATACATGGCTCCCGTGCTCATCGGCTCCGAGTATTTCCCCGGTCCAGACATCTCCACCGATGCGCAGATTCTGAAAACTATTCAGGAGACTCTGCATACCGTGTGGCATGCGGCTTGTACGTGTAAGATGGGGAAGAAGGATGATGTGATGGCGGTGGTGGATAGTAAGGCGAGGGTTTTTGGGGTGCAAGGGTTGAGGGTTGTGGATGCGAGTGCGTTTGCTATTTTGCCGCCGGGGCATCCGCAGAGTACGGTTTATGCGCTTGCGGAGAAGATTGCGGAGGGGATTAGGATGGGGGATTAGTGTGTGTGTGTGTTTTGTGGAGGTCCGTATGTGGTTATGTGATGTATTGTAATGTAATGTAATGTAATTGGTGGTTGAAGTGATGATGTATGGTTATTTATGTTGTAATATAATTTTTTAAAATTTCATATTAGATGTTTATGATTATATAAATAAAATAGTAAAATAATTAGTTTTTTAATATATAAAAATTACTCATCAAACCTACAAAAAGAACATTAATATATAAAATACTAGTTAAATCTTACCTGCTAATAATTATATTTGAGAAGGTAGTATCGATATATTATCACGTGGCAGATAGAAATCCATTCGAAATCTAAATCATGAATGGCTAGGTGTAAGGAACTCTTTGCTTGAAAGTAGTGTTCGGGTATTTATTTGAATTGAAATGTACGTATTTTATTCATCATACAAATCTTATATGTCCAAATATCAACGCTGAAAACTTATGTTCGTAAGTCGGGTAGCTCATTAAACTTGTTCTGTCTATTCTTCTCACATCCTAAATTCCTATTCTTCATCTTCCTGTACAGCTTGCTCTAGTGGTTCCCCAGGCTTTGTGAATCTGCTCACTTGTTAGTATGCACGCCCGGTAATACCCTTTTCAGACTTCAGATTAATAACTTACTTTTTAACCACTCTCTCGATACCATCCAAACCCATTTTCAAAGTTTCCATAGTTGGACCATAAGAAAATCGTACAAAATGGTGACAAGGACTATCGAACAGATCTCTTCTCTTACTTGGGTTCAAGTCGAAAAAGATACCAGGTACAACGATGACACGCTCCTCAAGACAGGCTTGGAAAAAGTTGAGACCATCAGAGATAGCGGCTGGGAGTCCTTCGAGATCTGTAATTTCGCACATTAGAATTTGAGCTTGTGGATGATGATCACTTCTGGAGACTCACCCAACCACAAGTAGAAAGTACTGTCAGGCACTTCCTTGATTTTAAAACCCATCTCACGAAGGCGGGAGATAACATAGTCACGCTTCTCACGGAAATGACTTTGTAAAGCCTTCATTTCTTCCCTAACCTTGTTAGGTTCAAGCATAGAGATAGCAGCTTCCTGGAAGGGAACATTGGCACCACCATCAAGGTATGAACCACATGAGCCAATAGCCTTGATGAATTCCTATTTCACCATTAGCAAAGTCCATATTGTCGGTAAGGAGAAAGATGCAAACCTTTGGTCCAACAATCCAAGCAATTCTCCATCCGGGTAATCTGAAGCGTTTGGTGAGACCATCAATGATCAACACATCATCCTCGTCCACGTCCACAATATTTTCTGCAGCACTGATGGTGGTACCATCGCAGTCACTGGTATAGTTGTATCCTCCGTAAAATTCATCCATGATGAGAGTAGCTCTGTCTCTGCAGATATCTTGGATCTCGGCAAGCTCAGGGTTCTTGACAACCTTTCCTGTAGGATTTCTAGGGTTTGAAGTCAAGATAACAGAGGTACCACGAGCAATTTCTTCCTCGATCTTACTGGGGTGGATGTGGTAACCATCATCCTCTGATAGAGGGGATGGAATTGCCGCAAACTAATAAAAGTAAGCCTTCAGGAATTCTTTTTCGACTGGTAAAGGTAACATGGTTGACTTACGTTCTTGAACAATGACAACATCTCGTTGTATGCAGTATAATCAGGAATGAAGAAGCCCAAGTATGCATTATTCAATACTGCAGCAATTCTGATCAACCCAGCGCGACCACCTGGAACAATGCACACATTTTCCCAAGTATATTGACTTTCCTTGCCCTGTCTATGGTGGGCATTGTACAGGTTTGCGACAGCAGCTCTCAAACTCTTGATACCGGCTGTAGGACCATATTCTCTGCCTGTCATTGTGATGTCGATGCTCTCGGGACGCTTGAAACTACCAGCAATTTCGTCGTCAACTTCAGGAGCTCCTTGTCCAAGGTTTGCCCATTTCTCGGGCTCTTCGGCAAATCCGTGCTCGTAGGCTCTCTCGGTACACCAGACTACACCAGTAGAGGCACGGGTTGGATCGAGTCCAGCGTGAGATTTGTGACCTTCGTGGGCATTTCGGAACTGCTTGTGGATCTTGGAGTCCATTTCTAGGTCCATGGTTAGTTATGTTTTAGGAAGCAAGACTAAACAATGCTGTCTCCTCCATGTACAGATAGAGAATTTTACAAATAATAATACAGTTATCTTTGAAATTTCTGCCCCGCAATCCTCAACATTTTGAAAATGTTGTCCGAGATTGTGCCGTTAAAGAAAAGCTACTGTTCAAAAGAAGAGTGCAATATGTAGAGGGCGCTCTGTAGCTCTTCCAGGCTGTAGATAGGTTCCAAAAGAGAGGGTGAGGAGTGAAACTAATAACTTACCACTGGGAGAAGGTTCATGTGTAGAGAATCTTCTGTTCATCTTGGACGACAATCTTGGAGTCCCCGTGGTCCTGTTTATGGAGAACTTTCTGTTATGAAACGACATGTTGTCTTCTGGTATTGAGTTTCTCTGATATTATATTGTTTTGCTTGCTTGAATCCAAAATTCAAGCTGTTCTGCACCTATGTAAGCAAGGTAATGGCTTTGTTTGTGCAAGGCTGAGTGAGGTGAAGTGAAGTGAATGTTTAACCACAATTAAATGACACGGTTCTCCTTTGATTTATAGGGAAACAAGCTTTGAGGAGTAACAGCGGATAACGGACAAAGAGTGGGGGTGAAGCTGGAGAGGAAACGGATATAAAAAACGGAATCTGGAAGCAATATCGAGTGCAACGGGGCTCGCACGTCTTCCGTTAAATGCAACACTGACCCAGAAAAAGAAGAAAAAAAGTGGTCGTTGCGCGACAGAAGGGGATACAGGGAAAAAGCTTGTTTTCATCGCCTTATCGGTTACGGAGCACATCCCAGATACGAGACGAGAACGAGACGAGACAGGTGGAACGACGTCGACAACTACACCGATATTCTTGAGAAATGGCTCATTCTCATGCTGCTTGGTGATATAAATATCAATCGGCTCATTGAAGGTCTAGTAAAGACTACAAAACACCTCAACAATGTCTCACCGGTGATGATCCAGACTTCATGTAAAAGCAGCATCCATGTTTAATCCAAGCACGCTCCACAGTAAAAGCCCCCGAAGCCCCCTACGACAACCACGACAGCAGTGGACCCAGCGAACACAACTGCCGCAAACCCGTCCGCATCGTGAATTCGGCATCTCTGGGATCCCATATCAGAGACTATTCAATAGTGAATCACCTGCTTAAAATCATCACAAAGTCCATCATCACTATTAGATAAGGGCAAACAAACTGTTTGTTCTTCAAAGTCTTGAAATTTAAAGCCAGCAATAACTTATATTGAAATAGGTATAGTAAAGTACATCTTGATTCTACAGTTGGATCTACGAGAACGGCAAAGAAACTAATAAACACAAGGAAGTGCTGACTCTTAAGAGATATCAGCAGCTGAGGCATCATCCTCCAGCATCTGTTTGAAGGAGAATGGCTCGAACGGTATTCCATCTCCCATGAAATGCTTGCTCATAGCTTCTACCCAATGCAGACGAAGACTGTGCAACATTGCACTAGTACCTTCCATAATAACCAATACGGCAATTGTGAGGAAAAACCATGCGAAGAATGTAACCACGACCATGAAGACACCTGCAACACCAGTCATATGAAGACCAATGGAGAGTGTCATGTCCCATAAAACAACAGACAGTTGTTGATGCGCAAGGGACAATGCCCATAGACGAAGGTATGAGGCGGTGTGGGATACGCAGTTCAAACAGAATTCTAGGGAATGTTAGCAAGGATTTTATGCAACACGGGTGGAAGAAAACTTACCGATAGTGTGAATAACTTGATGAATCATGACTTCCGAGAACTCAAACTCCTCGTGCTCTTCATCTCCAATATCTTGTGTAATCATAGCGACACCTTCACCATCGCTGTTCATACTGATTCTACCATCTAAAGTATGATCATCATCGTCATCGCCATCAAGTGCGCTGACTCGGGATGTTTCACCAATACCTCTATAGCCTCTTCCTCTCGCTTTGTTGTGTTCCCATCGAAGATAGAATGGCTTGAGTAGAAGCAAGATTGGTACTTGGATGACGGCAATGAGAAGAAGACAAATTTGAACAAATCCTTGGCCGGGGTAGAGTTGCTCCTCGATAGTTCCCGGCGACAAGAACATGTAGATCAACATGTTCAATAGACCCGGAGGCGACTCACCGATACCCTGCCAATCTATTGACCATTTGTAGATAATGGCAAACACAAGATACCCAAAAATAGCCTGGAAGAAAATCATGCCTGGGACGAACACACCCCAGATATCAATAGGAGTCTTGAAATGACGGGCATTAATATAAGATAGACACAAAGAGTAAGTCATGTGGCACCAACCCATCAAGATACTCAACTTCATCTTGTAACTGTTGGTAAACAAAAGGTCATTTTCCGTGTCATGCCACATCCAATCGAGGCCAAAAGGATATCGGTATCCATCTGGCTCCTTGAGATGAGCCTCAATAGAGTCGGGGTAATTCTCTGACCAAGCCCAAGCACTTGGGAAGAATGAAAAGGACTTGGAGAATACATCGTTGTAGATGAGACCAGTATACATAGAGAAGATACCCATCATCAACATGATGTATCGACCGTAGAAAGCCATGGAGAAAAGTTCATCGCGAACTTTCTTCAACGACTTTTCCCAATAGATCATAGCCGCAGCTGCGCAAACCATGATGACACCATGTCCAAAGTCACCAAACATGACGGCGAAAAGGAATGGGAAAGTAACGATTGTTGGCAGACCAGGATTGACTTCTTGATACTTCGCTGTACCATATGCGTTAATGATTGTTTGGAAACCTTCCGTAAACTTGTTTGTCTTCTGGTAGGTCGGGGGAGTTTTATTCGTTCTGATCTCGTTGATAATCGACGGCACAGAAAGGCCTGCTCTGTTGTTAACATCGTGAAGGGTCGATTTTATCAAAGGCAGAGAGTTGGAAGGGCACCAAGCCTCGGCAATCAATGTCTTCCTCGCATGATCATATGAGAACAAGTTCAGTGTTTGATAGACAGCCTTCTCTTTCTTGATGATAACCATCCAAGCAGCCAAGCTCCGTGCAATTTGTGTGAGCTCGGCGTCAAGTGTTTGCTTTGTGTTGCGAAGGACGCTACCAAGATCGCTCAAACGGGTATTGACTTCATGAATTTGGTCTCTACGAAGATCACTGTTCTCGTCTACGGTGTATAGATCCGCACCAAGGGATTCGGATATCTTTCGGATCTTAGCGATAAGCTCCTTTCCATGTGCAAATATGACGAAAACATTTTTGTTGATGGCTTCGTTATTTGTAGGATCAATAATAGGCTCCGCAATCTCCGACTGGTTCATGTAAAGGTTACCTCTGAGGGTTCTCCACAAGATACGTTCAAACGCTGCAATGCGATCCCGAGGGATAACTCCAGACACGAAGCCAATATTCATACCAGAGAATGAGCGCTCGGCGTCCCCATTATGGTGTGATTGTTCGACGTCTTGGAGTAGAGGAGCATCGTCGTTATCAGTGGAAGCTCTAATCTCATCCACATTTCCGTGAGCTCGATCGAAGAAAGACCCAGCCTCTCTAAGAACCCATCTCCATTCCGTAAGCTCTACCTCCCTCTTCTTCAAAGTTTCGTAGCTGTCATTTAAGGATGCAATTCGTTGCTCAAGGCTCTGGCTGCGATCAGAAAGTTCATCGATTTCGGTGGCGGAAGGAGCTGCGACAGTTTCGACGTCGAGGTCTAGTTTTCTGAGAGGAATTCCTGCTTTATCCATCTGGCTATGGAAATATCCTACGTATTAATCAGTATCGTCGCAATGTGAGGTCTAGGTCAGCACATACGGAGCTGTCTTTCGACATTATCGAGTCGTCTTATTTCCTGGGTAAACGTCCGTTGAAAGGCAGTAACATCGGAGTTGAGCTGCGAAAGTCATTAGTAACTCATCTTGATTTGGGATTGTTTCAAACATACATCTCGGAATTGAATCTGTCCAAGCTCTCCCAATGCGTTTACAATTTCGCGTCCAATTTCGTTGGCAATGTAGAGTTGGACCATACTCATGTCCGCTGAGCGGAACATGGTGTCCTGCGACGGTGCCATAATGAGAAGCTTGGGAGTAATCCCTAAAATCTCTTTTGGCAACTCTGTGAAGTTTCCCGAGCAAGTTGGGGCGGGTTTGTAGGATAAGTTTGAGGTTGTAAATGTTGGAAGCAAGCAAGGACATCATTAACGATTGAGCTTCGGGTGTCTTGAGCTAATATATCACGTGATGAGAACTATCAGACCGCCGGCCCAAGAGTACAATATCTTCAGTCCGAGATAACTGTTACATTTTTTTGTGTCTTGTAATTCTTACAACTGTACTTGAACTATTAGATGATTAACTGTGTCTAGGGAGATGGTGGATATTGAAATATTTTGATAATTAGGGTATTTCCCGTCTCGAGTCAAAAAAATAATTCCAACCGCCCTATCTCTGCTTAGGTATGAGGGTAAGACTACCATTTTCCGCCCAATCGTCGTTCTGAAGGGGAACCAGCGAAGGAATTATGTATACAATACATATCTTATCTTCGCTGCAGTTTCTCAAGAACCTCGTTTCCTAAACGGTTCGAATGGAAAGACCGGCGCAACGATAAAGCCATACACCACCCTACACTGCAGCACATACATATAAATTGGTAAGACTAGAGTGGCACTCTTCATGCTAACATCTCTTTACTTCCCTATAGGCGTGACCTTGACTTGACCCTGAAAAGAACGACAAAAACTCCCAAGCGATAAAACAGCAATGTCCATCATAAAGGGACAAAGTTAGATATGGTTGGTTCGATGGACAAAATAGGTAAGGATAAACATATTCATCATCGTTAATGCTCTTGGTACTGCATCTTTAGGAGGTATCTCCTGCGTATGATCTACTATATGTCAGTTTGAGATTGAAGTCCTAGCTACCTACCTCTCTCTCTATAGCTAGGTAGTATACTTGAAGTATGCATGCAGTATAGTGCGAAGTATAATTAATAGATTGCTATTGTTACTTTGCTACAGTACTGAAATGCTACATAATGACTCGCTAATCTCAGTACCTGCCTCGAGCCTGAAATGGCTAACCGAAACTTGTCTTTCAGGGCCCACTTTCAATCTCCCTTTCATCGCAATTTCATCAACCCGTTCAACATCTTTCAAGAACATCATTCAGCATTGTTCAACTCGCCTCCAAAATACATAGTACATATCAACAAACTGATTTTATAAGCTAATATTATTGATCCGACGCATATCATAACCGTTCTTCCGTCGTTCAAGAGGAGAGCGTTCATTACACCATATATGATAGCTCTACACGTCTAGTTGCATAGCATAAGTGGATAAGCCCCTCATCTGTAAAGACCCTGGCAGGGAGCTTAATGCGCAAACAGACAATGTCGGCGACATGAAGCTGGACTTTTTGAAGCTGGATACTTGGAAACTGGGTACTTTTGCTTATGGTTCGACTTTCATTATCCTCTACATTATCATAGCAGGTCTGCTCTTCGTTACCCCCCTCGATGCCGTGCTCCAAGCCAAAAAGAACCACCAAGTATACAATATCTTTGTCATCGTGTCATGCTATGGAGTTACTCTATTTTTTGGGGCTACCCTCTTCCTAACCAGACTTTGGACAAATAGCCAAATTATAAAAGCGATTCCGAAAACATGGATACCTGTCGAAAAGGGCGACGTCAACAGGACCGTTCGGAAGATGATTGTGGCGAGTCTGGCACGAAGTGCGGTAATAGCATGGGATTCACGACCGCGAATTGAACATCATGCGACTATAATGTCAAGGCAAGACATATCAGACGAATCGAAAATGGCTGCGGAGAATAGCCGCTCTGGAAGAGAAGAGGACGAGAAAACGTCGCATGATGCTACAATCGTTATACCACCAAAAGAGCCCGTTTGGGGTCAAATTTCCCACAATGGATGGTCTTCTCCAACGTCTCCGGATTTACCAAGTCTACAGTACATCACTGTAATTCTCGAACTACCTCACTTGATCGAAGCGAAAGCCGTATCTTTAGCACCCCCTGACCCACAGTCAACGTCTCAACCTCCTATGCCCGATCCCCGAGCAGTCGATATTCTTCAACGACCGGCGGCTATGGGTCTGCGCGACTATATCAGCCATCTCTCTGGACTTGAAGTCATCAGTGATCCTTCCATCGCTGCATCTTTCCTTTCAGCCTACGAATACGCTCGATTTTCTTCCAACGTCATCAGCGAAGTCGAATTTCGCGACCTAATGAAACAATTTGCGGAGCTCCTTCGCAGCATGGAACCACTCAGTCCCGCGATAATGATGAGCCTCGCTATTGACGACCAAGAGAGCGATATTGATGGTGACGCGCCATCTCGTTATAGTCTTATTACTTCACAAAGCCATTCCGTCGTATCTTCCTTGAGGAGTGTCAGTATCCATAGTGGCAGGGAAGGAACCATTCAAACCGCACCTTCTAGGAGACCCGGCACGGATCATACAAACCTGAATCGGTCTCGTGTCGGCACAGCTCCCGTTACCCCACGAGGCCAGAGGCCGGAATTGTCCGGGCTAAGAAGCCAAAGCAGGGGCTTGTATAATAGCAGCAGCTCAGACCTTAGTATGAGATCCGCAAGCCAAACGAGCGTGATTAAATTGAGCAGAGTTCAGACAGGAGATTCATTACCTTATGAGATTCATATACCCAGGGGGCGTTAATATCTCAGCCTCCTTTTTCTTATCTTTTATTTTGCATCATTTATTAGCGTTGGAGTTGGGGCTAGAACAAAATGGCCTACAATAGGCATGGGAAACGTCTATATATCTTCCTATAATCTTCAATGATAATGTACATTGGCTTATCCACCATTTACGAGCTCTCCCATTTGTCGGTTAAACACCCTATTCCACAACTTGATCCTCACCGTAGAAAGCCTCTCATTTTTCCATCACATAAGCCAGCACTTAGGACATGGCACGGATGTCGTGGTCACTCCCATTATCCTAGTTCAACTTGCCACCAAGAAGCTCTTGGATGAAAAGCGATGGATGCGAAATGTCGCTTACCGAAAACGCAAATGTTTGTCCGTTGTACTGCAAATGCATTGCAATTGTCGCATCATCGGAGAATGAGTTCAGCCGAATCATTTTCATATGCATCTCAGCCGCAAAAGCGTTGCAAAGCGATTTTTTCTCCTGTGTTGATACTACTCGGGCATTGGTAGTGTTTAGGTAATCCGCATGACGAGTATGCTTGACTGCCTTGCATTGCGCATGTATGATGCATGCTATGGTTATGCAGAGTCATATGCGGCATTGCTTTCAGGGCTCAAACATGCTTTTCGTGCTACGTGAAAATTTGGGAGGCAGCAGTCGCGGATCCATTGCGGCGAAAAGTTGTTTTCCGGAGTGTAGTCAGCCTCCGTGTTAACCATAGCAATATGCATAACTGGCGTTACAAATAGCTCAAGGGTCAAGCATGATTGGTTAACATCCTCGACGGAGGTTTCATGTGTGTGGTATTCGTATTGTTCGGGCGCAATGTAGGGATAAAACGTGGCGCAATCCTGTCCGATAATCTTCTGCAAGCAACATAAAAAACATGGCAGCCATGTGGGCCAAGTGTGTTATCGTAATACTCCGATCCGAAACGTACTAACCAAGGGACGAACGGTGTCCAATAGGTTAACAAGTCGACCGTCCTTTCTGAGTTTGTCAGTGACGTTGTATTTTCTGGGACTGTAAACAGGAAACACACACATATTTCAACTCTTACGCCTCTTCCCAGTGTCCAAGTACTAGTGGCACCATATCTGGTTATTGCGAGGCGTGGCTCCAAGTAACATCATAGCTTGCGAGGTACATTCTCATTTCGGCCCTATGGGCATCCATGCTCTCCTTTGCCGACCAATACTTGTACTCGGGGTTAGGATCGATAGGGTTTGCAGCATACTCTGACGTTCTTTCAAACGAATAATCGCAATCTTGAGGTAGCGAAGGAGAAGTATCTTCTGTTTGATGACCAGGCAAGTTGGATTTTGTTCTTGAAGTTTTTACTTTGTCTTTATTAGAAGACTTAGGACGAGAGCTGCTTTCAGAAAATTTACATGTTAGTGAGTAATTCTTTCGAATCCGGTGTAGTTAATTCGAGGAAGTGAACCTTTTGACAGATGGAGGGTTGTTTTTGGTAGACCAAGCATTTGAGTGAGCCATTGCGCTGTAAGGAAGGCTTGATTGTATGTTAAGACACGTAAGTATTGGCGAATGAGGGCAAGATTTGAAGAAAGTCGAATAGCTTCGTTCGGTGTTGCTCGGGATTCAAGTGTTGATGGCAAGAAAGAGTCTCAATTAAGTGGGAATCGACTAGAGTTTATATCCTTTGGAGCCTCATAGCAGACATAAAACTGTCGCCCATGGTTCGCAGGAGTTAACACAACAACCATACTATATCTTGTACAGAGTACTTGTAAGCGCAAACAAAGCAGTTTGGATCTACGAGTACAACAAACTATTTCAGAGCCAAGATAAACATGGTGGGCGAGATTCGTATTGGGTTCAAGGGTTCTTGTGGGGTCGAAAATGTGAAAATCCTCAAGTAGACAAGTAGAATGAGCGACAGTAGAGGTAGTATTTGCAGAAATTTCCATCAAAATCAGTCTTCAAGTCCCGTCGTATTCGTCAATCAGGAATCAGGGGTACATTAGGATGCCATGCGTTGAATATTACGTGCAGAAGTAAACCGTAAGGCTTGATTTTTTCAGCGCTCCTACTTAATTGTAGTCTTACAATCAACGTCGTTACATTTTGTCTGATCTGCGAAATGCATTATGTATGGCTAATTTAGAAAACCCAATCATATTATCAGACGCCCTGCTACGAGTATACAAGCTACCCATCCATGTTCTTATTGCATCTTGACAGCCGCAAGCAAGGCATGCAACGGGATTTTTCTAGAAGCCTTCAAAACTTTAACCTACGTTGATCGGCGAAAATCGTTCACTCGTATCCAAGCTCGAAACAAAATTTGGGTTATGGGTTATGAATAATTGTCTTTTTCAGCTTGACTTTAATGATTTTTTCACAAAACGCATGTATGGATTCGACTCCATAATGATCCATGACTTCACGCTTCTCTTGGAAAATGCCAAGGTCCTCCATTAATAGGAGTGCAGGTGTACGTGTAAGCCTTATTGGCGCTGTATGCATACATGGTTGTTCATGAAGGTGGTTAAAATCATTTGGCATTTTCCCCTCTGTACGACGACGAGGGGAGGGGGGAAGGCTAGATTATATGTACAGTCAGTACCAACTGTTGAATTATCATCAAGCGCGTCTATGAATAAGTGTATCCCTATTCTTACATGTCATCTGTATTGACGGTTGGGGGTTGGGAGGAGGAGGGGGCGCTATGCTACTCTAAATAGACTGGTGATGTTAGCTCCGAGGAAGTAATTCTTATAAATCATTGTGTTATCCTCGATGTGGCTCTAGAGGGGTCGAATATTAATATGAATATTAATTTTAAGGTATGTGGATTGTATCAAAACTTACTTTATACTCGTAGCGTATGCTGTATGTATTTAATATGTGAGATTCTAATGGTATCTCTGCTTTCATTATTAGATCAAGAAGGTAGTCTAGATGTTAACATCGGTGTATATTTTCACCTTAATCATGGAAAGTGTACTCTATTTCACAACCTATATATCGGATAACTTTTTTTTCTTTTTTTCTTTTTTCAAGTTGACCGAGTTGGACTCCTGGTATTTAGGATACTCCTTCTGATAACCAAACCATACTCACGAACTCAGTAGAAGTTAAATCTTCAAACTATGTCCCTTCGCTCAACCAACGAAAGATGATGAATCGAGCAGCCTGGTGCGGGCAACACAAACATACAACAACATAATTAGTCTCCATATTGAAATTTCCCAAGCAAAGAATCGGCTAGTTACACAAAGTCAAAATCGACCTTACATCACCTACCTCAACAGCGGATTTCAGCCTAAGATAACACATTAAAGCTTTGAGCCTCAATATTCTTCCAAACCGCGTTTACTGACTTGTAGATAATTATATGATTTTACATACAAGTCTCCTCGGGGGTTGATAGCTACTGTTGGTTATATTTGTATAAATTTATTATATTATTATTCAAATATATAATTTATAACTACTAAATCTATAGTATAATTAATGTAAATATTTATAATATTTTTGTATAATATTATTGTAAAAAAGATTATTTATTATATATTAATTGAATTTAGAATAAAATTCTTATAAATATTAATTATATAATGTAAATAAATAAACAAAATAAAAAATAAAAATAAAATCACATCTTATCTCATCTTATATAATTCCAGCTCCAATTTCAGCTTTAATTCCAATTCCAATTCCCATTTCAAAATATCGAAAACAGAATCTCTCTTCTTTAGATTCATATATCATAAGACGAAACAAGATTTCATATCTATCTATACAACAAAGAATATATATATACATACTTCTAAATCTTCTCTCATTATACAATTTATATACACATTCATTTCCCTATCCACATCCACATCCCCATCCACTATCTACAAGCTAATCACTCCCCTTCTCCTTTCCCTTCAATCAATCTAATTCGCAAGACATTGCGAATAATAAGCATTCGACGCCTTACAAGTAGTACCCGACGCACAAACCGTATTTCCCTTCCAACTCGATCCACCGCATTGACCGTATAGGGGGACTGTAGATCCGGTTGCTGTTGCTGTGGGAGTGGATGCGGATTTTGTGGTTAGAGTTGTCTGGGGTGTGGTGTTAGTATGGGCTGGGTTTTATGGTGCTGAATGGGTTGAGATTGGTGGGGATGGGATGGACCTCATGATGCTACTTAGCAACTTGGTGATGAGGGGGTAACAGCTAGGGAATAACAGGCAGTGGGGAAATTAACACGAAAAAGAGAAAAGAAAAGAAGATAACTTACTTGAGCAATAGTAGAAGTAGCAACCGGAACACCCGCCGCAGCCGCAAGAGCAGAAACAACATTATTATAAGCAGGATGAAGAGAAAAATCAGAATACCAAAGACAGGCATCACCTTGACCACTAAAAGTAGAAGGAATCCACGAATATTTATCAGTGAAATCCCACACGGTGACACCGACACAGCCATCAACGCTAAGACAGGCATTAACGGTATTAGCGTAGTCGACACCTTGTTGAGCGAGACCGGCAGTCGTAGGTGGAAGACTGGAGAAACGGACATCGAGTTCCGTGTAGGCGACTTCGACGTTGAGGGCTGTGAAGGAGCGGAGTGTAGTAGCGAGCGCGGATTCGCTGGGTGTTTCGCCGACGATGAAATGACCTTGGAGACCGATACCGTCGATTTTGATACCGCGGGCTTGAAGCGATTTGACGAGGTTAAGGGCCGCGGTGGCTTTGGCGCCCGAGCTCTCAATGTTGTAGTCATTGTAGTAGAGCTTTACATCTGGGTCGTAGAGAGCTGCAGTCTCAAATGCGATGGGGATGTATTCGGGTCCGATGGTGTTGTAGAACTTGAGGAAGTTAGTATTATTACCCGTCTCATGTATTGCTTCAAGGCAACAGGAAGTATTGTAAATACTTACGACAAATGAACGGTAGGTACCATCATCGTTGAATGCCTCATTAACGACATCCCAAGCGTAGCACTTGCCCTTGTAGTAAGTAACTTCATTTTTAATGCTGCAGAAATGATTAGCTTAAAGCTCAACCAATGGAGCGCAAAACCACTAACTGATTCTTCAACACGGCAATCAAAGTAGCATTTGTCCATGTGCCCGAGGTAACCCAGGAAGGCAATTGGTTATACCAACACAAGTTATGACATCGAAGAATTTGATCATTTTTCTCGGCGAAATCCACCACCACATCACCCTGGGTATAACTGAAAGTGTTCTGCGTTGGCTCAATGTATTGCCATTTTTGTGTGTTTCCAGGTGTGATCTGTCCGAATTGACTAGTGTTGGAGAGAATGGCCGTATACTGTGTATCGGTCAATTCTCCATTGTCTGTGGCGGAACCGAAGTATTTGAGACCGGCAGCCTTGGCTAGCGTGTTAAGCTGTCCATAAGCTGAGGGCAAGATGGCAAGAGCGACAAGATTCGAAACATGCATTTTGGATAGAAGTATATGGCAAGAAAGGAATGACAAAGAGTGTAGTTAGTTTTCGAATGACCTGACTTGGGAATGGTGGTGAGAAAAGGACATTGGGAATTGAAAAGTTTACATATATATATATATATATATATTTGCCTCCCTGCAATATTCGAGGGGTACATAAACGCTTGCGATGAACCCCCATTCTTCGGAATCGGGTCAGTTCTGAGGAACATGATAAAATGAAATTTGCCTGTTTCGGATAAATGATCTCAGGGCATGGCATTTTTCCATACTGGGTGAATTCTTAATATATCCGGAGCGCTTATGTTAATAACAGTGGAGAAACGGAGATGAAATAGGCAATGGGTCAAGTGGATTATATAATAATGAATTTTAAATTAAAGTACTTTGAAGATGTTTGGGATGTTTGAATCCATAAGATCCCTCACTTCCAAGGTTGGCAAAGATCTCGTCTATCTGATCGAATGTGAAAAATCAATTGTGACTATTATTACAGGTAGGCACTTCAAGCCAAACACTTGGATCCCTCGGGTGGGAAGAAATAAGCTTTTCTCCATGTTGAACAACGCAACGGTCCGCAACCTTTTAAATAAAAAATTCAACAACAAAACAACAATAATATGGCAAAATGTAATATATATTACCCGTAAGGTATGGATAAATTCAATGCCCCATTACCCCGCATTTGATCTTTTGAAGAATTTCCCTCATTTATAGATCTCGGGACGTGGAAGCCGGCGTCAAATGGTGTCCCTTGGCTGCTGCTCCACTTAGAGGCTTGACATTTTCCATTTCCATAAATCATCTCCGACCTGATTTATCAAGAATCGGAAATTTTGAGAGAGGACTTGGAATCACAAAAGCTCATTCATTGCCCAATAAATAATCGAGCGAGTCGAGAGGAATAACTTGGTTGCTCTTGAATAGACTCACTTTCGGTCGAAGGGCCTCTGTTGGATCTGAGGGCACGGTGGAACGATTTGCTCTCCTCGAGATGATGACGTGTAACGAGGTCAGATGAGTTCTGTGATTATGTATTAGCAGTCCACCCGAGGCTTTATGATGGCAATTTTACCCTAAAATAAGGCACGACAAGGTATTTTCATCAGCCTTGTCCTTCCTTAGATCAACAAGGAGAAAAAGCCTTCTAGCCTCTGCTCATCTTCGCGTCGAAGTCCTTAATGGTATGTCTCGCACCACTAATGCGTTCGGCAAGCGGAACTGGCTCCCGAAAAGCCAATGGAGGTGCAGAATTGACGGATGTGAACCGGCTCAAGTTATATGAAAGGGAGAATGGATTTTGGGGTTGTTTCTTCATAGAAGCAGTAGCGTGTGGGATATCTTCCACAGCTCTATAAAAATAATTAGATGAATTCGGTTAAATGATGATCCAATCCATTCATTTGCGGACGGGAAACAAAAAACTTACTTCTCCGATCCATAGTAGCCTTGCATAGAGGATGACAGGGATTGAGGCATGACTATTCAAGTGAGAGACCAAAATTTGGTCCAGTAAAGCTTATGAATTTGTGAATGAAGTCAAGAAGGGTTATGCCGTGACGTAAGTCACACGAGTAGATAGCTAATTGATATTGATATTGATAGTAGAGTGAGAAATAAAGATATCTAACTCTCAACTATTTGATGGCAATCAATAGTTATCTTTTCTCAAAAGCCGTGGGGGTTCCTTACTGATTTATAGACATTTTTGCTAGTCGGTGACATGAACGACTTGACTGATGACGGACATCCTTTTCTTCTCTCAGGCCCTCTGGAATACTGAAAAACAATCGTACAGATAGAAGCCCTTTCATCATTGGCTCGTAAGGAAGGTTACGGCTCGTTCCTTTGCATTTCGTCTCCATTCCCTCGTCTCGATACAGCATCTGTGACTAGGCGCCAAGTATTAAGATTGCCTTGGGAAGCATTCGACGGGCTTTGAACCAATCGCCCTGGTATCCGGGCGCGTTTGCAATCTGCCAGTCTTCTTTACATTCAGCGGAAAATTGTCGTAGTTTCGGCCCGGAACTTCTGGATTTGGATCGGTCTGTTGCGCTCTTTCCGGGCACACCAAGACCTGATTCGCACATTCAGCGAGTACCTGAGCTACCAACAAGGCTGAGTAATCGTTTATTTTTGATTCGCTCAATGAAGACCTAATACAGCAATCCCACGTGTAGATCCCCATGGAGAGCATGACCCGTACATGAAAGTGCGCAATACGTAATCATTAGGAAAGGATCATGATCAATTGTAGGTTACATAATTTTCTGCTTTGTTGTTGTCTGGCCCTTGCAGTGAACATACCATCACTACCTCCTCTGTCTCACTCAGACAATGAGAGGAAAACTTTCTGCTCATTCATACCTGGGTATCTATCCATTGGCCAAAAATTAGCCAGAAATTAGCCAGAACAATCGATTATTTTCAGCAGAGATTCCAAAGGTAGAAATTACCGCATCACGTTTCCAGATGACCTCGGCATTCCCCTTCAAGGTCATATGCATATACACATTCGCACCAACCTACAACTGTGCCACCATCTGCCCTCCAACTCCATTGTCCTATCATTTTTCATGTCCAGTGATAAGGCTAGCTCTCGGCAGCTAGTCGCCCTGTGATAGGTATTGATTAATCCCTCGTGTGTCGGGTGGTCTTGAGTCTTGAGGGATTTGGAAAGTCCTAGATCTAAATCCGACGGTCTGTTTGGAATTCCGTCATTCAGATTCAGCACAGTTTGTAGGTTCTGCGCAATAATGACGCCATCAAATCTGCCCGCGGATCGCAGTCTATAATCCCTCACAGTAGGACTACAATAAGACCCTGCATCAGTAACATGTGCCACATTTAACCAATGCGGTGAGATAAACTTACGGCTCAAATCTCCGTCCCGTAATCCTTATATCCAGTTAGGTAACTCTTGTTCCCGGAACCAACGGCAAGGCAAATACCTATGATGTAGGTATCTAGAATTTCTAGAGTAGATACTATACTATGTATATGCCCAGTGAGACCAACAAGCGAGCCAAGAAACAATTCAGAAGAAAGATCGATATACAAAATCAAAAGAGTCATCCAAGTTGACCATTGAGTCGAAATTGATTCTAAATTCTCAACTGAAAAAGTACCAGTAACCGACTTTTGCCATATAATTAGGTACTAGACATACCTATCTAACACCTAACACCTAACACCTAACACCTAACACCTCTAGCACCTCCTAGCACCACCTACCCCTAATTTCGTTCCTGCAGCCGAAAACTAACCACCGAACACCCCTACCCCACCCCGCAGTCAGTTCCCACCATCCATCCGTACCTATGACATGCCAAGACCGTTCGTCGAAAACCTACCTACCGTTTGATGGGTACACCGTACTTAATGGTATGCGCGATAAAGCGCAATCGGTAAAGCTAATATATTTCCTTCATTAGACCACATCAGATATTATTTTCCCATATCTTTCCCCAACTTTTCACTCACAAATCAAATCGAAAACATTATCAAATCAACCAAGTCATCAAATGCACGACAACCCAGAATTTGATCGCGGAGGCTCGCATTTGGCACGTGATCATGACTTCACAAATGATGAAATGACGTCACATACACCACTACATCCTGTTTTCTCTGGATTTTCATATATCAAGATCTAATAGTCTCTTTTTTCTCCTTCTTCTTCCTCGCATTTTCAATAAACATCTCCATCATACAAACCTCTCATATTCCAGTCACCACAAACGCAATTTGGGAAAAGAAGAAAAGAATAATACAAAAATGCCATTTACACTTAATACCTCCGCGTCATTTGCATTGACGTCCTCTACCTCATCGGGAGATAATTGGGGCCGAGCATATCAAACCAAAACTACTATCAATAAAGACGGGACGACACGCACGAAACGCACACAAAGGCTTGGAGAACCTATTATTGAAGAAACGAGACGATGGGATGGAAAAGGAAGGAGAGTTTTGGAGGATGGGAGTGTGTATGAGAAGAATGGGAAGGGGAAGGGTGGGTACAGGTTCAGGGCCTAGTGTGAAGACGGTTCAGAGTGGGGATGGTGGGGCAGGAAAGGAACGATATTGGGATGACGTGAAGGAGTAGGAATGTGGTTGGGGATGGGAATGGATTGGGAGTAATTTTGGGAAGGGGTGTGGGGACTGGCACGGAAAGTGGTTGAATGGAATTATGGGGAAGGTAATAATGATGCGTTGGAAGTAGAGGTCGAGGGAGGATTACAGGTGGTGGATAGTGAGGAAGTAAAGGAGGATTAAGGAATGGGAAGAAAGAAGGAAAGGAAGGTGGAGAGTGCAACATCAAAACGAAAAAGAGAAAGTGGATAAAGACAAAGAGTGAGTCAAAAATGGAAGAGGAAAACAACAATGAAAAAAGGAATTATGAAAGGAAAGAGGAGGAAAAAAAAAGAAAAACCGTGGAAAAGCCTCAGAAAGATTGCCAAAGGGACAGGAGGAGAAGAGGAAGAAGAGAAACCACAACCCAAAAGGCCGTGGAGAAAAACCTGCAGGGGCCAGAGATGCCAAGAGGAAAGAAGAGCGTCGCAATTCCATAAAGCTGGAAAGATGATTTGAAACTTTTACTGTAATATCTGATTGACCGACCTGGAGTTATTGGAGGTCATGGTAATCTTATGAATGTAATATGATGTTTGAAGGTGATCAATTATTCACTTGAGAGTAGGTATAATTTTATTCAATGCTATGAGGGTATATTCAGATAAGACACAAGAAGCATTTAAGTCAGATCAACTCTCAATTGCCAACGGTGGAAATAGCGCATCCCATGCACATCTACCCAGTGGAATCTGAGCATCACCATAAGAAGGATCGGCGCCCAGTGTTGCGTACTCATATGTTCGGCGCTCTGGTATGACACCTATCATATCCAGCAATAGAGACGCTTTTTCCGGCATGTAAGGCTGAAGGAGGATTCCAACTATGCGGATCGCCTCGGCTGAATGATATACGGCACTTATGAGTCTTTCTTTAGCATTTGGTTCTTCGGACTTTGCGAGACTCCATGGAGCTTCTTCTTGTAAGTATTTGTTGGTCTGTTAATTTGTGGTTAGTATCGTAATCATTGAAAATATTTGGTGGGTGGTATAGTTACTTCAAATACGGTATCCATAATAACATGCAGAGCTGCTGCCGGGTTTAGCTCTTGCATTTTGTCATTAGCTTTTGGGCGAACATTATTAAGTAGATCGATCTGTTGATTGGTAGAAACATCCAGATTATGCAATCCTTCAGAATGTGCAGCTTCTACGCAAGAACGAACGTTCCATACTTTTGGTCTGGTCAATCGACTGACAAGATTACCTAGACCTTTTTGCAATCCTTTCTTGTATCTTTCAACAATATATTCATTTCCGTAGCCAGAATCTTCCTTAATTCCACCATCATGAATAAGGTAGTAGCGCATCACATCGACCCCAAATCGATCCATTGCAAACAATGGGTTGACTACATTCCCTACTGACTTGGACATTTTTTGGTTGTCCATTGTCCAGTGAGCATGCGTCAAAATTTGCTTTGGCGGTTGCAAATTCAAGGCGAGGAGAAATGCTGGCCAATATATGCAGTGAAATCGAACAATATCCTTCCCGATCACTTGTACATCTGCAGGCCATCCTCCAGCGGCTTCATTCCCTGGCGCCCATGGGTAACCTGCTTTTGTAATATAGTTGACTAGTGCATCGAGCCATACATATATAGTCTGACTTTCATCGTCTGGAACTCGGATGCCCCAACTCAGACGATCAGAGGGACGAGATATCGAGAGGTCTTCTAAGCCCTTAGACACTTGCTTGACCACATCTTTCATTCGAGTCAACGGTACGACAAAATCGGGGTTCTTCTCGTAAAACTCAAGAAGTTGATCCTTGAAGGCAGATAATCGAAAGTGGTAATTCTTTTCCGATGTCCATTCAACCTCTTTACCAGTCTCCTGAGAAGCAATGAATGTCTTCCCAGTCAAGGGGTCCAGCCTTTTCTCAATCGCAGACTCAGGATAGAACGTCTCATCACTGATGCAGTACCACCCCTCGTGTTTTGACTCATATATATATTCCTGTTCCTTCAGCATATACCATATATATTCTACTGTCCCTTTATGATCTTGATCAGTCGTGCGTACAAAATGATCGTTTGAAAGTCCTGCTCGCAGTGCCAACTTTTTAAATGTCTCGGCGCCAATGTCACAAAATTCTTTGGGAAGTGTGCCTGCCTGTGCAGCAGCTCGTTGTATCTTCATGCCATGTTCATCTGTTCCTGTACATAAGATCGCTGTCTCGCCCTTTAAAACTTGCCATCGTTTGAGGACGTCCGCGAGGACCATAGTATACAGGTGACCAACATGAGGTGCTGGGGATGACTCAATTAGCTTAGAAAATTGTATTGAGGGAACATCGTTTAGACTTACCGGCATTCACGTAGAAAATTGGTGTGGTGACATAGTACGGCTTCTTCGGTGTTGTATCTGTAGAGTATCTAAATTTTGGTATGGCTCTTGCCCTACATGAGCTACAGACCCAGCCGGTCCTCCAAAGTGGTCTCGTTTTGGACTGCAAAGAGCCCCGCAATGAAGGGTTGAGTCCATACATTTAAACAAAATGCGCTGACTGAAGCGCAATTTAGCATGAGCAAAGAGAATTGTAAATGATGCGTGAATGCGGGTCTGCGGGTTTGCGGCCGCATCTCCGCCCCCGCGTTTTTTAAAACCATTGAAATACTCCGCGTCATTAGATTGAAAAGACAAAGACACACCAGAAAAGCCCGCAAGTTGTTTATTCTCAAAATCCCTTTAAATTGAAATTTATTACTTTTCTTGGACATCCACAACTACGTACTATCTGTGCGAAGTATCATGTCCGACCCTACAAAAGATACCCAAATTGATTTGGCTACCAAAGGTACTTTTTGCATGCCTCACTGACAAAATCTCATGCTGATGGACTCCAGCGGCCGAAATATTCGTTGAAAGCTTCTACGAAACATTGAATAAGCCCAATCTTCGCTCAAACATCACATCATTCTACGTCAAGCCCTCCGCTCTAGCCCCAGCTGAAGCCTCAATAACCGTCAACGGAAACCTCATACCGACGCCTTCCGCTTTCCAAGAAACGTTCGAGAATAAAATCGGCAAAACTGCTTATGAAGTCCAATCATATGTCGCCCATGCCATTAACCCAAACTACAACATAGGGGTTGAGGAAAGTAAACTTGGGCCTGACAAGGATGGGAAGAAAATTAGCATTGCCATTATGGTTAGTGGGCAAGTGAAATATTCATCAAAGAACGGAGATGAGGGGGAAGAGAGGGGTTTTATGGAGAATTTTGTACTGGTGCCGAATTTGGAAGCCAGGAATCCGAAGGCTTCGAAAGGGATCAAAAGGTGGTTGATTCAAAGTCAGGTGTTTAGATTGGTGTTATGAGGTCCAAACCCTGGAGAAACCCCAAAAACAAGATGGGCGAACGAGACTGTGGGAATTCTATACCAAGTCTATGGAAGGTCAATGATCTATCCAGGATAGGCATACGACAGTCACAGAACGACGTGCTGTCCTACACCTTAAACGGTGTGTTTCTTGCGGTCTCCAATGCGTGTTTTTCGGCATCGTTCTCATATTGATCTGTTAGTAGATCTACAGAAGAAACCATTTACGAAGATTTCGGTTGTAGCTAGATAGCTCGGGGATTTACTATCATAGTTTTGAAGTATTCACTTCAACTGGACTTTACTTTAAGCTGACCTTCAAGCCGTCCAGCTGTTGACTGGACGTCCCACATGACATTAATCTGATACACGAATTAATTAAAACTTCAAAAAGAAGACTATAGGCCTAGCGCTTGCAGGTGTTCATGTTGTCCAGTGCTCTTTTTTTCTGTGGATATAGCAAACTTATGAGCATAGGACTCTTTTTCCCAGAGAGGCTCTCCATTTTGGAATATTCAACGGCTCTTTGAGTCTCCCACACAAATCGCAACTCACATAACTATCTTTACCAATATCTGAAACTCGCAGCTGTCGTATGCAACTCTCGCCTACAAGGATATCATCCCTTTTGTCATTTCGACTTCCTCGTTAGTTTCTAGATTCACCCAATAGCATCTAACTTTCAACCCTCTCAGCTTCGTTTCGGTTGCCAAGGTGAAGTAACTTCGTCTTTCTCAAAAACAACTTTCTTCTACCTATCTTACACCTACAACTCGTCACTTCTGAGCAAATATTTCATTGACTTGAAGTATCCTCAAGTTATTTAAAACTCTTTTGCTTTGTTGCGAACTTGCAATTCTTAATTAATGTTTATCTGCTATCGAAATTTTTCCTTTAACGATCTATTTAGCTGAAAATATTCGAAAAATATCCAGCCTCTCTTCGATATCTCTCGATCTTGTCCACCAACTTCTGACCTAACCTTTGATCAGACCTCACAAATACCTATCATCCATATTTTTAAACACCTCTCACGCATTAATTGACGATATTTACAAGAACCTCTCGACGTCAACAGCCATGAAGATCCCATCCGGTTTACTTGGCTTTGATGGAAAACCTGTCAAAGGAGAAATATGCTTGAAAGGCGGCCGTGAAAATGGGAAGCTTCATGAAGAGGGTATGAAGCGGGAAGGTAACCATTTTTCCTGCTACGCTCTCACCGCAGAAGGTGATGCCATCACACCATGCTTTAGCATAAACTCAGGCGTTGTTGAATTCGTTGACGTGGTCGTCGATGGTATCTTACGAGCTTCGCATAGCAACGAGAAAGCCACCCAGGCATTCAGCAAGAAATTTGAATGGGTGGCAGGTCAAGTTAAGATACGGAACAGATATGTCGGAAAGACCTACCAGTTACAAATCAAAGAGCGGAACATCGAAAAAAGTGAGTTATCCTTCCTATATAATACCTTGATACCCTATTTACTAACAGTGAAACAGCACGAAATGTCAAGGGTGGCGCACCTCATTCAGTCGGTAGCATCGAAATACAAATATTCCGCCAAGATACCAATTCTCACAAGGCTCCCGCAAAGGATTCTGATTCTGATGATACCTCATCATCATCAAGCGAAGAACCCGCGGATCTCGGCCATGCTGATCGTGCACCCACGTTCGAAGATCATACCGAATGGTGGAATCTTAATCCATGTGTTGATGAGGACGCAATCCTTCCTTCACCTTTTGAAGTCGGCGGCGTTGGCCATAAAAAGCTGCAGGATCCTTTAAGAGATTGTGTTGTGAAGAAATGGCCAGGTGACTTCAAGCTTTGGGCCTCGTTCAGATTCTTGCTCTTCTCTACCACCGATTTTCACAAATTGGGCTTCCTGAATATCCCGGACTATGAGGGGACGTCATGGAGTGACATGAGATTAAACTTGAAGAAATCGCCCCTGAAGGATGTCCCACTAACTACCAAAGCTACTTCCGTCGTTGATGCGGGTACCGATGATAATGATGGTGACGCCGGCAATCTTGTCCTAGAGTCAGAGGATGATACTGATGAGCCTGTAGAGACTATCAAAGGCAAGGAAGTTCATAAGAAGATTGTTAAGAGCGGTGCTTCTAGGGGAACTGAGGTATCTGCCTCACTGGCCAAGGTAGGGGGTTCTGAAAGACAGAATATGATCATCAAAGATTCTTATTCATCGGAAATACATGACGAAAGGCCTGATGCTGAAGTCATCGAAACTGTGTCAAAGCCTGTTCTTCCTTTAGATGCTTCTCAACTTGCTGTTCCTAATAACGACGAGGCTAGCAAGCCTGCAGACGCCGCGCTTCTCGTACCGAATATCAAGGTTGAGAGCGTTGAATTGACCGGCGATAGTGTTGTCCAAGTCAATCAAGCTCGTACAAACCGCAAGAAAAAACCACTCTCTATGCCCGGTGTCGAAGGAGCCCCAGCAAGAAAGGCCTGGAAAGATCCCGCTCATTCCGAGTGGTATCGACGCAATGTGTCAGGCTCAGGTTCAGGCGACTTGAGTACGATTAATACTGATCTATTGCATTCAAAGCAAGAACTTAACTTGTCAGACAGGGCTCAGTTTTCATCTTCGGATGACCCTGAGCACGTGAGACAGTCCTCTGCGCCGTGTGTGATTGGAGACGCACACAAGAAAGACAATGCAGCTCGCTTTAAGTCAGTTGGTGTTGAGGCGAGTGGTCCATCCTGGGAGCCAATGACTCCTCCAGCATCATCAAAGAAAGGAGGTACGAAGCATTTCCACGATTTCGGAGACGAACGACGTTTATTATCAGGAAACTTTAATGGACCAAGCCAAATCGAATCAGCGGTCCGTGCTATTATCACTAAGGACAACTATAGTGACAATAGTAGCTGCGAAACTAGCCTTGAAGCAAGTCCATCAATTAAATTTCGCCAAAGGGTTGCAGAAAGAAAAGCTGAGAAAGCTAAGCAACGTAGTCTAGGACTCAGCTTCGAACAAACACCCCCAAATTTTGAAGAGCCTGTTCCGTCTCTAGAGGCCGACATGATGGAAAGTAATTTCGATGACTTCATTCACGACTCTCCCCAGCCTGAAGATACAAGAATGATCGATGCTGTTGAAGATGAACTTGAGCCAAAGCTGAGCCCAGAAAGATCGCCATCACCTGAGGCTGATCCTCGATCTACAAATACAAAACAAGAACAAGATTCTGTGGACAAGGCCTTGCCTTCGAAGTCTCAAGATTTGACCGCATCCCAAGATAATGAATATGGTTCTCAAACACCCACAGAAGAGGCCTCACAGAGCGTGCTTGAAGAGGTCGCAAAGATGCAAAGGATTGAAAAGGCCAAACGATATCCATCAAGTGCTATCCCTGAGGAAAATGCCGAAAAATCTAGCGAATCACTTCAACTCGGAATCCCACCAAACATCGAAATGATTGGTTCCAACAGCAATGATTTGCTTGCCAAAGTCGCGAAGTCTAACAGCAAACCTAATGATGCACCTGTCAATATTGGAAACCAACAGGATGGTCGGCAAGATTCTCCTGCCAAGGTTGATGAGTCTACCGTAATGGTTACTTCAATTGAGCCAGCCAAACAGCCAAAGGCGAGAGTCCCAGCTGCTTTCAAATCCTCATCTGCTCCAAAGACACAGTCCACACCCGCTCAAAAGACGCCAGCTGTAAAAGTTGAACGCTCTTCAAAAGTCCCAGCTCAATCTGAGCAATCCCAAGCCAAGCCAAAGAAACCAGCTCCAAAGGTTTCAAAGGTTCCAAATGCTGTAGGTGGCCCAAAGACAGCAAAGGCTGCAACACCTGCCATTGCTGAAGAAACCACATCTAACCACAAGGGCAAAGCCAGCTCTAAGGCCGAAACAAATGACAAGCGTAAAGCCGATCAAATGACCTCTGCCGGTAGCACTTCAGGACCAAATAAGACAAATTCATCTCCCGCTTTGAAGCAAACTTCTATCGTTGAACGTGAAACAGCTGCGGCAGAAGCACGTATGCAAGCAGCTGCAGAAAAGAAGCGAGCTTTGGAAGAGCAGTTGGAGGCAGCCCATAATATGAAGGTGCAGATGGAAAAAGTAAATCCTAATACTTCGATTTTGCTCCGGTCAAATAACTAACTTGTTTGACAGGCAAATGAAATCAATAGACAAGCCCAAGCTTTGGAGGAAGAAAATGCTGCATTGGAGGTAAGTTTTCATTCTCTAATGGAGCACCACATGCTAATCCATGGATTTCAGGCTGAAATTGCGAAAATCTCGGCACAATACGTTGCCTAGTAAGCTTACTTCATCAACTTGGAGATAAACTGCCAAAGCTAAGAGCTTGTAATGGATGGCCGTCTCACGGTCTTCTACATCAACCATATCTCTCCTTTTCAGGAATGGCTTGTTATTACATCATCACTCCTTTTTACAACATGTTTCGCATACACTTGCTCTATTATTTATTTTGCGAACTTCGAAGGAGTTGATTATTGCACGCTCCTTGCTTTATTCCTCCTCTTTCACGAGATTCATCTTTTAATGGCGATGCCATATCAGCAATCTTGTTTCCCCAGTTGAAGCCATCGTTTGATACCTAAATAAATCATCGTCTCCAACAGCTATCAGATGAAAGCAAAACATGCTAGCACGCTTACACTGTATCGGAAGTTTGCTACTTTTTACTAATTTTTGACCTTCTTTTCACGTGGGCTGCATCTGGTACAGCATTCATCTTTTTTAGAGGGTACTTTCTGACGGAATTGATGCCTTTTTGTTCATGGTGGTAGCATTTGGATTTCGAGCGACCAAAAAAATGAGAACAGAGAGACTAATTTGCATGGCGAGATTCTATGAGATTTTACGGAAAACTGAAATAACCCAGGTAAAGCTGTTATTTAAGGCAATCCATTAATATCAATGCATGCTGAACACAAGTGACCTAACGCTTTCCCTGCTAGAACTAATCATAAACGCAGTTTTTGAAGTGCTGACTCCAACCTATCCAATTCCCATGCCACAATAACCCATAACTACCGTGACTTCATGACTTTGTTGGTACTCGTAAGTTTGCATTTACCCTCTCCAACAACTGCTCCTTGGTGTCTTTGCTTTGTGGATGGAGATCTCTCTATACAGGAAATGGTTAATATCTACGAGTGATATATTTGAAGCAAATGAAGAGAGGAGCTCCAAGGGTACTAACAGCTGCCAACCATCTTCGTAATTCTTCTCTTGACCATGTTGCTGGATCTATTTGTGAATTAGTTTAGTATCACATCATCAGTTGATATATGAGTCTTTCGTACCACCGGTAGGATCTTCTTCCCTTGGAAACATATCACTACCCCAGATGGACCATGCTGCAGCTGCAGTCACAATTCCCGTGAAAGCTAATACTGCGTTCTATACATGTTTTAGTGGGATGCTTTGGGTTGGTGTTTAAGAAACTTACTTTGGAGCTCAGAGCTCTATCAAGAGGGGTAGGCATCCTTGATAAGAAAGGGTGGCGTTAACTTGAGATGTTCTTGATAGAGATGTTGTACTTTCAAAATCTTTCTTCTGCAACACAACTTTTGGATCTAGTGTATGTAGAGTAGGATTTTGACATGAAATTTTCAAAATCCAACTTTTTGCAAGAGACTTTAAATAGATAATTATTCACAGAGACGTACAATGCTTGCCTAAATACCAGAAACCTGTCCTCCCTCTCAGCCACAAGGCCTCCCTCAATAGTACGACAAGCCAACGCCACATCCATCGGCCCATGCACATCTTATCAAACCAAAACCCTTCCATACAATCATAACCGAGCTAGCTTACTAATACCCACACAATCTCGAATTTCCACATCAACAACCTCAATACCACGAAATTCCGATTCCTGTCATCAATTCCCGATTATTTCACCAATTTCCGACTAATCAATCCGTCAAAATGCCTCGCGAAATCACCGACATCAAATCCGTGAGTTATATCCTAATGAGCTGGGTTTGGAGGATGGGAATGGGGATTGAGGAATTTGGAATGGATAAACAGAAAGGGCTTTTGGGTTCGAGTTGGTACAGATGCTAATGTTGAATTGCACAGTTCTTGGAGATTTGCAGACGCAAGGATGCTTCCTGTATGTTTTTATATTTCTATTTTCTTCCATTCTAGCCTGGCGTTACACGAATTATCTACGAACTCGAATCTGGAAAAGTTTCATCGGCATTTTTGAAAATGGGCAATTGAAGAACGGATGAACTTGCGGGATGGGATGCCGCGATCTACGAAGCTACAGAAAGACTAACATAGTATACAATAGCTGCCCGCATAAAGAAGAATGTCGGAAAGACCAGCTCCATCAAGATCAAGGTCAGATGCCAAAAGTACTTGTACACCCTTGTCCTTAAGGATTTGGAGAAGGCCGAGAAGTTGAAGCAAAGTCTTCCACCTAGTATGATTTCCCCTCACTTTAGGTCAAGACACTGCTAACACAAGCTTTAGACCTCACCATCGCCGATACTCCAAAGAAGAACCAAAAGGGAAAGAGAATCGCATAGATGGTTGAAAAATGGGGTTAGATTACGGATTCAAGCAGTGGATGAGACAATACAAACATTGATTGATTGCACAGTCGAAATATATTGAGCATGATCATGTTTTTTGGCGTTGGCAAGATCGTGATGTGATATCCTGCTTTTGTGCTGTGAAAATAGGGTGAAGTAGATTGAGGAAATGAAATAAGCCCTTGGAATCCAATTATTGCCTTTGGTTGTGGAGATGTGTCAGAAGACATGAAATTGTTACCTCCCATAATTAGGCATGTCATGGTGAACTATATCCAATATTTTGCATTTCTTTTTCTTGAAGTCAAGATGGTCATGCTAAGGTGCCCGTACATCTTTTACTCTTATTTCTCATATTTTCAACACTGTTATTGTGCATACAAGTAGGATATCAAATATACGGATTGTTAACCTACACTCTGCTTGATTCCTAATTCATCCAACTCCCCATTCCCTGATGGCAATGAGATGATCAACAGTTTTGCAGCTATCATCTGGCTGCTCCAATACGTACAAAGTGTTCGTGAGAAATAGAATCCTGAGGTCTGATGAGTAGTGCGGATAAAAATTGGGCCTCTGATTGTAGGTCTACTTTATTTGTGTCAAAGGGATACAGCCGGTCTTTGTTACCAAAATATTGATTACAATGAACTCTATGTATAGCATCAATTTATGTTTCAGCAGCCATTGATCTCAATGCCATCCTTTCAACAGTCAAGCGTCTTTGTTTCCTTCAACATATATCCATCGACAATTCTATTGTCTCTTCCCCTCCTCACGTTTTTTCATAAATCTTTTTGCTTGCCAATTTTCTCTTTTCTGCATCATTTTGACACTACGATTCTTGCATTCATCCTAAGCGGAAACGTTTTGTATCTAAGACGCCGGTCGTCATTATCACAAACAACATCAAGGAGACGCTCATTCAAAACTCCTTTTCTTTTACAGTTATCAGGTCAGTAACTCGTTTTCTATTTCATATGCGACATTGGGCAGGCCCAACCTTGTTATTCATTTGTTTTAAAAACAGTAAGTTAATTTTTCTCTCCTATTCTCACAATGACAATCCACGATTGTCATCTTAATCCGTACGCAGCCCGTCGAATACTCTGGGCTGGTGATCGTGCCCACATTCCTCTTCAACCTCTCTGCTGCACTTACTCTCAAGCTGCCGACCTAATAGGCGACAACATAACCAATGTACTGCAAGGAGCCACCGGTCACCCTCCGCACGACCCCTTCTACAAAATCAAACAAAATTGGAATAGATCTGGCCTCTCCGACTTAAAAAATATCATCAAAAGTCCCTGGTTAAAAGGTAAGACTGAACAAGACCTCCTAGATCTCTATTTCTCTTATTTCAACATCATGATCTTTGGAGGGGCTCTAAATACTCTCAGATGTACCATGAAACTCGAAGAGCCAAATGCAGAACAAAAGGCACGATTTGTCTTGGGAACAACAGTCGATAAGAGAACCGAAAAAGACACGACGAGACATAATATTCGTTGTCATATTAGTGTATTTGTACGACACCCCGCCCCGAAAAACGAAGCTGAATCAGTGACACTCCTTAAGAATTATCTAGGGACCTTGTTGCATGAAATGATTCATGCTTTTTTTAGTATCTACGTATGTAAATGTAACGCTGCATGTCGGAGAAAGGCACTCGATCTCGAAGAGAGTGGTGTAACGGGACATGGAACCCCATGGCTGAGAGCCGCGCGCAGTATTGAGAGATTTGTACGACAGGGACTTAGAATGGATATTAGATTGGGTAGGGAAGAGGCGCTGGGATTGGAATTGATAGTTGGGGATAAGGAGATTTGGTATGTAGATTTGGAGGATATGGGGATGGATAGGGATACGGTGAATAGGGAGATGGATTGGTTTGCAGGTTTTATAGATGAGTTGGAGGAGAGGAAGAGGATTGAGAGGGAGAGCGATGCGAGGTTGGAGAAATTGGAAAAGGAGAGGTTACTGAGGGAATGGAAGGAGAAGCAAAAGAAGGAGAAATTGGAAAGGGAAAGACCGGCTAAAGAAGCGAAGGAGAAGAAATACATAAAGGATGTTAGGGTTGCGATTCTTAAAGATTTACGAAAGAAAAGTAGACGTGGTAATTGGAAGGTTTTTAAACGTATCGCTAGACCGGTTCGTAGACATATCGCTCAACCTACTCTCGGACCAGACGACGCGACTCTCGCTCAAGCAGCTGCTTTTCCTCTACCTCCTTCTCCACCTCCCTCTGAACCTCCATCTCCACCACGTTCTCCACCACCGCCTCCGCCTCCTCCCCTACCAGCACCCACTCTCCAACCAACGATCCGGCTGCCGCCTGCAGCCGCATTAGCTCTACCTCCTCTCCACCACAATCTCCACCACCTCGACCACGATCTCCACCACCGCCTCCTCCCCTCCCGCCTCCTCCCCACCCACCATGCCCCAACTTCCTCCTCCACCGGCGCACCCACTCCCCAAACCACACCCAACCACACTCATCCCGCCCACCCTCAGCCCCTCCACAACCACCTACCTAAAACACCCATCCCGCCCTAAAACCCTACCCTTTATCCACCGCACCATAAACCCCAATACCCGTACCCCAACCCCAAAATCCCCACTCGGATGCACACCTCACCATCCAAATCCAACCCACATTCACACCGCTACAAAACCCTCCAAATCCGCAAAAATACATATAAAGATAAAGATAACGATAACGAGAGTAGGAATTCGGATTTTAATAAAAGATATTTGGATGAAGTTGATAGGAGGGGGATGGAGGAGAAGAGGAAGCTGAAAGCGCGGAGAGTGAGGGGAGACGGAGGATGGTGGGGTGTAGGGCGAAGGTTTTGGATTTGGAGGATTTTGGGGGGTTGATGGGGAAGGGTAGTGGTACTGGTGCTGGTGCTGGTGCTGGGGGAGGGGTGGTGTGTTGGGTGGGAACGGAGGGAGGTGGGGATTTTGGGGAAAGAGGGGGTTGGCGTGATTTGCCTGTTTGGTTTTAGGGTTTAGGTTTTATGTGGGTTGGGTGATTCTTGATTTGTTGGGTTTGAGTTGGTTTGAGATTTATTTTTATATATTATACAATAAAATAAAATAACAATTTAATTCAAAGAAGGAATTTTTTATTCATTTTTTAATCTCGGTCTTTATCAAGTTTAAAATTAATATATTTATATATATATAATTACAAACTATAAGTATATCAATATCTCCTCCCTCTCTCGTTCTTTTTTCTCTTTCCTCTTTAACAATTCAAAATATAATGATATAATATAATAGGATATAATAGTATATCATTATCCACTTATAATTCCATCAATCAATCATTCCGTCCACCCTCATGCAATCATATAATCAACCCTCCTCCCATTTCATCCTATCCAATGCCATCCAATGCCATCCAATCCCGATCCAACCATTAACTTTTAAAATATACAATATAAAAGACCAAAAACATCAATATCATAACCAACCCACCAACCGACCAAGACGTCCCATCCCGCCCATGCTTTAAAAGGAAAAACCCCATTCCGTTCCGCCCAATAATATAAAAATTCCAATCCAACGCCTCTAAATGCACCCACCCATCAATGCTAATACTAATAATTGATAATTTCAAAATATGCCTGCCGAATCCTTTCGCCGCGCTAAAATCAATCGTGATCCGTAGAGAGGATGATGAGAAAACAAAGAAAGGAAGAAAGGAAGAAGATCCGAGTCGTGGAAAAAGATAATCTAGAAAGAAAAAACATAGACCGGAGAACCACCATATTCCCATCTTCCCAAACACGCACAAAGATGAGATGCGTTATCGAAATCCCTCGTCATCACCAACGTATGGGATAAAATCACGAGAAAACCTCAAGCTGCGTTCCGTTCCCGGTCCAGGACTCTGTCCACATCCCGAATGGCGATGATGTCCATGATGATGTATTCCCCACGACCTCTCCCTCTCTCTCACCTCCCCACCCCCATTCTCTCCCCATCCGCTCGTCCTCCGCTCCTCGACTACTCCCCGGCTTAGCGGTACGCAAATCTCCGTGTGCACTCTAAAAAATTCCAAATTCGCCCTCATACTACACAATCTCAGCCAATCCCTCCCGATCCACCTCTCAACCCATGCATCGATAACTCCTACAACGCGATGAAATCCGTCCGTGTGACCACCCATCTGTTTAGCTCCCCAGCCACACCTCACAAATAAATAACAATGAACCAATTCATGCAATAAAGCACTTAACAGTAATCTCCTATCGTATTTAGGGTCTCGTAAAATGGGTTCAGATAAAACAATTAGGGTTTCGAAGCCACCAAAAGAAGCTAGACGTAGAGCCGTGGTGCCGATGAGTTCAGATGAGTAGCGAGGTTGTTCGGGGGAGGACCAGGAGAGACGGACGCGGTTGTGAAGTGAATTGTGGAAAAAAATTGTATCGACTAGGTAGATGATACGGTCTATTGCACGATCGGATAAATGAGCTTTGAGGAGAAGATTTTGGAGTTCGACCTCCAAGTAATAATGATTTGTAGGTGGATCATATCGAAAGTGATGTTCGATGAGATTGGCGGCTTGATCGTCACTCAATATTGTATGGTCGTGTAGAGCAGGAGTAGGTATTGAAATATTGTGATCAGAGACGATCGAGTGTCCAGAAAGCGTCCTTTCCATGGTCGGAGCGACGTAAATATCGAGAGGCGGCGCCGGAGGTGTAAAACATGGGATTGGTGTTTTCATTGCACTGGGTGTTCGTTGATGGTACTGCAAAATGGGTCGGGTAGGAGGTCGAAGTTGTGAAGCACCCGGACTACATCGTTCTCGCTGCAAACGAGGATCTCGGAGTTTGGCTGCAACTTTTTCATAGCGGTGCCCCGAGTGTGACCTTTTACTGTCCGTACTTGAGCTTCTTTTGACGGAAGCGGTAGCCATGAAGAATAAGGAAAAAAAAAAACGGACGAAATACAAAATTTGTGACCTTAGGAGGAAGTGGAAAGTAAGCCGGTGTATATTATTTTTGGACAAAGCTCACACTACTATGAGAAGCTGCATATGCCACACGACGTATGCACAGTGCAGTGAGGCTTACTCGGGTTAATATTGAATTAGCCCTGTCACCGCTTCCAAGATGCAGAGCTCTTGAAGTACATAAGGAAAACGAAATGACACTATGGATTCGCTTTTTCGTGATTTTATTTATCCCAAAAACAATGGGATGAGGCTGAGAGAATATCTTTTGGCAATGATGGGATGTGGAAATGTGGTTGCCAAAAAGTTTACATATACCTTGAGGTCGATTGATAAGTGGGAAAAAAACGTCAGAGGCGGAGAAGGGATCCAACAACCATAATCCTTTTTAAATGTCAACGATTCTTTTTCACTTGCTTGCGAATCGTTGATTATTGATGATCGGATTTTGCGGAAACTTTTTCCAAGGTTGTCGAATTTTAGTTGGGGTGTTTCTGCGCTGTGCGGTGCTGTGCTGTGCGTGTGTTGCGTGTGCGGTGACAACGGGCGATCCGAAACCCCAAGCAGAGCAGTTAGAAAGTTACACACCGCCTCGCCTCATGTGTAAGATTCAGTAAAGATACGTTTCGTACAGTTAACGGATTAACAGGGTCGATGAAACGCAACCTGGGAGTACCTAGTACCTAGTACCGTCTTGGCCCGCGTTCATCAATATGTGCAGTGTGCAGTGTGCAGTGTGCAGCGGCTGGGTGATGATGAAAAGATTCGTTGTACAGTGTAGAATAGAGTGTAGCATACAGTATGCAGCCAGAGTAGTCGAGTAATTTCTCCCACTTCGTATTCCGCATAGGGTAAACCAACGTATTGAGAAGTGTGAAGACTACTTACAAGTTACTACTTCCTGCCTAGACGCTTGCTACTAAGAACCCCTACATAGATAGAAGTTAGTTATTAGTTTATAAATAATAGTACTTGCAAGAATCTAAGACTTACTTACTCTTCCTTACTCTTCCTCCGTACTCTAACCCAAGAGCAATTTCCTGAATCCTGACGCTAATGTAACTTTAATCTGATCTTGGTTGCCGAATCGTTCGCCTCGTTTGAACTGATAGGCCTAAAATCAATCTTACACTTTTCTAAACCTTTCTAACCGAACCTTACCAAACCACAAAATGCTAGACAAATTATTTCATTTTATCGCCACCATCCAGAACTCTCGTCAACTTTGGCTTGATAATAATAAATAATTAAAGTTGTACCGCCCTATGAAGAAGGATATGTAAGTACGAGACGAACTAGACCTGGTAGGCTAGTCACAACAGACCAATAAGTCTAATGTATATGACCAATACGACCGCATATCCGAGTAACAAGGCTACTATTCAAACCCATTCAAACCCATTTAAACAAAATGACCCGAAAAATATAAGATACATACATGATCTTCATCCGAAAATTGCCTCCACTGGTCCAGAATCCTCGGAAGTTCCATGCAATGCTAATGCCAAGGTAAAAGATGCTTGACGTCCGATTCTATAAAACATACTGAAGGAGTACCCCAGCAATCCGCCAAATTACCCTATAACTATAAACTTCATCTCGCACGTTTGCAGTGCAGATTGAGTTCCATCGAACAAGGACTCCGTGAAATCGTACAGCCTTATTCTCCGATCGGCATACAAGGTACTGCCAATCTTCACCATTTAGTAATTAGAGCCTTTTGAGAAAGCTGTGGTCAACATCTCACGAATTGTGACCCTGGGAACTTGGCCCCGTATCACAGGGTGCATCACGATTCCCTGTTGTGCTGGGAGATACCGCCTGACCATATCAAATGGTCTAAAGATCGAGAATAATCTGTATGTACTGTGCCCATTTTGTTGCTGTGCAGCAAGAATATACGGAAGATTGGCCCTGACTACCTTTCAAGATGTCCAGCTGGGTGTGAGCATTATTGATGAAATGTTTGGGGAGAACCCGCTAAATATGTCACACTAATCCTAGCCCTAAACCTCTCACGTACCTGACCTCATTCGCCTGCATCTCTAGTGCTCTTCTCATAGTTGCTGCGTGGGTACGCTCTTCCTTCTCTTGAAGAGTCTCCTCGGCAGTCTTGGGTGTATCTTCAAAAGAGTCGGCTGTGAAACCAGGTTTGCTAGAGAAATTTAACAGCCCTACTTTGTCTCCTGTCCACAGAAGAAGATCATTTTCGTTGACAAGCCGTTCGTCGAGCCCAGAGTCAGTTGTCTGAATTTTGATCGCGATGTCTCCAGATCCCGAATCCATGTAAGAGTCACCCAATGTGCCAAATATGCCCCTTGGTGCTTCAACAGAACCATGGGCAATATTCCATCTTCGGGACTCGGTGAATCCATCCCTCTCGAACCACTTCAGGTTACCCCCTCCGTCAGAAACAACAATGCGGGTACCATGATTGGCAACAGATAATAGTTTTGAGCTGGATGATGTTTGACGATTCTTCATAGTAGAATCTTGCAGCCGCCCCGCGGAAAACTGGGAAGATATTGTGGAAAGATTTGGATCAGGGCAAAGACCATACATCTCCAGCGAGCCTTTACTATTATACTCACCGCAAGCAATCAAGGTTTTACCTGGTCTAGTCTTAGCTTTCCATACCTGCTCAACGGAAAGTTCACCTCGACGGGCGAGGTCCTTTTCCATCGATGCAAAGGGGTACGGGAGTGTAGCAATTTGAGACAATCGTGCACCAGAATGAATAGTTCCTCTAAGCTTGGGAAAATTTCTACGGTCATAATTCAGAATGCTAGGAAATCGACCAGCAACGTAAATATCTCCATTACCATTCCAGTCATCACCCGAACTAGGCAGATGCACAATACTTAGTGGCCCCGGCTGATATAGGTGAGCGTAGTCGGAGCTTGGCTCTGGGTTCAGCAGGCTTTTAAAACTAAACGGCTTGTCTGCAGAGCCAGATGTGACTTTGAAAGAATCAAGTCGTTCCGTATGGCTCGGCGATCCAACGTTTGCTCTTTGACGAGAATCGTGAAGATAGAGAGATAAATTGGTTCCCACAGTCAGGGGTGTCGGGTATTTTGCCTCGGAGAGAGCAGTGATAGAAAATGGATATGCTTCATGGTTTACCGTCTGTAGAGTCTCGAGATCAATTTCAACCAGACCTGTAACATTTTCAGTCAGTACTAAAGACGCTAGGGAAAGCGATATCTATGCCCTTGTAGGTACATTAGGGACATAAGTAAAGATGTACTGCTTAGGGGAATCATGATATCTGAAAGTAGAAGTATCACATACCACTTTGAACAGCAACATAGGCTTTCTTTAGAGTACTGTCAACACTTATACATTCTGTGACACCTGTACTTATCATCTTTGACCTTGCCTTAAGATCCTGCGACCTTCCACTTTCCGCCAGAATGCCAGACTTGCTTCTTGCAACAATGCTGCCTTTTCTAGGCGCATTCGCACCGATATCCCAAATACAAATGGAGCCATCATCAAGAGGTCTGTGATATCCCAGTCAGGACACTTCTCAACTATAAGGAGGTAAAAACAAGAATACTTACGCAACAACCATAGTAGCTCGAGTTTCTCCCTTGGGCGTATACACCGCCATTCCCCGCACCTCCAAATGTTCACGACTAGCACTTTCGCGATGACGAGGCTGCTGCAACCAACTAGTTGAAATGGGCGCATTTCTCGCTATATACTCATCATACCACTTAACCTTCTCCGTCGGATAACTCGGATCCCAATTCGCCAATATTCTAATCCTCTCGTTTGCTTTACTCCTAAAGTCTCGAGCTTCCTGGCGAGGTTTATGCAGTCTCGAATCGCCGGTTCCATTGTTTGTAGCGAGAGCTATGGCTAATTCACGCATTCCGGAATCGTCTTCGGTTTCGGAAGATATTAATTCTTGACGTCTGCGGAGCTTGTCGAGAAACGAGGAATGCGTGAAACATTGTTCTCGCCAGAGAGTATCATCGCGACCAAGTTCTAAATATCGTTTGGAAACGAATTGTAGTTTGACGATATCTGAAGGTTCTAGATCTATTTGCAGGAAATAATGTTAGTAGTTATTTGTCAATTTATGAAGGAAATTCGGAGTATAGTCACATGAAGTAATATTGAGAATGATTTCTGAAGGAAGGTCGTCCATTTTGGCCATTTTGTAATTGTCGAATATATATATGTATTGAAATTAAGTGCAAGATATGAATTGAAAGAAACTTGAATATCCAAAGGTTGGTTGATATTGAGATTCGAAATCATAAGTCCATTAGTCCATTGGTCCATTAGTCCTTCAATTTATTAGATTAATCAACATTATGATAAGACCGACCGATTATGCATAGCTCGGCAAAGGGTCTGTGCATGAAATAGACCCCTCTCGTCCCGTCCACGTTCCTTCACCCCGCCAAATAAAGTTCAGGGATATTTGTCAACATAAACTCGGTACAAATACATTGGATCGCGAATTTATTGTATACAAACTTTAACTATACAGGTGTTCAACGGAATATTAGTAATTCGGATGACTTGGTAAGTATTCAACGGACTATCTATGAATATTTCAATATCCGGGGGTTCTGGAGTGTCCAGACCGTCCGTAAAAGGCTCAGAATGCAATGCCAGATTTCAGAACGGGTAATTGTGAATAGCAAAAGAAACATTAAGATTAATTAAAAGATATGAACGAAAAGTCTATCGACGTAAAGTCATGATGTGAAATGGGACATCATGATCTATGGTCCCTTTATAGCGGCTACCCAGGCCTCCTGTAACATCCAATGCCCGTATCCTAACCAATTCATATATCATAGCTCGTTGATTCCCCTTATTCGCATTCCCTATACAACCATCCCCACCCATACTCCAAATTCTTGTCAATCTTTCCCAACACCACTCATTACGCATCTTCCATAGAAGGTATATAGACTCCATCCTTACATGCCACCACTACCCTCTTGAAAAATCGTCTCCACTCCAACGGATCCCCTTTAACCTTCACAAATCGCACTTCTACCAACTCTCTGTCCTCTGTCTCATAAGTATCCAAAACAATTTCTCCATTCATGCCACATCTTCTACTATCCACCGCTCGTACCTTGACCCACGCCGCGTGCATTTGACTGCTTTGAAGCTGGGCCAAAGGTGGTATTGGTATGTTCATCGCATGTAAAGAATCGGATAGGAGCGTTAATAGTTGAGGAACGGGGAGATGTGAAAAGAATCGCGTAAGCGAGTAATTGGGGAGAATGTCTTGAAACTGGCGAGCATGTTGCGTGAGACGTAGGGATACTGCAGGATTGGAGGAGAATTGAGACATGGAAGGTTCATCAGCTAGTGTAGCATCTCCAAAATTAGATGTAGCTGGCGATGGAAGTTGGAGCTTGCAGGTGATAGCCTCGGTAGGTTGAGATGTAGGTAATACGCGAGGTGGTCGTTCCCAATCAAATTGCATATCTATGACCTGTGCCTCCGGTTGTGTGAATGAAAATTTATGACTGTCAATTTGCATTGCGTCTTGGCTGAGCTGTGATGCGCTAGGCTTTTGCTCAAAGTCGATACGAAGATTCGCCAACATCTGAGTGGCAAGACCCAATGGATCGCTCATTTTGCCGTCTTTTGTAAGAAGTGGGTTCTTCCGTGTATACCATGGATGTCTTTTGATGTGTTCAAATTTGAAGCGCTTGGATGCATCCACATTCATCATTCCTCGTAGCAATGATAGAACTGAAGCTGGCAATCTTCGCCATAATTCATCTGAACTTCGCCCATTGGATTTGATGTATTCATCGAATTCCCAACTTTCAGCCGTAGGTTGATCCCAAGGTGTATTCCCCACCAATAGCACAAATAATACGACCCCGCACGACCAGATATCCACCATATTTGCAGCATATCCTGCTCCTTTCACCTTCGTTTGAGTACTCTTAGAACAAGAGATTACTTCCGGGGCTATATATGGAGGGCTACCACACATAGTCGTACTAAGCTTTCTAGCACCGTTATATTCAAATAGCGTCGCCAGCCCAAAATCCGCAATCTTTAGATCACCACTGCTCGACAGTAATATATTCTCGGGCTTAATATCTCGATGCCCAACACCCTTCGCATGCATATAGCTTACTCCACTAACCAATTGTGTGAAATAAAAATGTGCAATGTCTTCCTTGACTCCGACATCCGCCTCGATTTTGTCGAATAAGTCTCCTCCTTCTGCATATTCCATAGCTATCCATTTCCACACAGCATCTTCACCTGTCGCAAACCACTCTATAATATTCGGATGCCGTCCAATATGGGAGTGCAACGACACCTCCATTGCAATTTGCTTTGAGGAAATTCGGCCATGTTTGACAGCATAAGCTTTATGTATGAATTTGACTGCGAATACCGGAGTAGGGTCGGCTGGAGGAATGGCTTTCTTGATTCTACAGTGTTTATTAGTATATATATATATGATTTGTTGTATAGCAAAAGACGGTCAGATAGTCTTATTTTGGACTCACGATGCGTAGGCACCTCTGCCTATTGTTTTAGAAATAATTCGAAAAGGTAGGTCGCGGGGCAGCGGGTCCATCTGTGACATCTGCATTGCCATAACTTTAGTTGCTGGGAACGAAGTAAAGAATGAACGAACGCGGAATTTCTTGGAGACCACCACAATACAAATATAGAAAAACAAATGCTGTGTCGATGTCACTAGAAGGGAAATTTCCAAAAAATATAAAGTCTTTCGATATTCAATAAGTTGGCAATTATTAGATCCTGAAGCTTTCTCTAAAAACCAATCAAAGTTATTGCCACAGGGTGTTTTGAATCGCGTCTGAGTTTCAATTTAACCGTTACCTACTTTTTAAGCACTTTAAGTCGCGAATCGCGAAAATTAGTGACTACCAGTTGCAGTGCAGTACATACAACCCACCCGCGTTTCTATGGCTACCTCTGCCTAGGAGAGAAAAGCGAAATAAACAAATCCACTACGACCCTTCAAAACTTCAACTTCCTTCCCTACCTACATAAATTCATTTTCTATTCACCTCACTCTACTTTGTACATTCATCACATTCACAGCTTCCCAGTTCAAATAATTCATCAAAGTCCAAAAGTCGAAGAATCCTTTGTCTAGATCTTCCAGAACACTGTTTGCTTCTTCTACACAATTGTTTTCAGAATTTTTATTTACATTCCCATCAGCTAAACCACCTTTGTCCGTTTCTGTCGACCTTACACACTAGTACCAGTAGCTGTTGACTTCTTATTTACCTACTCACTTACTTGATTGGGCTTTTGTGCTTCCTATTCTTTTTAAAATCATCATGAACTTCGCCATGGAGGATACTCAGAATTCCGCCCCAGGAGATCTTCCACCAGCTCAAGCTGCCAAGCTCGCTCCTCGCAAAGGTCCTGATGCTCAGAGCACTACAAAACGGTTAGTGCGAAGTCTACTTCCATCCTCATAGCCTCTGCAATACGGCTTGCCAAAATATCCAATACTAATACCATTCTATACTACAGTCTCCAAACAGAGTTGATGCAATTGATGACATCCGCAGCACCTGGCATCTCCGCATTTCCTTCCGCAGACGGGAATCTTCTTTCCTGGACCGCAACTATTGATGGACCTGATGATACTCCATATGCTTCTAAGAAATTCAAATTATCCTTTGCCTTCCCATCCAACTATCCCTACGCACCACCAACTGTGCTTTTCAAGACACCTATCTATCACCCTAATGTCGATTTCTCCGGCCGAATCTGCCTGGACATTTTGAAGGACAAATGGACAGCTGCTTATAACATTCAGACAGTTCTGTTGAGTTTGCAAAGTCTTTTGGGAGAGCCAAACAAGTATGTTGATTCATGTTGGGACGGGTGATTGAGTGTCTAGACTAGTACTAATATACATCGACAGTGCATCACCATTGAACGGCGAGGCCGCAGAGTTATGGGACAAGAACCCCGAGGAGTTCCAAAAGAAAGTCAATGGTCGTCACCAGGACATTGATGATGAATGATTTTTCTAGAAAAGGAGGGTGAACACCGTCATTCAGATACCCGGCGTCAATATGTTATGAATTGGAGATTATGCATAATGGACTGTTGTCCATGTCTCAGCTTGAGTATCGGGTTGTTATTGCATTCTCAGGATATTACAGGAGGGCGTCTCAATGGGGCTTCGGGGGCTGTATCCCTTATTTTGGTCCTTCAATAAATACAAAACAAACGCATTGTCGAATACCCTTGAAAATCTACCTGATGTGCATAATATGGTCTAGACTTGCTTCATTTAATTCATTTCGAAATGACGACATTCTCATGAGGGTTGATCCCCATATTGTCTTTTTACGCTTAGTAACAGACTCACTCTTGAACCATTGGGTCACAGGTTTCTAGGGCAATTTGGTTTCTACATCCATAACTCTTTTTGCGCTTCCGACACTGTTGCCAATGATCGACTCGAGATCGCACATGGAGTGAAATCGCTTTAGCGTATGTTATTCGTAGTGGAAGGAACAAGACAGAACAATCAGATGATGATGCACGAGAATCTGGCAAAGTGATATCAAGATTTGAAGATTCCTATGCTCAACGAAATGTAAAAACTGCGAAGCCCGCAGAAATGATATCGGGGAGTGTCTGATGCATCACTTGTTTGCATGTCCCAATAACCCAAAGGTAGTCGCATGGTATTTCCGCTGCACATTTGCATTGCCTGGGGAAGCGTAACTTTCCCAACTCCTTGGAAAGACCCCTGCTGCCTTTTCCAGCCTCATATCACAGACCAATATCACAAGTGCATGAGAATATTTCCCATAGCTAGTGGCTGCATTTAGGTATCGAAAGTTAGACCTTTTCATTTTCCACTACCTTAGCAAGCAGAAATGCAGCAACTCCAGAAATACCCCCATGCCATTTGATTTTGATCATTTATGCATCCTCTACAACAACGGTGTGGAGGCCCTTGGGGTTTTGGACATTGACGGCCTGAACGTAACTGTACAACTTCTCCTTGGCACCCTCCTCGTCGTTACGCTTTCTCGAGATTCGTACACGGAGTCTGAATGGAACACCCTTGATACCAGCTTCCCAAACCTTCTTGTTCAATTGGGGGTCGAGACGAACATCGGAGGTACCCTATAATTCAAGAAAATACCAACATCAGTATTGTTTTCCTTGTGTGTATTTTTCTATCGATCCTTCTAGATAGATATCCATACCATTGACAAAGTAGCGAATGCCTTAATCTCCTTGATGGCCTTTGGGGCACGCTTCTTGAAAGAAACACCATGTAACTAAAAACGAACAATCAGTCCTTCGCCCTTTTTCGGATCCCTATTTTTCGCAATTTCGACATACTCTCTTGTGCAAGTGGATGGTGTACTCGCGCGCAACAACATCAGCGATGGCGGATCTTTGGGTCTTGCCGCCGGTCTTCTTGGTGGTCGTCGACATTTCTAATTTCTTTGTTAGAATCGAGAGACTTCGATTTTGATCTTCGATTGATTCGGCTGGGAGTTATATCAACGTACTGAAGGATTTGTCGCGATTTGTCGTGATAAGTTGTCTTGTCTGAGCTTCAATAATGCAGTCTAAGAATTTCGAAATTTCCTCAGTGTGGAAGGCGCTAGTTAACCGAAAATTTCGCAGCCACTATTGATGCCTTGTAAATGATTACATAATAATAAGGCCACAGTAGCGCAGCCAAAACAACCACACCTACGCTGCATGTCGTCGGTAGATTGGGTGGGACGACGCCGATAACTTATGACTTCAGATTTAATTCAAAGTGTTGCATACCTAAGACTGCTCCTCAGATTCTAAGGTTTCATCACGTCCTGTTTACTCTCTTTTAGTTTATCCGACTTACGACGCTCTTTCCGATCCTTTTTTTTTTACATTCCATTAGCCCAACAACAACATCACAACAATCTGCGACAATAAACCAAGAACTCCTTGCAGAATCAAGATCAATACTTCGAGCAATCCCTTTTAACTCAACTCCCCTTGCCTTTCAAGCAGCTCAATTCCGACCCTGTCGTCATCGCCATGGCAGGAATCAACTCTCCTCAACCCGATCTGAATCGGAATCGGCTTCCTACACTATTCGAAGTGCTTAGTAGAAGGACTTTACCCCCGGTCGATCTATTCTCATTCTACATTTATATGAGGGATCAGCAGCGCTCTGTTGATTATCTTGATTTTTGGTTTGTCTTCCTTGTATTAAATTGCTCAATTCAATCACTAATTCAAGGGCAGGCTTGATGTTGCTCAACACATGTCGCTATGCCGACACTACGTCCGAGAATTGCGGAGATCTGTAATGATTGGTACACCTAAAGGCGATGATGCGCAATCTAAACGATCCTCCGCTGTTCTAGAAAATCTGGGCGAGATGAATCATCCAGCTGCTGGACCGTCCATGTTCAACACAGAAAAGGAGAAAAACCAAGATGCTCAGATGTCGGCTTTCCTTAGAGAAAAATCTGATACTGGAGAAGTTGTGGCTCCACAGGGACACCACTCTCCTTCTCATAGTCTAGGCTCCAATTCTGGCCACAACCTCGGAAACATGTCTAGCGAAAGGCCCAGACCCAGCTTTATGAGCAGTCCATTGGAATTGACATCGGATTCAAACTCACCTGCACACACTGTCGCAAGAGCCGACATTCGAGCCTCTGCCGAAAAGATTCTCTATACCTTCCTGCTTCCAGGTGCTGAGCGTGAGATCATTTTACCACATGCCATTACTCAAGATATTACGATTTCTATTGAAGAGCGGGGACGTGATGACCCAGAAGTTTTTGATGCAGCCAAGGATTACGTTTTCCAGGCAATGGAACGTGATGCTTTCCCAGGGTTTCTAAGAATGAAAGCTTTGGGCAATCTAGTTCCTCCTTCAATGATGTTAAGACTGATTGTTGGTTTGCTATCCATGTTTGCGGCATTCTGGGTTGGATTCATTCTAATCTTTTTGGACTATCCCCACCATACTCGTGTCTGGGTATGTATTTACCAATCTATCCCTACATTTTTCATCCAGATACTGACATACTTCCAGCTCATCATTCCTTTCACAATTGGTGTCTATGCCCTCTGTTCTCACCAATATGCACTCGATCCTATTCTTGCCTTGGCTGGATATAGTGAATACACATTCATGTCCTTCTCCAAAATCAGGGAACCCTTTGTCAAGAGGCTTCTCAACAAACGGGCACTCATGGTCCTCATGGTTACAGCTATAACAGATGCAGCATTAGTCCTGCTATTTGCCTTGGTGCCCGGCAAGAGATTGTAAATATGAAAATGTGTAGATGGAAGCCAACCAAAACAATATAGATAGCAGTTGCAAAATTGCATAAAAAGACCTAAAACTAGAGCATGGAGTCTGGGAGGAAGGAAGGAATGGCAATTTGGGACTTGTGTTTATAGAGCGAGGTGTTCTGGGGACAAATTTCTCTTTCATGTAAAGTGATTTGGGACTTTGTACACAGGGATTGACTGGCAGGAAGATATCACAGGTTGATTTGTTGGCGTTGACTTGACTGATTTTTTTTATTCGGGAGGGAATTTCATTGTTTTTTTTTGGTCTCAAAGTCTGGATGTCTTTCTATGGACAGAACAGGGAACTGAAGGGCCTTTTGATGACCTTTTCCTCTTCTTTTTCTTTACTTTTTATTTGTATGGATGGAAGCTAATAGGGGCGACTTTTGATATCCTCTTCCTGCATACACTGAATGTATGATTATCTTCATATGGGGGCATACCTAGCCTAACTAAACATGCGTGAAAATGCGTTGTCGATTTTTCCCTTTCCGTACGCCATCTTGTAGTCTTTTGTTGATCCCTGCCGCCCTCATCCTCTCAACCAAAAAGAATGGGGGTATATCCCAGGCACTACATATGAAAATCCTTTTACTAATATAATCACATACTCTCATGGTCCAGTATATGATCCAAAACAAGTGAGAGCCATGCTGAGTCGGTATCTGGTGAGCCGGTATCTGTTGAGCTAAGAGATTGGTCAGTGAAAAGTCCCACTAGTCACAAGCTCTAGGCTCTGATAGCAGAACAACTCACTTCCCGAATCCTAACCCACCAAAACCTCTCTTCTTTGAACTTCGGGTATCCTTCATCTGCTGACCGCTTACCGAATCTACATCATCCATTTCCTCATCACTACCAAGATTCTCCAACGTGGCATTGCGCTTTCCAGACGATCTCGTCATTTTGCCCGTCAAATTATGTAGACTACCCATGATACCTGCCCTTTCAGCGGAAGGCTCGGCTGGAGGGGGCGTTTCGAGGAGTGATGCAACGTGGGCGTTCCATTCTTGTTCGTCGCGGTGACGGCGTTGGGCCTCGGCCTTGATGGACGCGATTTGCGATTCGAGGGACGAAAGAGTCGTGGTGCAACGAGCGGACCACGCCGAGAGGGTAGATAACATGGATGGTATTGTAGAGGGCGGGAGATCGCGGAGGGGAGAGACGGAGGAGACGAGTACAGTTTGGTTGTAAGGGTCCAAAGTACAGGTTATGAGACCGGCATATATGGTGCTGATGACAAGATCTTCGAGGTCGCGGGGAGTGGAGAGGAAAAGCGCAGACTGAAGTTTTGGGTAGGTCAAGTCGGACGGGCTTTTGGCAAGGGTGAGGAAGGAGAGCTGGCGAAGTTTAAGGGTTTGGGCAGAGGAGAGGGTGGGGAGAGAGGGGTCGCTGGTATAGTCGGTGTAAGTGCCATAGCTGAAGATTTTAAGGAGTGAAAGATAAACTGCTTGCTCTGGAGGAGCAGAGGAGAGGGCTTGAATTTGTGGCGCGAGGAGAAGTTCGGTGAATATGTATGTTCCGGGCGCGGCGGTCGCTCGAGTGACGAGGTCGACGGCGGCGCGGGGTGATGTTGCTGATTTAGTAAGAGCTAGGAAGGGCTTTTGACAATTAGTATATTAACTCAGACTTGAGGGAATTATAGTGGAAGAACAAATAAATACCTCCAAAGCATTCAGAGCTTTGATTTGCTCCATCTTGCAATTACTTGTATGATTTGTATGAGCTTTGTTACCTTCTGAGGGCCTTGGAATTCAACCAATAAATGGCAGGATTTGGAGTGTAATAGTAGCCAAGTAAAGTAATTCAGCTTCTTGGTTGTTATGGTCCAGTAATTGCAGAAAATCTTGGCGACCGTTCAGATTTTAAATATTGTTGTTGAGTAGCAGGGCAGAGGGAGAAATGATGAAGATGGAGGGACATGTATCGTTTGCTATCTAATCGAGAATAACCTATCCGAGCTTGAGGCGCTAGTGTAGTCAAGCAAGCAGTACCCACTTTTTAGGGAACAAGGTAAGTCTTACTTGCAACGACAACGACAATGGTAACTATTATGTAGGTAGGTATCGAATCTATAGCTACTGCCAACAACATCTTGAGCTCCGATATGTGATGCCTAAATCTCAGCTGATATATTTAAAGCTTCAGTAGTAAACCCCGACGCTCACCGATGGACCCATAAGAGGGGCAACGGCATCCGGCTGTCGATGAAGTTGTTGAAAGGTATTGGTTGGCGTTTTAAGATGGATAATGGATGGTAGGGATAACTTCAATGGTGTTTTGGAAAGAAGCTGGTGATGTATACCTAGTTGTAGATCATCATCGTAGGCTTCTTTTCCATGCTCACAAGCCGAAGCACTCTTCTAAATGATTTTGAAGGCTTAGTAACATTATCTGTGCAATAAACAACATTCCAAAAATTTCTGGTGGAAGTCTAGTAAGAGGTTAGTGGTGTGGTCTGCTTCTCTTCTTCTTCTCCTCACAAGCCGAGAAAGCGAAAGCCCTTGGACGGACTTTGAAGGTTTGTCAATATTAGGTATTGTCGATGAAGGGCTTGAAGTTAAGACATGAATTATGAGGGATGAAGGATGGGAGTTCCTTCCTTTGCTTCAAATTGCTTGCCGTGGTGAATTTCAGAATGGAAGGAACGATGTTGCACCATTGATATCAATGAAGAAGCCCTCGATGCTTCGAGATGATGACCCAGTAGTTCAATTGGAGAACTGGTAATTGACATTGTATTCATATTCACGCACATGATGAAAGTATGGGCAACTACCATCACCTGTCATTTGTAACTGTTCGTATTTCCTTCGACTACCTACTCCATATCATTTCTTTTCCCATATATCATTTCTCCTGGTATTAGCCAGAGGTACCAAGTGATCTACCAAGGCAAAAGACAACTGGAAAGAATTAGAATAGATAAGGTCAGATCATAGTGAAGTCTGTTGAAACTGAAACTCTTTTCCTCACTTCATCAAATTGGCAAAACATGATTTGTCCATGCCAGCGGACCGATTGTTGGTGCAGAAATATTTAAAATAGCAACGTCACAACAACTACAACAACTACAACAACAACAACAACAACATCACGGCAACAGCAACGATACCGACAACAATTTAACAAAATTACAAAAACAACTTTTCGACGGACGACATACTCGCAACGACCAACTCTATTCAATCATTTATTGCAAATACTACTCTCGTCTCTTATGGAAGCTCCAAACTCGACAAGAACGCATTTAGTATTTTCCTCTCATCTTCAATCCCAACCGCAGCTCCAAGATATCCTACTTTGTCAACACCAACCACACGCGACTCCGAACACGGTATCAATTGTATAACACGGTTCATTTCTGTTCGATCTCAACGATTATGGACTTTTTCTTTTATTAGTTTGCCATTTCCCAAGCAAGTAAAAAATTGTTTTTTTCCTTTCTTTCTAATCAAAAGTTCATCACGGTTTGGCCACAAATTGATGTACCATCTCCACACGAAAATAATTTTAATAGTTAATTGCCACTTTTTTGTCCATCGACGATCATTTTTTATATCATGTCTCATCCTGTGGTTGGTTTTGCAGACCTGCCAAATTCCAAATGGCCATCCAAGAACCCATATCGTCAACAACCAGACTCTTCCGACAACCACAGATCCAGATCAACCTCACAAGAAGTCGAATTCCCTTCTTCATCCAGCAAGCCAACCCCGGTCAGGGCAGTGTTCCATGATCTGCACACTGCCCACTCTTCAATCACATCTGGTAAAAAGAGGACTTCAAGTGGACGACGTGCAATCTCACACAATCTCTTCGAGCCTGCCGAAAGATGCGACTCAATTCCACTACAGAAAATAGAGAGAAAGAGAGGGACAACTGTTGAATCATTTCTCCAAAATATACCGCTCCCGCCACCTCCTGCTGCTCTCTTCGGAGGACGTTATGGATCAGATACAGAAAATTCCACTCCAGTTCCTCGGTCAAAATCACAACGTCGCTCATCAACGGTCAAGGGCGAACCTGGCTCCCTACTGGCCAACATTAAGACCGCGCTTGTAACCATATCATCACCCATCACTCCAGATACAAAAGATGAAGAGGACAAAGCTTCGCATTGGCCGAAAGAGAATCCCAATATTCCAAAGGGAACTTTTGGAAAGAAAGCCTCGGGATATATGGAGCTTCTCAAAGAAAGTGATGAAAGAGGTCCATCTACACCAGAAGCACGAAAACCAGGTCATGGAGGTAATGACGGAGACAAGTCAAGTATTAGATATCAAGGAAATGACTTTTCTATTTACCACTCCAAACTCGGCGAAGCACCATCGGGTTCCCTACCACCAAGCAGCAATGATGGGGATAGTCTAGGCGACCTTACACGTAAGAGATCTTACAATCCGGCACGACATTCTTTATATACACCATATCAAGGCGAAATACAATCACCTATACGCAAGAGTTATTCCGACACGACGCCTCAGAGACACAGTTATGATATTCAAAGAGCTACTAGCACTGTTGGTAATATCTATAAGCACTATCTTCACTCGAGTGGAAGAGGGTTTGAAACCGATAGCGAAGAAGAGGTAGACGAAGAAAGCCCTTTAAGAGGAGATATCGTCGCCAAAGGTTCCGATCACCTAAATTACTTTAATGAATTTGACCTAGACACGAGATTAGACTCTGGAGAATTATTGCCACCAGCTCTTAATATAAAAAAGCAACGGAAGGTTGTTAGGGTACCCGGAGAGTCAAACGGTCAGCCACCAAACCGTATCCTGCCTGAAATACCTATTCTCGCTGTGCCAGCAGTCGCTCCAAGTATTTCTCAAGGGATGGGCCAAGCATCTTCCTACGGTGACACACACAAATTGCTTGAACTCACACAAACAACAACTAAGGTTGGATTTCGAAAAGCTTTGCTACAGAGAACTAATGATGTAAATTCCGATGGAGATGAATCTGAAGCAGACATCGCTGCACAGCTGCACGTACCTTCATTCCCATTCGCCACACCCAAAATCCAGCCCACGCCTAAAGTCATAATCTCTCCAGCAGATGATCCTTCAGTGTATGGGGACGACCCTCACTGGACAGATCCTGTTATCTTGCGGCAGCCATTGGAGAGAGAGGTTAGCAAAGCCCTCCGTCGTGCCAGTGGTTATAGTGTCTATAGCATGGAGAGCGTATCGACGTCATTCACGGGTCAGAATGAGCACCCTCGGCCTCAAAGACCTGGGTTAAATTTCTCAAGAAAGCTCAATGTGGAAGACACACCCCCATCAGATTCTGGAAGCCTTGGTACTGAGCAAAGAGAGTTTGTAGCACAGGCACAGGCGTTCTACGATCGTGGAGCAATTGCGCCGAACTGGGTTACTGCCCAGCATCAAAACGTTGTGCGTATTCCAATTAGTCACAGCGTTAATCTTCCCGACTCCCCTCCAGAATCACCGTATGATCGACCTCATGAATCATCCGAGAAACATACCACTCCTACTGAGGCAGAAGATTGGGAAACTGTGGCAGACAGCGCTGCGGGACCTTTTGGTCGTTCTAAGCCAAACGAACCAATGATGATGGGAGGTCTTGTCAACAGAGCAGGAAGCAGCATTGCAGATAATTCAGATGATGGCACAGAGAGTACCGAGCCTCTACACATCGATGAATATGGATCTTCGGAACGTATTGCACATCACCCTGGCAATGTTGAATACTATGGAGACTATCGTCAAAGAGATCTAAAAAGGACTCACATTCCCGTGTTTCTACCCGTCTTTAGAGAGCACAAAGTCAATGGCTATCTTGCAGATTCAAACAGAACCCGGCCACCTCAAAATAACTACAACTACAATCCACAACCTCTTGGTAAAGCTCATACTAATCCTTTCAAATCCCCCCCGCCGAAGATGAAGCCATCTCGTGGTCAAAATCATAATTTATTCCCACCGTCCCTTCATACAAGTGAGGAAAGTGCAGACTTTACAAATTCAAATCAAGGTCGACAAATTTCTTCTGGTACTCAAGGACATGTGGATGAACGATTGAGATTTGATTGGGCAGGTGACATGGGTGAGCCAGGACTAGCATTAGGTGGTTTTAATGATGATATGCCACCATTGAACAAGAAGCGTTCGAGTTCATGGCAATATGTGTTAGCGCTTGGCGAGAAAATAGCCAGCCCGAAGAAAGACCCAATGGCAACAACATCAAAAAATGCCACCAAACACAAGGAAATTCAACTTGAACTGAAAACCGCCGTTAACTCGAAGCCTCAAGATCACAAACCTTTCATCAAAGGTCCACCAGGGGCTTTTTATAGAGACCTTCACATGAATTCCAAGCATGAACCAAGGCGGGTGAGTTTGATTCAAGCAAACAGACCTGGTAAGGTACCCACACAAAACAATAACACGAAAGATTATCCAACAAATGCCCTTCGTCCTCTTGCACTGTTAGCATCTACCAATAATGCAGCTTCAACCTGTGAGAGCCGTCCGACTGTGGAGCAACCATCAACACCCATTCGAGGTCATAATCACAGGGGTACCCAAAGTGATAACACCAATGATTTCATCTATCGATCCCCTCTTGCTCCTCCTAAGCGTCCAAGCTGGCAAGATTTGTACAGTCCTCATCAGTTGCAAGAAATCCGAGATGCTGCAAAATCCGATGGTTTTTTTGAATCTCAACCTGTACTTGGTGATAACGCTCGTGATTCTCGAGGAAACACATGGAGGCATTTATTCGAAAACCCGAAATTATCTCCTTGGTCTCAAAACCCTGCTCATATCATCCTTGAGGCTCGTCGCAAGAGGAACATCTCAATCTTGGTATTGATCTTATGTAATCTATTCCCTCCGATGTTATTGCTGTATGCAACTGGTCGAATGGATGGAATCTTAGTATGGTGGACCGATGGAGATTTTTCATCTTTTGCGCTAAAACAGAAAAGATATGCATGGTTGCTTTTGGCTTGTTGGATGTGTGCTATTTCCATTGGTCTTGTTGCGTTTCTGGTTATATTCTTTACAAAAATACGTTAGTGGATGTGGCAGCGATAGGAAAGTCTGATGTGTAGGGAAAGTAAGGAGAGGAGAAAAGCGAGTGGCTTCAGCAATATGACTGAATGGTGTGAACGATGGCTTGTTATTATACGTGCTCTGAAAGATTCAGAGTTCTAGGTACAGAGTCTTGAGAGGAAATTCTAAGGATTTGATATGGACGAATGTTCAGGTAAATCATGATAATCGAGGTCAAATTAAGGACCCGTGGAAATAATTCTGGGAAAATTTCAAAAAGTGTATAGTGTCAAGAGTTACAACAGCATGGAATGAATCATCAATACAAACTTTCAATATCACCTCCATAAAAGTTGAGCAAATGATTGATATATATATACTGGCATATGATATGATATTGTTGAAAAGCTAGTCCATCAGTGGTCACTAATCAAGGTTAATAAGAGCAGGATCGAAAATCAGAAATTAGATTCATATTTGAACTAATAGTATATATAGATTGTTTTTTGTTTCGTTAGATATTTTGATAATATACATTTCTCTTTTATATAAAATGTTGTATTTGTAGATTTATTTTGAAATAGTTGAGTTTATATAGTTATACCAAGTTCTATAATATTTTTAATTACATTACCTACTCGCGTATTGACTGTATCTATCACATGAAAGACTTTTCCGTTCCTCAAAAGCTCTTGACCGCTTTACCGCTTAATATCCAGCTCAAGTGCCCTGGTGGTGCTAGAGCCAAAAAGCTGACGTGGAATTCATTAGTACACAGAGGAGAACCTTTCTATTACTGGGGTCGTAGAAGCTTTAGAAGACCCAAACCCCTGACCAGTCTGGCCGACCGACCACTTTATTCTTTTTTAGATCTTGTACCAAGAGTTCTTGTACGTACGTAGGCTAGCGACTTTCCGTCCCCCTGGAAATACTAGGAACGTGGAAGGTAGGTAGGTAGGTATCGGTAGTAAGCTTCCCTGAGATTTCCTCGTGAAAGCTGGGTTTTCTTCACGAATTTGTATTTATTTTATCTTTATCTTTATGGTTTTTATTTCTTCATCTTTTCTATCGATTTCTTCAATTGACGGCTTTTGTTGTTTTTTGTGCTTTATGTAATATCTTTACTTTACTTTCAATAGCAAATAACAAATATATACACAAATACAAACACAAACACAAACAAACACAAACACAATAATCAATTAATCAAATAATTAATCAATCCACGAAAATCAACTTCACCTCATTCACCCCCCAACGGAAACCATCGGGACACAACCCGCACCATCAGCCAGCCAAGCTCAACCCGATAATATCCCACATTGCCTTGATTCACCACCAACATTCACTTCCTTAGTGCGACCAAGCCCTTCCTACCAAGGTATTTAAGCCATCCCCTCAAACCACCCACCTACTCCAGCCCTTTTTATTCGCTCGGGAGGAAGCGCATTCCGCCCACCACCGAAAATATTCGCGAAAAGATCGATTCCGTGCTGGCTGTGAATACGGCGTCGGCAAGTACTTTTAAGGATACGGACGTGTTGCCCTTGCCGGTTACGACACCGAAGACGCCGCGGGTGAAGGGGTTGAGGGAGAGAGTAGAGGATTTGGAGGAGATGGTGACGAGTATGAGTAGGTTTTTTCCTGTGTGCTGGTTTTGTTTCTATTCTTTTCCTTTTCCCTTTTGCGTGTTTTTTTCAGGCGGGGTGAGAGGAGGGGATGAGGTGAGGTGGGAAAGAGGATATAATTTATGATGCGATAGTATTACTTCGCAGGTTTAGAGAAGGAAAAAAATAAAAAGAGAGCAAAAAACAGGAAAGAGAAGAAATCCGCAAACGCTCCCAGGCAAGCCAATGAGGGAAAAGAACGCCAAAAAAAATCAATTCATAAGAAAAAACAGAAAGCTAACAAAATCAAAACAGAAGAAGCAGCGCATGAATGCGTGTCGGAAGAAGCGCTCGTCCATCTGAAATCATACAAATATTCGAGCGTGGATAAGAGTTTTATCTCGAATTATATCCTGAAACATTATGTGGGTTTTGATTTCTCATCCTTTTTTTAATTTTCTCTTGAGTGGCGGCGGGAGATGGATGGAGGGGAATGAGGGAGTTTTCATGTCTGCAGCCGATCTTTGGGGCGTTGGGTATGCCGCATGGAGGGGAACAGTAGATATTTTGAGCGCAGCGGGCTTGAAGCTTGAAGCTTGAGCTTAAGGGTTTGGGCAGATGAGTAAGGAGTGGCGTGAAAGGTTTCATGCCAATGTTCTATTGTTCTTGAAACGTTTCTACATAATAACTTGGGGATGAAATATCGAGCGCAGGAAGCTATTGGCTTTGAAGAAAGCAGAATAAGACTAACAAAAATCATTATAGTGGAATGGCTTCGTCGAATTATTACCATTATGGATTGCGCCAAATATGGTTACGTTGTTGGGATTCTTTTTCATCCTCATCAATGTTATCTTTTTGGAGCTCTTCATGCCGGATTTGGTTGGACCTGTAGGTGTTTTTCTCTGCTGGTTTTCTATACTCTTTTAGCCTGAACCCTCCTGCTCTCCATTGACCTATTTTCCCCTCCCACACATCCTTAGGTCTACAAATATGCAATCATTACAGATACTGACAAAATTCGTAGGGACCATCATGGTTATATTACAGTTTTGCCTTCGGTCTATGGATGTATTCAACAATGGACAACGTAGATGGAAAACAAGCGAGAAGAACCGGAACATCGAGCGGTCTAGGTGAACTCTTCGACCACGGAATCGATTCTCTAAATTGTACACTCGCATCACTTTGCGAAACAGCTGCTATGGGTTTGGGTACATCAAGAGCTGGAATCTTCACCGCATTGATTCCATGTTTACCCATGTTCTTTTCAACTTGGGAAACATACCATACACATACATTATACTTGGGAATTTTCAATGGACCAACAGAAGGATTAATCTTGGCTTGTACGATCATGATCCTAAGTGGATATTATGGACCAGAGATTTGGACACATCGAATTACGGATTTAGTCGGTCATCATTACTTCCTCGGATATCATGAATTTTTCGGTTCTTATTCCGTTAGAGATCTCTGGGTACCAATTCTCGTCGTCTCATTATTCGGTATCCATGTTCCTTTCTGCGTTATAAATGTGGTTAAAGCAAGGAGAAGAGATAACTTACCTGTTTTGCCGGTTTTCCTCGAATGGACACCTATGGCAGTTTTCACTTTCAGTATTGGTGCTTGGCTTTTTTCTCCATACTCAACACTCATGGCAGAAAATCGTTTGGTCCTTTTCTGTCTTACAATGAGTTTTGTCTTTGGAAGAATGACAACGAAGATTATCCTAGCACATCTTACAAGACAACCATTTCCTTATTGGACAGTTATGCTTACACCACTTGTTGGGGGTGCTATCCTTGGTAATCTCCCACGATTTGGCTTACCAGCTGTTAGCGTAGGAGTGGAATTATGGTATCTAAGAGCATACTTTGTTTTTGCTCTAGTGGTTTATTTTAGATGGGCTTGGTTGGTGGTTACAAGTATTTGTAACTACTTGGGAATTAATTGTCTTACGATTCCAGAACAGAAGTTGGAGGAGATTTATAGAAATCAAGAAATGGAGAAGAGGTTGGAGAAGAGGGGTTTGGAGGTTAATGGGAGGAGAACACCTAGTGGAAGTGGATCGAAGAGTCCAATTGGAATGCCAAATGGGAAGAGGGCTGATTAGGTTGGTGGTGAGGTTGAAGATGTGCAGACCACATTTTCGAAATCGTGGGGGTTAGATGAGGCATTGGGAAGATGATTAATGGTATTCTAGAGATGCGCCTAGGGGACACAACGAAGGTCGTTCTGGGTTGGTATGGTGATACGGGTGAGTGATGAACAGGTGATGAGTAATGAAGTAGTCATTCGGACATACCATGAGGTCAAATAAAAAAAAGGCATGAGTTCACGTATAGAATGGGTGCATGTAGATACTTTATACATTTTTAATACCGAGAATTGGGAGCGGAGAGGAGAGGAGAGGAGAGGTAGTGAGAAAAAGGGGAACCTCGGAAAGCGAGATGTAGAAACCAAGGCGGGATGTAGGAATCAATGAACAGCGGTACTATTATCGCGTAGTGTTATATGATATAATTGAAGAAAATCAAATCAAATAAAACTCTTGTTATAAAGAGAGGTATAAGATATAGAGAGTTTAGTGTGTGTGTCGTGGATGGGATTTAATATGATATTATTTTTATATGATTTTTGAAGTTGGAGTTGGAGTTGGAGTTGAATTTGAAGATTTAATTTATAATTTATAATTTATAATTCTTAGATCGTGGGCGGGGATGGAGATGGGGATGGGGATGGAGATGGGGATGGAGATGGGGATGGAGATGGAGATGAGATGGTTTATAGATTTGATAATTAGGAGATTGTATGGGTTGGGAATTAATTGTGATATGGCTGGGACTGGTGGGAGGAAGATTTAAAGGTGTAATACGTGAATGAGTGGAGGTGAATGGGTGAGGGGATGAGATAAGTCATATATTGTAAAAGTGGTAGGTCGAGATACGTGCGTCCCGATAGCATACTGTGAGGGGGAATTGGAAGAGAAAGCTGACTTAGATTACATCGTAATATGTCATTTATAAAGAAAACGAGATTCACAATGATTTTTAAGTTGATGTTATATAAGTTCAAATGTATATATGTAGAAGATTGATTATTATAAAAAGAAGAGGCAAAAGCTCTTCTTTTATATCTAATTACAAGAGGTTATATGATTGATTGGTTAAAAACCTTTATGTATTTGGTTTATAATTTCAACTTTCTTGAATTGATTTATTGATTTATTAATATTTTATTTCTTTATATATATATATATTATTTGATTCAATACTCGAGTATTTTTTTTCTAAAAAAATCTTCAAATTATATTAAGATATAATATATATTTTTAAAAATGTTAAATAGAGATATAAATATCATTTAGTGTGTTATGGGTATATAATTTAATCTCTTAGAAACTAACACTCTATAATATTTCATATATCACTATCTTAGAACCCTTAAACGGTAAGCACATTAAAAAAATACCTGCAACCCTCACTAAGATATAAAGAGGAAGCTCACAAGGAGGAATTCAATCTTCTTAAACGGTCGACTAAACTGTCTACTAAACTGTCTAGAAACTCAATAGACTAGATCACTTCCATCTAGCCTTATACTCCATACTGTACATGCCATGGATTGACAAGACGGATAGAACGGAAAGAATCTTGCTAGTAGCTAGAACGACTTGGAAATTCTTAGCTTGCGTCGGTCGTTTCTTGGTAGTCTGGTATGTATGGCTGGTCTAAAGACGGATGGATAGTGGATAGTTTGATCCCTACGCTTCCTTTTCTGAAGTCGAAGGACGAGTTACTCTGTATGCTATGACTAGATTAGATTCAGAATAAGGAGATTGTTTTAAACCACGAGCGGATCTATGAATTTATGATTGTGTCGATTCCACCAGTTCTCATACGGAAAATGTCATGCGTAACATAGGAGATAGTTTCATGTTATATGGCTGGATAGTATTATATTAAAACAAACCCATAAGTAGACGCCACACTAAAGAAAGCCCCCTCTCCACCTTTCACCGAAAACTAGCCACGGCCACGACCCTGATCAGGGATACGATACATCAATACGTTGCAAGGCTGAGCAAGAAAGTTATTTATGAGTTGTCAACGTCATTTTTTAAAATCCTTGTTGCGCCTGTCTGCAACATGGTATTGGCAGGGTGATCTCAAGGTATATACAAGAAGATTTTGATATTGATTGGTATTGGTATTGGTATTGGTATTGGTATTGGTATTGGTTACTCCCTTTGCTAAGAGATCTATAGTATTGGAGTGTTCCGGATGCAGATGTATATATATAATACGTATTTGTTGTAATGTTAAATCAAGGTATGAGAAAAAGAAAAACCGAGGTTCTGCAAAGATCATGATTGAATGACATTGCATTGTCTCGTCGTATGTTCTATCCTCGAAGTCACTCATTCACTCATCTTCGTCGATAATTTATACTATTGAAGAATACCTATCTCAATTACAGATACGACGAAAACTTTGACTTCCTAATCAATGAAGATATATATCCAATAATTATCAATTTATCGTTTCTTGTCGGAGAACAATTCGCCAAGATCTTTCGTCATGAAAATGTCTCCTCCATTGGCTACGGCTTCATATCCTGATTTTGATGTACCTTTATCAAAAGATACTTTGAGGCGGAGTTTAAGTTCCGTACGAGAAGATATACCGACGGTGAATCGGGGTGGAGGAAATTACAAGCCATATGAACAGAATATTCGGTCGAATGGAATAAATGGAAATCCAAGTCATAAGAAATGCGACTCGAAAATAAGTGTTGAGGATACATTAAATAACGATTTTACATTCCCTTCGAGATCTGCGACGACGACGACGACGACGAATAATACAAATCACGATAGAACGAACCCTCAATCTCCTCATAATCGATCGAATCCACAACATTCGCATCATCCGTCCCGTGTTAGTGTCTCCAGTAAAGCATCTTCGAAATCTCATCAAGAATATATTAATTCCCTCGCCATGCCACCACCCGAAGTAATTCGAAAAATCAATCACGTCCAAGAAGAAAAAGAAAAAGAAGCTATCGCGAAACGATTAGGTGATGATCCGAATTTAAGTGAAAATGAGAGGTGGAAAGCTGCCGAACTTATACAGAGGAATTATAGAGGACATAGGGAAAGGAGGATTCTAGCAGGAAAAAGATTGGATGTAGGAACTCGATGGGTTGAAGCGGTTAAGGAGGCTAGATATAGGAATTTAACGACTCCAAGAGCGAGGGAGAGTGGGGAGAAGGAAAGAGGAAGTCGAAGTTTGGATGGGGAGGGGCATTCGTCTATGAATACGGAAGGAGTAGGAAGTCCAACTTCAACAACTACAAATCGAACATCCCACGCACGAGAAAATTGGAGGAAAATTGGTATGATAGCTCGAAGAGCAGGTGGAGATGAAGAATCAGATGAGGGAAGTGATCATGAATCTGGAGATTTGAATGAGGAAGAACTTATCGCGAGACGAAAACGTCGAGTTGAAGAGAAAGCGGCGAGACAGAAAGCTGCGAAAATAATGGATTTACAATATTTTCTTGAGATGGTCGATCTTAAACATAGATATGGATCGAATCTTCGTACGTATCATGAGGAATGGAAAAAAGCAGATACGAATGAGAATTTCTTTTATTGGTTGGATTATGGGGAGGGGAGATTTATAGATTGTCAAGGGTGTCCGAGGGAGAGATTGGATAGGGAACAAGTTAGATATTTGAGTAAAGAGGAGAGGTTGGATTATCTTGTGAAGATTGATGAAGAGGGAAGATTATGTTGGGCGAAGAATGGTGAAAGGATTGATACGACGACTGAGTGGAGAGACAGCATTAGAGGAATTGTGAGGAATGATGACGAGACGCCTGTGTTCACACCAGTTAGTGAAGAAGGGGATAATGGAGGAGAAGAAGAGAGCGAAAGTTCCAGTGATGAATCTCCTCTTCATCATAATTCACATACACGCACACAATCTCAGTCACAAGTACAAGAACTCGAAGTCCAACGAGAAGAATCCCGCGCATCTAAATACGCATCTCCTGAATATGATAATGCGCCTGCCATGAAAAAAGTCTCTCACATGTCCGCTTCTACAATCTTTAACAAACTTCTTCGAGGTTCGGTTAAGAAAAATACATGGATTTTCGTGGCTGATACTTCGTTTCGTCTTTATGTGGGAATTAAACAAAGTGGTGCATTTCAACATTCTTCTTTTCTTCATGGAAGTAGAATCTCTGCGGCGGGATTAATCAAAATTAAAGATGGGAGATTAACTAAATTATCTCCATTGAGTGGACATTACAGACCCCCTGTATCGAATTTCAGAGCTTTTGTCAAGAATCTCAAAACAGAAGGATGTGATATGAGTCGAGTCAGTATTTCTCGATCATATGCAGTTCTGGTGGGATTAGAAGCATATGTTAAAACGAGGAAGAGAGCCAAAAAGGTCATGGGGAAAGTGGTGAGGAGGAGAGATAAAATGTTGGATAAAGAGGGGGTGGTTAGACGAGATGAGGAAATGGAGGATAAGTGTGAGAGTGCGGAGAAAGAGGTTTTGGAAGAGGAACAGAAGAGGAAGGATGATCAGAGATTAGGGTTGTGGGCGGGAGGTTGAAGGCCCTGAGTTTGGGTGCTAGGGATAAGGATGAGGCGAGTGCGTCTTCGACTGATGGTTTTGAAGTCGAGGAATGTTTCGATGGTGGGGGTGAGGGGAGAAAGGTTTGTTGGGGTTGAAAGGGATGGGAAAGGGAGGAGGGAAAGGGAAAGGGAAAGGAGAAGGAGATGGAGATGGAAAATGAAGCAGAGATAAAAATACCAGGACCAGGGCCGGAAAATGCTATTCCGCCTCAAGGGTCAAGGGTCCAGGGGAATTGATATGATATGATATGATTATACGATTACATGATTTATGATTTATGAATATATAAGTATATGAATATATAGATGGATCAGCGAATGGAATTTAACAATGGATGGCCATGGATATTTAAGTCCATAATAATGATATCTTTCTTCGATTGGACGAATATGAGAATGAGAACGAGAACGGGGATGTGGATGTGTGGGAGTAAGAGTATGATGGATAGTAAGTTTTACTTTTAAGTGTGGGTTTTGTATGAGTATAGAAATGAAATTAAGAGTGTGTATAAGTATGATAGGAATGTTAATAGACATAGAAGATGGTTTTGCTTTTGATATATATAAGTAGATAAGTATATAATAAATGAATGATACTCTTTATATCCTTAATAGAGATCATTGGTTTTAAAACATAACATTTATCATGATGTTATATAGATTTTTTAAATTATATATATATATAGGTTAAATTATATTTGAAATTATATACTCGAGTATATAAAATTAAAATTAAAAATTCTAAATAGAATTTATAATCTTTCTTGAATCAAAATTAGACTTTAGAATGATTGTGAAAATCTCAGTTATTATATAATTTCAATAACTTCTTTATAAGTTTTAAATAGGAGTATTTAAGTTATATTTGTCGATGTTATCAATTTTATTTTATTCTTGTATATTCTTGTAGGTTTCTGGTATTTAATATAGATTTTTGCTTTGGGAGAGGTGCTTCTACATCCATTACTGCAATGTTACGATGAGGATGATGATGTTGATGATGAGTGAGTGAGTGAGTGAGTGTGTCGGAAGCGTTGTGTTAAAATCTAAAAGCTCTCTCTCCAAATCCGCAATATCTGCTTCGCTTAAGGTTATCTACCAATCTTAATTTCTTCCTCTTAGCTCCTTATAACAGACTCACTCACCTGTTATATATAAATCTTGAGGCTCTTTATTTTCCCTTCGCGCATTGGTGCATTGTATCGAACTTATAATAATATACTTGTATAATATCAAGTTTATCATCACGCTGCAAATGGACATCTTTCCTGCTATATGTATTCACTTGACAGCTAAGCTGACATAATGACTACAAAGATTGATTGAGATAGAACCGTCGAAACTTTGTAGCCCGCATATATAGTCTCACTTTGTGGCTGGCTAATATCAACATAATAATTGTTCATACAAAGAGGTTCCTTCGCCGACATGGATTTGCCTATGGGATTGACCATTGGAAATCAACAATTATATCTGGGCATTGAATATTTGCTAAGGATACGGAGAATGCATTACAGAGATCATACATATTAGCCGTTGAGAAGGAATGGCAGTGATAATAACAAATTGGTAATAGAGAGAAAATTTAGGATAGTAGCTATAGTACGTCGAGAATGGAGTTGTAATATCTAAATCATATCTTGAATGGATATATTAGGAAGTACGATTTGAATTTGAAACAAGCACATAGGGATACGGTGCCATGCTTATCCATCACTCTTATTGTATCAAGGTGATATGAAGAGGAGGAGAAGGAAGTAGAAGGTATGTTTTTATAGGTTTCCTGAAAAGGGATAAGTACTTATTCTGAGAGATTACAGTGAATAATGAGGTATTTGATCTCATTTTCTCAAAATTCTATATTTTGGCCCTCAAAATTTCAAGATCTGTAATGGCATTTTCTCCCAAAAATCAGTAATCAATAACCTTAACTCAATTCATAACATTAAGCAATGGGAAACCCCCAACACAAAGAAATACAAATTACTATTTCACGTATAAAAGATTTCCCTTTCGCTAACTTTGAATAATATCACATTCGAATCGGGAAAACGAGGAATACGATGGGTTGTATGAATTGATTAATACATCTTGTGTGGAATTACCGACTGAGAAATCCATCTGCAGGAGGGCACAACGAGAACGACCATAACGACTCTTCCCCTATTTGACAATGCTAGATTATAAATCAGCAATAGATAATGTTAGAAGTGTGATGAGAGTGATATGACAAATGGCAGAATTCAATAGGAATTTTGCGAAGAACGACTTCTGCTAAATGACAAGATATGAATGCTTAAACAAAACACAACTATCCAAATCTCATACTTTACGAATCATCGTCTATTTAGGTAAGATCTTATCTTACTATCAAGATATTATAACTACTTCGTAAATACCTATACAAACGCCCGATCTGTCTGTAACCGAATATACAACTTGTATACTCGAGTACCTACCTACCTACCTACCTACCTACCTAGTGAGAGATACCCTTTTAGATGCCGCAGACATGGAATAGAGAGTTCTTATTGCTATAATAACCATCACTTCGACTTTTAAAAAGAGATCTATAATCTAACCGTGACATCTCCTACTCCCGCTCCCGCTCCGGCATATAACTTAATAAATGCCAGAGAAAAACCAGACGGTTTATTTATCTTTAAAATTTTCCATAAATATCTCAATCTGTGGGAATGTCCGCCCGCAACAACGATTTTGTAGTACGTGAGCTGAGGTCATAGTTCGAATAGTGTTGTATAGTTGTATATAAAAGATTCAGGAAGTGAAGGAGCCGTAGATTTATACAGATTAATATCTACAGGTGATAATATACATTTCAAAGTTGGAATATGAAAGAATATTTATTAAATATGCATGCTTTACGCTTTGCTTGTATGAATTAGATGGATAGTGCTGTAAGGTATTGTATGGATGAATGCAAAGCTACTTAGATACCTACCTATAATATAAAAGATTTATTCCTACTCTTTCTTTTCTTTCCATGTTGGGGTATGCGAAGATGAAGGGTATGCGGTGAGCAAGTTCGTCTGTTCTAGATTTCGTTTGTTCTAGTAGTCATACTATGAGTAGGTATGAAGAGATACTTATATACATCGATGAACGAAATGTAAGAATATATCTCGTTCACACTATTAAATAGGAAACCATCATTGTCATTTAACAAATAATATCATTACACCATAAATCAGTATTCTTACTATTCCTTTATATTATATACTAATACGATTCGATAACAAACAAGACCCCAATCCCTTCACATCTTCCATTCTGCAAAAAATAAGAATACATTAATAGAATTGAGCACCAAGACGCTTTACATTCAAGATAACAACTTACCAGCATTTCGATATTTACTTATGCTGAGCCGTCGCGTAAATCCTCTTTATACAATGATCGAGATACATAATCTGTATACTTAATCATTATCATCTGATTTTGGGCATCAAGGCTCAGAAATCCATACAGCTATATTGGAGTATTACCAGACTTGTATCAGTTAGGAAGAATCTATCTATACTCAAACCAGACAAATCCTAACTACAAACCATATCCAGGTATTAGCTAAGCTAAATTAAGCCTTACTACCACATAGACGCCTAGCTTTCCACATCATCTCTCAGTAAACTAGTATTGAAGGTTACATTATCATATACATAGCAGGAGTTGTCCGCTTAAGCCCCGTAAATCTTAATAAATGCCATTAGACAGATTTGAGCCATTAGGAATTACATATTCCGTACTGCGCTTTCTTTTATGCTAAGATATTTGGTAAGAAGATGGTGTATAGATACATAAGTGTACGATTGTTATCAAAGCTTCCAGGTATCAAGTATAAAAGTGAAATAATGATAGTAAATAAATAAACAAACAGCGACGAAGAAATAAAATCAACAACCAGAATAAATAGAGTGTCCGTTTAGACAAATACACAGAAATCCCTCTCATCCTGAGTGAGAACTACTTAATAATATACAGTTCAAGAATCTTCATACCGTAAAACATGCATGTACATACATAGGACGACTTCCCGGCATTTCCCACAACATTACCATATACCCAAGCGATTAACTTCCACCCGACTTTCTTATATACCCACAAAGTTAACCCAACCAAAGGAAAAGCCCCACCTACTCTAACCTCACCACCCACCACTTATCTAAGACCCGTCCCTCAGTATATAATGAGACGGCAACGAGTTGACGTCTTGATATTGCAGAGAATATATACCTCGCCGAGAACTTTGAACTATGTGGAACTAGTGGTCAGAAAGTTTTCGAGGTCGGCAAAGAAATGGAAAGTGGTATGAGATAGGTAGATAGACAATGTAAGGGAGCAAGCAGTAGTGAGGAAGGATGGAAAAAGATGAATGGCAGCAAAAGAGGTAAGGGAAGTTCAAAAGATGGCAATGATGAGAGGATTCCACCACTTGGTTGAAAATGTATAGATACATATCTGAAAGCCCTTGATTGAGATAAACCATAGACTCAACTGTTCCTCTTTCTCGAAAGGTTTATGGATTCTAATAAAATTTCATTGCTATAAATAAGTGACAAGCCCGTGTCTGTACACCGGCCACTATACAGCCCAAACAAACTAATACAGGTTTCTTCATCTCTCCCTTCTTCGTGTGAACGCCAACCATGACCAAATGCAAGCCCTCAAATTCCAGTCTTCAACCCTAGCGTACATATATTCTAGAATTCATAAATTATTATCTCGCCTTGTTGGAAGAAACACCAGCACCAATAACACCAGGTAATTTTTCATCACCAATGCTATACAACATGCCAATTCCCCAAGAAACAAGCCCGACTAGAACGAGACTGGAGATAAAGATCAACCAGAAAGGACCACTGATATCTCTTTTTTGACAAGCAGATCCTCCACGGCCAGAATCGGCACCGCATCTACAGGCAAAACAATCACCGGATTGGGACGTGAATTTTTTGTAGCAAGCACCCATTGACGAGCAGTTGTTTGTAGATGAGATACAGGAATCCAAAGAGGCGTGGCAGACAGGGAGTGTTGTCTTTATGAAGGTATTGTTCTTATAGGAAGAATTGGAACTGGGTGCTTCCTGTACTTGATGGCCGACAAACTCGGACATCGGTTCTTCGAACTGTTGTCTGCTGGAGAGCTTCTTTTGCGAAGGTCGAACGTAAGAGCCATAAGAGCCACTGCCTCTGCGGGAATCAGGCATAAGAATGACGAGTACATTCATTTCTGCTTTAGACGCGAATTTGGTTAATCGTTCGAAAGATGTATTGATGAAATCCTTATTCTACCCCATTATTAGCCAGACAGTCCCTGTATAGATAGCGCATTACCCATACCTTTGATTGCCTATTCAAGTCAATGTGCATGATCTTCGATTTTCCATTCCAACATTTGTCTGCGAATGGATTGATAGCATCGTCAAGTGTGCATTTCTTTGCTCCACCGACCTGAAGCTCCAAATCATCTGCTAACTTTTGGGTCGTCCTAACTGAGGGTGGATTTGAGATTGTGAATGCCGGTTTGATAGAAGACCAAGCATTTAATAGTGGCGCAGCCGTCTCTTCTGATACACCCTCAATAATCATAACCAACTCAGCTGCCCTATCCTTTGGCGCATCTTTGAACAAGGATTTCAGCTGTCCTTGTCCTCCAAACTTGTTGATATGATTAATGACATTAGTATCAACCGACCCAACATCATGGAATTGTGATACACCTAATCGTTGTGCGAGGACGAGTCGTGCTTCATTGGGGGAAAGAGCTGGAGGTGATGCTAAGTTATTTGGCCATTGATGGCTTTCGAAGATATAAGCACGGGCGGAATCTGATGCGGCACAAGCTGTACTGGCCAGTAATGGCAAAAGAAAGCTCGAAGACAGCTTCATATTTATTGATGAAATTTGTTGATGTGGACTGAGAAGCTCATACTCAAGTGACGTTCTAGAAAGTTGACAACCTCTAACCTCAAGATGTGGTACCAAGCTAAGCACAGATCAGGCGCTAACCGCTTTCAAACAGAGACACAGAGAGAGAGAGAGAGAGAGAGAAGTTATGGGCAACATCACTTATTAGATAGAGTCTTCCAGTCCCAGATATGAAGATCATCTTAGAAGATTGTTATATTTTCGGGGAACTTTTGAATTAATTGATATTGTAAGAGATCATTCAATGTACTCATTTTTTGACATTACATTACATAAAACATATTACAGCAATTATCACATTATTCACCAGATTTTGGGTAACTGTGCCATCAAAGGGTTTCCTGGTGTGGTTGTATTCCGTACATTTGCTTTATTCGGAGACAAATCAGTACCAAGGCCGACAGATATTTTTTGGAATAACTACCAATAACTGCCATAACTACCACAACTAGCTCATTTCTATCTTTCGCTCTTGTACTTCAACTACCAAACGACTTCATCTCTAAACCTCGACGAATAGTATTTGAGCATCGGCAAAGATCTGCCCACCAGACATTCTATCAATATCGTATTTGCGACACAAAATAATCTACCTATTTCGCCACAGAAATCTGCATCAAGGGCTCGCCAGCTCGAAGGCGGGCCTTGATTCACCACCCCTCACCATGTTTCGATTTCTTAGACCGCGGGCGGCGAGTGTCTGGGCAGCGAGTGTACGCACGAGACCAGCACCTCCTATATTCCCTACAACCCCATTGTCTATGCGCTTGAATGCGCAGAGATATGCGGGAACGGTATCAAATACGCAGAATGTTCGTTTCAGGAAAGCACCTATTAAAGCAAGGTACGTCTCTACTATATCTGATGGAAGCATATGTGCTGATATTACATAGAAACATTGCTATCAATGTTATCATTGTAGTTGTGTGCTTCGAGGCCTATACTCGACTAGTCCTTGATCCTTTCGACAAAGCTGCTGAAGAGGCATCAAAAGATATACCAGATGACGAATTTCAAGAGGCGGAACAACCATTGTTTATACCATTTCCCGGCACCACGAAAGAGCTTCCTATTATTCCTTATAAAGGAACCGATCCAGAATATCAAGAATTCGTTAAGCTTAGCAAAGACCCAAAGCTTTTAAACAAAATCAGAGGTTCGTTTACTGCGCAACACATGAACCTTTCGTGATATTCATTAACATTCTTCAGTTGACTTGGCAGAGTTCTTGCGAGATTCTGTTCCTAATACTCCGGTTATCGTGCAACTCGCTGGGAAGCATTTTAAAACCAGAAGATTTTGGCTTGATATTGATTTCCCTCAACTTCCACCACCGTCATTTGAGAGATCAGGGTAGGTTAATTGCCATATGAACCACAAGGAGTAAGACTAATATATCTCAGAATCGAGATATCCGATGATGCAATTTCCTGGGTCACTCAGCCTGTCGATGCCACAATTGTGTACAAAATACGGAATGTTCTATGGCCAACAGCCCTTTTCCAATCTTCATGGATGTTCCTAAAGGTATTGGCCGCCGAAGAATTCAGAAGTATGGCAAGAGTATTTGGCGTAGAATTTGAGACAAGTCCTGCTGAACAAACTTTGAATCAAATGCTTGCTCGGTCACAAAAAATGATAAAGGAATTGAATGGCCAACAGAAAGTACCCGGGGATATTCAACGACCATTTACTGCTAAGGATGGGCCACCACAACAGCCTTTGGGTGACAAAAGTAAAGAAGTGGCAGCTGCATCAGGAAAGTCAAATGTGAGAGAAGATATTCTGCCCGCATTCGTAAACAGTTTCAAGGATATTCATACATCATTTGTCGCAAAACCCATCATGGCAGCTAAAATAAAATACGTCCAGATTAGCAAAACGTTGCGACCTACTACAAATATTCATCCGAGAGGCTCCATCACAGTCTCCGGACTCGTCGAGTTGGAATCCGACCAGGCTTTCCTCGTTTTTGATGTCATCGCAGCTTGGGATCCTAAGAAAAAAGATTATGATGTGAAGAGTATGCAAATTAAACTGAGAAGAATGCAAAGGAAGAGACAACGTCCTGTTACCGGATTACCTCGAGGCTCAATGGCATGATAATACTATACTTAGTGGATGCTGTGTTTTGTTTTTTTGGGGCGTACAAGGTGAATATCAAAATATACAAGGGTTATTATGATAAGGCGTTTGGTATGCAGAAAGCATAGAGTCCTATTCTCTACTAATGGAGTTGGATTTTCATAAGCGATTTACCCCGGTCTAGTTCTAGGAGAGGGAACGGAAGCGATGGTTCGGGAGTGGGCTGATGATATTGGAGACGCTAATCCATCTATTTGCTTTCTAGGCATATAGCGAGTTATAGTAGAATTCATATTGCCTGTGTCGAATTTTTTTTAATGCTGTGATTTCATATATATGCACACTCTGTTACGTCTCCCGTAATAATGACTATCACTCCGTAGTATTTGTAGTCAAGAAATGATTCAAGCGTCACAATTCGATATTATAGTTCTATTTCCCTCATTTCTGTTAAAGGAACCTCGCTTGTAAGAATATAAACGAATGTTATTTATCTTCAAATATACTTAACTTAAACCTTGACTTGTAAACTAGTTGTTCTCGATTTTCTTTATTAGATAGAGTATAGATTTCTGTTCTTATGTCTAGAAATTACTAGGCCGTTAGATAAACTTTGTTATATTTATATATTATTATTATTATTGTTATAATAACAATCTCTTTTATTTATAGATTAATTAACATGAATATAAAATACAGAAATTGGAAAATAAAAAATGTAAGATTAATATAATAAAATAAAGTGATTATTAATCTATTATCTTTTATTTCCAATTCGTCACTATCTCTATCTCCCTCTTCCTTCTACTCACCTCACGCTTGTGAAGGAGTTAAAGTTTCATGATGTCTAGGGCTTGATTTGCTGGCTATTTTATATTATTACTGATATGAAATAATGGAGGAATTAAGAGATTGAGGAAAATCGTTTATTATTGAACCTTAATTAATTGTTTTACCAATTTCTACTCCATCTCTTCTCTTTCCTTTCCTTTTCCTTCCCGCGTTTATCCTCCTTTCCTTTCCTCTTCCTTCTCTCCCAAATCTTAGAATATCCGTTCCTATATCCACCAACTACTACAAAACTCTAAATATTCCACCCATCATTATCATTCCTCTCTATTCCAAACATAATGCAATTCGCATGTCTAGTTCCAACTCATTCATATGAGCTTCTTTTTTCTATAAAGCTCTTTAATACCTTCTCAGTCTTAATCTCAATGTTATTACCATTATACTTCCTGTTAATTTTAACATATTTGTCGCTTAGATAATAGCTACGGATCAATTACCTCGTATGTATGTCTATATACTATCCCTTTAATCTAATTATACCGGAATGCTCGCGTTACAAGCACATATATATGCGGATATCAGCTATTATTGCGAAAGTCTGGGGATTCTCTGAGTGATTATTTTTATGGCTGTTATTGTGTATCTCTTCTGCTGGTATGAATTTTGATGTTGCTTGGGTGTATGAATGTTCCTGCCTGTGTCAAATTGGGGGAGTAGACACGGAAAGATCCGAATCCGAATCTGCACATGCTTGGAGTGTGGGTATAGCCAATGAGTAATTCCTGGAGCAGTTGCAGTTAATTCTGAATCTACTGAAGAATCTCCGGGAGTCTTGAAATCTGTAGATATTTGGAGTGCTCATATTGCATTCATAAGTAGCTGTTTCTGAAGTCGTCGAATGGGTATGCGTTGTATGAGAGGTAGTTGACGGACCTGACAATCCTGAATCTTTTCAGTGTGGTAGCGGTACGCGGTTTACATGGCAAAGTCTGTAGATAGCGTGAGGTTGTTGACCCAATGCATATGAGTATTCAGATGGAGGGTTACACGAGAGTTCCATCTTTGGCATTCCGCATGCGTAAATGCTCGTAGTGTGAATATATTCATGATTAGTTAGTTCTTGGATCACACATGGATTTTTAATCGTGTTAGATATCCCCATACCTGTTTAAATTTGTGAATGCTGGAGTGTATTTAAGTCTAAATTCATGAGTATTTAGTTGTTCCTCGGAATTTAGACCGTCGCAAAAGTTTCAGAACGAAGAAAAATCGAGTCCACATCCAAAAAATGAATGAGGCGAGTCATTATGATTGTCAGCTGTTTCATATACCAAAAGTTAGCAATTATCAAACAATTCTGAGGTATCATCTAGAGAGTTCTACTAATTTCAGATCGAGCCCGTGAAGCTGGTACTTGGGCTATGTACTCACATTTTCTGTTTTGGTGGAGCTTTTAAACAGCTAGCATGTGGCGAAGAGAAATTTTCTGGAAATAGTAATAGGTTTTACCACAGAAAATATAGTTTTCAGAGTGATTTATGGTTGTTTGTGGAGCTATGGGCATCAGGGAAAATGCAACGTTAATGTAAGATGAGAAGAGGTGAAGTAGGAAAGGAAAAGGGAAAAAAGAAAGGGCGATTCTAATTCTCAACTGAAATTAGCACATACCAAGTTTTAAAACCTTAACGCTAATGCCTTGACGTGCGAAAGCGTTTAAAACAGACAATGATGAATACACTGGTAACTCGAGGGATAGTCTGCAAATAGTGAGATCCAATCAACTGGCATGTCACTACATCATTGATTTCTTTTCGTAAAACAGAGACTACGAATGGACATCTTGTTCGCTCTTGAATGTGCTGAAAAATAGGTAGCTTAGCATCCAAAAAAAAAGACCGATGAGCTATAATGCAGCTAGGCGACATAGATGACGAAAATATGATAATAGACGGCCATCAAAAAGAGAAATAGGAAGAAACTCACTCATAGAGCAGAATATTAAAAAAGAACTATCAACTTACTGCGGCAGCCAACAAAACACAAGATATAGGGAACTTACGCTTGAAATCCAGGACATCATTTATGGCAAAAAAAGATCACTTGACCAAAAAATTATAGCAAAAGGTATAGCAAAAAAAAAGAACACTCAAAGTATCAGAAGACTTGGTAGAATCGAAGAAACACTCAAAGTAACAATCGACTTGGTAGATCTTTTAAAAGAACTATTACAAAAACAAATCACTCAAAGTATCAATGGACTTGGTAGATTCCGAAGAAACACTCAAAGTAGCAATCGACTTGGTAGATCTGTTGTGTAATGAAGAGAAAAGAAATTGAGATTTGGGGTGAGAGGAGGGTTTTATATAGGATTTTTGGGTGGGGCATTATTGTGATGGTACGGCTATGTTATAATTACCGTTTTTCTAGATCGTTATTCGATGCGCTAAGTAAGAGCTAGCTTGTTTAGTCTTTGCTAGGGAAAGTCAATGTCGCTGGTCCGTAGATTGCTAATGATTTTTCTATGTGCTAATTGAAGATTTTAGCTGAGCTTGATTGATCTTGTCATGCATATCCAGTAAAATATTGACAAGCAGCAACTATATGTAGTACAATATCTCGGCACAGGAGAACCGGTGAAACTAACAAAAAGAAGCTAGGTATTCAAAAGCATGTGACCTTCCAACGATGATACGATTCATAGACTCGATCTGATTTACCGGAAGGGAGGGGTTGTAAGTGTAGAGCTACGATACCGCTTTTGAATAGGCACTCTGAGATGTTGTGGCCTATTTATTAGACTTAATGCTGTGGCATTCACCTTATCTGTGCTTGGGTCTGGCTCTAGAAGCTTCATCGCCTAGTATTAATTTAAGTACTGGCGATTTCGCAACCGTAAAACTTCAGTACGGAGCCATATCGGCGCTAGTATATAGACTCAAGTCGAAGTCAAACTAGAAGTTCAAAGTGCACTCTCGAACAATATGGTTTTGGACGTAGAAAAGTATGGCTCGATGGGAAGCTGCCGTATACCATCACGAGCCTAATTATTGATGCTCTGAATCTAACTAGATCTGCATTCGTGATTGACGCCGAACTATCGGAAGGAATAAACGTAGACTACAAACTCGGACCGAAGACGAAAACAGAAAGCCACATTCTGATAGAGAAATTAAGTTTGGCATAAAAACCAACGACAAAGACTTAATCTTCGTAATTCTTGATGGGAGAACCGAAACCGCTGGGAAGGAACATCCATATCGAGGTTTTACATGGCTTGCAGAAACACAACCAAGGGGGGAGTTGAAGAAAAATCCGCTCACGCAACCAGCATACAATGTCTCGATGAGCATTTCAATGTATGCTTGGTCGATGTTAAATGGAATGACTACCTATTACTAATGAAAGAGACGAGCAGACAAATTCGTTACCGGCAACTCCAACGTTAACACCAAAAACCCTCCTCGGACCTAGCCTGTCACCTATTATCGAAAATAATTCAACCATCATCGTATGCCAAAATGCTTAAAGAATCTCACTGAGAATCAATGCGTTTCCAGAGCAACTAGTTCTTCTAATCAGGGGCAATAAATGGGCAGGCCATGGGTGTAAAATAATTTGATATCTTGACATCTTGACGACCTAGAATTACATTGTGGTCGATTAAGGTTAGTCTGTGCATGTGACTTCTAGATGACAAATGTTACATGAACAAATTGATGCATGTCCAACCTCAATGTTCTTTTCTATACACAGTGATCAACACAAATCTCCTTCGCATATTTGATTGAGCTCGAAGACTGTAGCATCTATGTCTAAAGTGTTGAAGCTAGCATAAAGCTCTTCGCAATAAGAATCACTTTTGAGGTAGCGATGTCATTCTACGACGATTGATGCGTGACAAGGGGCACATTGCTGTGATTTTCCTCGGTCGAGATGGTAAACGCTTTACCTTCGGCCCCTGAGATAGTATAGTATTATGGGATAAGGCCTTATGTTGAGAGTTCCGAAGGTCTGATAAACCTGAAAATTATCCAGCTCTTATTCGTGATTATCATATCATTGTCATTCTCCCGCAGTTAGACCAATTGGAAACCCTTCAGCACTATACTGAGGTTCAAAACTTGAGCTCCAGTTGTTGCCCATACTATGTTCAAATGGTTCAATGTTATGTTAATCCATATAGCAAGCGACTGAATGAATCATCGATGTTACAAATAAGCCAGTGTTGTCTACCCTCGGCCATGTTGGGAAAAGAGCTTGCAATACCTGATCGCTGCTAGAAGTCACTGTCTCGAGTACAGTATGTACATTATCACGAGTAACAATTTCGGAATTCAAATTACGCTATAGCTAAAGCCACTTTATATATAGATGGGATTGACGATAGACTGCTTTTGTTTACACTCTCGACGCCCTGATCATGCCAAGCTACCCCAGTGGAATCAAATCGGAGGAAAGGCCTAGTACCTACTTATCGTTTGAATGTCTTGCTTCTAGTTTTTGTTTGAACCACATTGTATAGTGATGTGCTCAACGGTGCGAGAGACAATATGAATTACAATTAGGTGGCAATCATATGGTAATATGATCAGCTCTTCAATGGTTGTGACCTAACTGTCTCTTCTCCTAGTCAACCTAGGTAATAGCTTGCCATGACACATTTCACCGAATATTTGCTGGACTCATTATCTGTACAATTCTCAATTAATACTTGCCTGTTCTACCATCCTATGGCAAAGGACAATAAGAAGAGGCTCATTGCTCAAGGAGCAAAAGTGAATATCATATTTTGCCAAATATTCATTTGGAGCTGGTATCTTTTTTTGGTACAGCAGCAATTAAGCGGGCCATCTCTACTGTACAACAACTTCACCTGAAATCACAATATGGGTAAATTTCTGCCAGTTGAGACCGTATGCAAATATATATCACTAGGTCACTCATGATGTCTTTCCATCCTCTCTTCATCTTTTTTTCTTTTCGTATGAAGGTAACTTAAAGATTTTACATGTTCATCTTGCCGTTGATAAGCAATTACTACTTGGAACAGCAATCGGTAATCTCCTCGCTCTTCAATTTCATAATGTCAACTAACTCACTTCCAAACTCTGCATGGGCATTCAACACCATGGCATCAATGAAGAAAGGTCCCACGGTAACGAATACTACCAAGAACGGAGTTTCTACATTCGCTGCTTCCCCTCCTCTCGTCACCTCATCTCCAGCAAATCCCCCTCCCGGGGTCGCTCCTCCAAAACGCAATAATGGCTTTGCCTTCTCCATGGTAGGAGGATGTAGCCCAGCCAGCCAACAACCAACCCCTGCTTTTGCCCCAGCTCCAGCTCCTCTTCCTCCTCATCCCGTCAATCCTCCTACATATCTCCCTCCACCGTACACCACATCCTCTTTCTTTCCTTCAACAACGACCGCTGTACCATTTCCCTACACCAATAATCATTCCTCTAGCTTTTTCTCCTTTGTTTCTTCTGCGCCGATACAAGCATCACCATCACCATCGACTCCCACCTCTTTTACCCCGTATAACCCATTTACTTCCATCCAACAATCGCCATTTAACCCAGCACTTCTCCCTCCCTCCTTCATCCCCACCATAGCGCAACAACCCCAACTACATTCCCCGGCAGCAATACCCTTGCGCTTCCTCCCAGCACGACCGTGCGCACCTAGCCCCGCCGAAACCCCCGCCCGGTGCTTCATTTTTGACGGACTAAACCAGCGAACCACCGAGGAAATGGATTGTAAGCCTTGCCTCCACATCTCTAATTTTCCCAAATTTTCAGAAAACTGATACCTAGCTCGTGCTTTAGGGTGGACAGATGAATATTCAGCCTATCTCAATAGTCTTGACGAGATGGATTGGGATTGGACGGATGACTATTTATTGGATTGTTGCGATGTGTTTTGAAATATGTAAGTAAGTAAGGTTTCTCCTCTGTTCGTTCATTTACTGACTCTAGCTATAGATCTGCTTGAGTTTTCTTGGGACACTACTTCCTCCTGCACTCACTTAGCTTAGGAAAGCGCAATGGAGAATGTTCGAGGATTTAGCAGTCTCGAATACACCATGTTGTCTCGTCTCAAAGCTTGATAAACAGAAGTCAGATCTGATGACGACTTCCTTCGAGTTTTACTGAACTTTTCGATGTCCTTTCAAAGGACTTTTCTCCTCGTCACTTTATTCTCGCTCGACTGATGCTAACCACCCACACCACCACACCCACCATGAATCATCTCACTTTCTCGCCTCACAAACTCGAATCTCATCTAATAACCTACCTAGCGCTCAATCTCCTCCTCACAATTCTGAATAAGAGAGTTCTCGCGCAGGCAAGTTTTACCCAACAATCTATCTTCAAGCCCTATGAAAATGAAAGTGCCTAATCCTAACTCTCTCTTTCACCTGCAGTATCCTTACCCATGGCTGCTTACAGCCTGGCACGCATTGTGTTCCTCAATGGGCACATATCTTTCCCGCAGACTTGATCCTATCAACTCCAAACCCGAGCATCTCAGTCGCAGTCGCGGGAAAAATCATTACATATTCATGTTCTCGATTTTGTACACGGTTAATATTGCTGTTAGCAATGTATCACTGTATGATCTTTTCTTTTTGACCCTTCCTCATTTCTACCTATTCTCGCCAAGCCAACTCAACTAACACATCCCAGTGGAATAATGTCCATATCCGACCACCTGATCCTACGCTCCACAATTCCCATCATCGTACTCGCACTCACGCAGCTCCTCCACCTCCCCCACAAACCTTACACCCGGCTCACCCTCCTCACCCTCATCCCGCTAACAACCGGCATCCTTGTGACAACCCAAAACACACAATCTCTAACACCATCGACCATTCCCCTCCCCCTCCTCAGCACTCTCCTCAGCAGCACCACAACCCTCACCCTCTCCCTCCTCCAAACCCAGCTCCCCCTCTCCCCTCTCCACCTCCTCCACTCCCTCGCCCCCCTAACCGGCATCCAATCAACCCTCTGGTCCTACATGAACGGCGAAATCGACGAATTCCTCATCAAACAAATTTCCTCCCACAACTCATCTCTCACTTCCTCTCCCACAGGAATGTTTCTCCTCCTCATAAATGGCATTGTTGCATTCCTCCTCAACTTCTCCAGTTTCTCTACAAATCGCAAAACATGTGCGCTAACGATGGCTGTACTGGGGAATATGGGATTGGTTCTCGCGATGGTGATTTCGGGCGTGGCTTTGAGTGCTGCGGAGCCCGTGCTGTATAGGTACATGGACATTTTTGGTGTGTTATTGGTGCTAGGTGGAGGATTTCTTTATATTTTGTGTGAGGTGAAGGCCTAGCTAGGATGGGTGGGCTCTCTGCACACACAGTTCCTTGAATGAGGAATTCTCGAGAGGTCTAAAAGTCTCGAATCTCCGATGCTTACCAGTTCACCAGTTCACCAGTTATATGTTCGGGGTTTCAAAGGATCCGGATGGAATCCCCCTCTCTCTTCCTTCATCAATCTTCATGTTTTTGAGTAGCTCGCTCTAACCTACGTTAGCAAACTCTGAGGTTTTCGAGTTTCATCTGTTTTAACTTACTACTTTGGGGTTTTTTGTTCTGCTTTTTTTCTTCTCTTTAGTTTAGTTCAGTTCAGTTTAGTTGTCTTGTTTATTTTATATTTTTGCTTTGGATTTGGAATTTGATTTGGGTTGGGATTCGGTAGTTGGTTCATTTGGTAGTAGGTTCATTTGGTAGTTGGTTCGTTTGGGATTTGATTTGATCTGGGTTGGGATTCGGTAATTGATTCAATACATAATATTCCACAGCTTGAGCTACCTTTTTCTCCTATTCACATCTTGTGTCTGTATGATATGATATATGTGCGTGTGTGATATATATACTTGCATATATATACTCGTATATGATCATGTCTTCGATTCTATTAATTGGATTCTATACATTCCACTAATCTTCTCATCACCCGTCACCCATCACAAGATCAACAAATCTCATTCATAATCCCAAAGATACTGAATGTATCATCAAAACATAAGATTACAATACATCCAATCCATTAAATAATAGAATAGAATACTTTAACAATGAATTCATTACGCTTTTAATTCATTTCTTTCAATGCACTCGTTGGTCACGGCAAGACACATACATACATACAGTATCAACACACTATCCTTCTTCCTTTCCTTTCCTTTTCTCCTTAACATACTTCCATCCATCTCATCATTATTCCAATACCAAGTACCAAATCCAAATGCAAAATTTGGCGTCTGTCTGGACAATGACAAGGACTTTTACATCCATCCAATCATTGCGCCTAATTCCTCCTTCCTGACCTAACTTTCAATGCCTTCGAATGATCCTGCCCAAATATGCAACTTATCATCTTTGATGAGTTTTGCCTTTTTGCCTTTTGCCACCCCAAAATCGTGTATGAATATTTATATATGTACTCATCAATTACTTTTTGTAATCAAAAATATTGAAAATTCGGTGTGATGCGAGAAGTTACCCTGAATACCTAGGTCTTGATAGGAAATGAGTAAAGCGACAGTCGAGCTAGTACATGTACCAAAACCTGGATGCATCAAACCGTCCGTATTAAAACTCCTTGTAAACTAGATAATTAATTCCCAAGCAACAATAATAGATTGTGTGTGTGTGAACGAGTGAGTGTACCGGCCTTGGTTTTCTTGCCATCGATATCGGTTGTAGTTGCAGTTCATTAATCGCACGTGCTCCTATCGACACCATTTCATCTTTCAACCTTCACTTAACGAAATGAACTACCCCCTTCGTTTCGCGATCGGATTCACCATTTCGTTGGGATCAGAGTAATCCCAATGTCTTTTAATCCCACTTTCATATACATTCGCTACCGATTCTTGCCACATACTTGGGCTCACAAAAGAAGGGATAGGCGCTCCAGAATACTGCTGTGGAGGGATGGGTTGCGAGCCCGGTGGTAAGCTCACATTGGGGAGGATTTGAATTTCTGGGAGCGTCGGGAGTTCTTGTGCACCTGAAGAGGGAATTTTTAGAGGAGGGGTCGTTTCAGAAGCAGAGCTGCTCGAAGCGGGAGGCGTACCGAAAGTGCTGTTCCATTGGCTAAAAGATATATTAGTATTTTAACTCCGGTGAAAGGACTCAGAGTCAACTTACTCAAAAATTCTTGACGGGTTCCATGGATTGTGATCTGCCATTGAAACCCCGCTAGTGATTGGCATCTGGGCTCTTTGGCCAGTGGCCATCATTACCAGAGACTGTACGGCAGGAGAGTCACTTTTCGTGTCCACGCCTCCAGCTGATATGGGTGGTGATATGGGGTGGCTTGTATAACTGACTTGTTGCTGTTGGGCATTTTGATGTCCCAGATTTTGACTCTCCATACTGGTGCTTCCTTGACGATATTGTTGAACATGTCCTCTGGCAGGGCTACTATTGTGTGCTACTGCAGGGCTACCATATGGGAAAGATGGTTTCAGAACGAAAGGCTTCCTAATGTCAGCTGAAAATGCTTGCCTGAGTGACTCAATCTGTTGTTGCATGTCTGGCATGGGCCATGAGCTAGTACACTTTTCTAGGATTCTCATATGTCTGGTGAAGTATTCTCTAGCGTCCGAGTTTAGATCTGGATCCGGAGATGTGATTGCAACCTATAATATTGTCAACATACCATGAAAGATAATTGGTAAGTTAGGTTTGACATACCAAATGCAGAACTGTACAGGTCAGGACACAATAGATGGTGAAGTTGATGCCTCGTTGCATGCATAATAGACCAGTCAAGCCAAATGACTGTAGCACGCTCTCTTGAAGTCTGCAAAGGAGTTTCGCAGAATTGTAACATATAAGCATATGGTGTTTCCATCCGTCCAAGCCTGGTTCCATGAAAGTGAGTTGTGGCCGATGAAGCATAATGATACTTAGATAATAATATGAGTGCAGATTGCCGATGAAATGGGTAGGTAGCCATGGGGGAGATCCGTCCGCCGGAAAATCAATTTGCAAGCTTTCGGGCAGATCATTCATCCAGCTCTCGAAAGACGGATTTAGTTGTACGAAATCTGGATCGATACCCCAGTCCTTCCTCTTCTTAACCTTGGCGTATACGTTATTCATCCTCCGAACATTACGAACAACACGTGTGAACCAAGTAAAATTGCGTGTGATGGTGAGTTCTCCGTTGTCAATTCCAGCTGTGTGCACACTCAAGTCAAGTGTTTCCATATCAACCGCTAAATCGGTTCGACCCTGTGGGGAACCAATCATCAATTCACAGACGAAGATCGTTTGCCATATTCGGGTTTTGGTGATGCAGTCGGCCAGATCAGAGCCACAGGTTCTACCTGCCTTGTGGTCTTCATAGTGCTCGTCCAGCCCCAAATCCTTCGCCATTTGGACGCATGCCACTACAGTCATCCACGAGCGATAGTAATATCCACGTTTCGGGGCAGATTCTCTAGCTTTAAGTATTATCACGTTTGCTTGAAGGGTGCTCAATCGGGGAACATCCATGAAAGCATCAGCATGTTCTACATGAAGTTAGTGAGATGTTTCATTTAGCTGCGAGATAAATTCTTACTTGAAGCAAGGGCGAGCCATTGATGTCCCTGCGCTGGCTCATCGACAAGTCTTCCAGCAATTGCAAAAATTGCTTCCAGTATCAGCGGGGAGATGGCATCTCTATTGGTATGCCATTGTTGATAAAATAAAGTTTTGTTAAGAACTGGTACATATGGATGTACATTCGTGAAATACAATTCGAAATAATGTAGGATAGTCTGTTCGTCTGGAAGTAACTCCGGAGGAATCCTGATCTTCATATCTGCGCTTATTGTGATTGGAGGCAAAGCATTCTTGTATTCATCAATATCTTCAAAAGCTGGTTCCTCCACCAAATTTCTGGCCTTGTTCTTGTTGTTCAGGTATGGAGCTGTTTCTTTATTAGAATTACAAGCTAGTACGGCAATCAAAGTACTTACCTGTGCCTGCTGGGTTCATCTTAAGCTCTCCCAGTAAATCAGCCAAATCTTCCCCGCCATATTCACTGTGATTATAGTTTTCTGGTGAATCATGGGCTTGCTGCTGAAGAGATGCTGGAGGATATACCGCTTGTGGTGAATATTCTGTATGTTGGCTGAGCGCGCTGACTGGAGTCTGAAGACTGTTATAGTGCATGGTCTGTTGACTATGTGCACTCGAAGGTCCCCCATATGAAATAGGTTGGTACATATTATTCGGATCGGGATATGGAGGTTGCTGTGTATAAATCGGAGGTACCACCTTTGATGGCCCAGACATTTGCGCTTGTATCGGAACGTGTTGATGATAACCGTCACTAGGATTTCCTCCATTATCATATTGCGGCGCTTCTGCTTCGAAGCTTTGATTGTTTTGTTGAAAATCGCGATCGTAGTTCACCGTTGGAGGGATACATCCTAACTTGAGCCTTGTACAAGCGGAGCATGGCCAGGTATTCGTTGTTGCAGCATCACATTTGATTTTTCTCCTTCGACATCCCTCACAAGCTCGCATCACTATATTGGATCAGTAAGAAAGAGCGCACAGTTTTGAAGACCTCATACCCTTCAAACGCTTGTGGCGATTGTGTTCGTCAACAAAGACATAATCTAAGATGTATTAGCCTACGTCAACTTCAAGATCCCACAAATGAAGGGAAAGCTGCGCACTTTTTTGATTCTCCCTCGGTCCACCATAGTTCGCTGGCGCAAATGAAAAGTTCTGCATTTGTGCACTTTGTGGGAGTATTTTCCTTGTGCCAAGATCTTGGGACATATTCTATATCGAAATGCGATTTCGATTCCAGTCTCCTACACAGTTTTCAAGCCGGAGGCAGTAGGCGCCTCTCCTCGAATATCTTATATACAATTGCTTCTTTCAGTGAGGGTCGTCGATATATATGAAATAGGATATGAGGAGGCGGAGTGTCGTGAACCCAAGATTCTGTTGCTCGGCCGCATCCGGATTGGGGGGCACGTTCTAAGCCCTGAATAAGCACTGGAATTTGGTTCGACTAATTCTCGAGTCCCCGAACTGAAGCTTTGAAATCGAAATGGTGGAGTATCGGAGCTTCAAGAATCCCGAAGCATGAAACTGCGAAAGTAAATCAGGGTCAGCTAAAATAATTATCTATGTATGAAGACATCATGAGTACAACATGCGCCTACCCCCCTCACGTACCCAATGCGTAATGTTTGGTGTGTACTAGTATGGATATTATAAGACGAAGGAAATGCTGCCCTATCGAAAAAGAAACAAAGGATTGACTTGACAGGTGGTATGGTATGATTTCTTTTGATGCGCTATTTGATCGAAATGGGATCTAGCAATGGCAGTTGTATGTATGAACAGGTAGAGTGGGAACTAAAATAAACAGTACCTACCTAACCACCTAACCTACTCCGCACTCGAGGAAAGCTCGGATTGATCTAGGGTCTCGCCACCAGGAAAAAGTATAAATTGTTAGTAGGATGAACGCCCTTCCAGACCCAATTCTATTCTATCAAGCAAGCAACAAGGCACAAGGGAGGTATGGTGTGTGGTGGGTGACATTGGTGGGCGATGATGATAGTAATAATAATGGAAGTGGCCTGTAAGTTTGCTTAGTTTTGCTATGGGTACTCGAGTTATGGATATAGATAGGTAAGGTGGATATGGAACATGTATGGGTCTAAACGCGATTCCCCAATAAATCCCAAGTTTCTCTTACTGAAAGTGTTACTCTGTAGGTATGACCGTATGAGGTTATATGCCTCATGCAGGTGGTGTAAGGAGGGATGGAATAATAGGACCTTGGGTGTCTGTATGGGGAGGGGAAGGGGATATCAAGCAAGCTAATCAGGTCTGTAAGCCTGTAAGGTCTGACAAGAAAAGGACCCGCAAGTGAGGACCTCCTGGTATGCCGGGAGGTGATTGATTGCAGGGAACTCGAAACGGCTGGTTCCCAGAATCCCGGTCGAAATACAATACAGGAGTTGTAACTTGTGCTAAGTTCTAACAAGTTGAGAAGGTGAGTACAAGTAAGTACCTAGGTAGTAAGTACCTAGGCAAAATGAAGGAGGGTTGGTCTTTTTACCTGAGCCGGGAAATTGAAAAGCCTTCGGAGGCGTTTTCTAGAATAAGAACAAGATATTCAAGGAACTCGAAATGGGAGGGGTCAGAAATGATGTAGCGATCCTTCATCCTTTTAGTTCCCGTTTATCATAATACATTTGCGTAACTCCCTTCCTTGTGAGGAGCGAATTCAAAATCGAGTTGAATCCAGATTTAAAGTGGCTTTATTTTTTGTAATGGTAATTATTCGAGTAATAAATAGGTTGGCCCCTCTTTGCCTCTTTACAATCCATACTCCGTAATGTCATTATGAGATAAAACGGGGGTGCCCAAGAAAGAACATGGTAAGGTTCCCCCCCTCACTTGTCACTTATAATCTCCATCAAACCAACTGCCAACACTGCTTCCTGGCGCGGGAGCTGCCGATAATCTGGGCCCCTCCTACTCCTAGATGTGAGTGTGATTACTGTCGTCACATGCATTCATCTTATCTTAATTCGTAAGTGGTTAATCTTTGGAATCTATTTTGTGTCCAGAGTTATATTATGGAGGTAAAGCTTTAAAGTTTAAGCTGAGAGCTGAGAAAGGCAGTCCGATGATATGATAACTAGAGGTCTATGCGTGATGTGATGATTGAGCCATGAGAGAAACGGGAGTTCGGATGATATATAAAAAAAACATCAACTCTTTTTTTAGACCTTTCTCCGCCTTTTTCCCTCTTGTCCAACCAACCCCAGTATTGATTTCTCTCCTCTCCATTCTATGTTTCATTTGGCTAATCGTACGGATCCATAATACAGATAAATACTGGGCAAGCTATGAAGAAAGAAGTGAAATCTGGAAAGTAACAGGAGGTATGTTTAGAAACCCAAAGTTTTTGTGTCATTCATCGAGTATATAGAGGCCCGGAAGAGACAAGCGACACGGAGTCCATGAGTTATTAGTAATCAGTTGTTCTTCCCTCGGTCGGACATTCACACCAATTTCCATCATCCACAGAAGAATAATCAGACTGATCTCGGAGAAGAATTAGAGATGGGCATATCCATCTATGCCAAGGCCTTCTAAAAATGATGAAGGGGTCTAATCGCATTTAATTTGACGAGAGTCCTCTGTAGCTGGCCGCGGATCTCGATCATCTTGTCTGTCATGGTACAAGGGTTGCAAATGAAGCATATATAACGTTAGTATTCCTTTAATATACTAACAAATAATTATTACTTACCGCTAAGCCTGTCTTTATCAATTCTTCATTGTTCCTCGAGATTCTTGCCATCGTGTTGCCCCCCTGTCCCTTCGTATCGCCGAGCAACTGTAATTGCATAGGGTTCTTTCCTGGCCGTGACGAAGTGATCAACTGTCCATTTTCTTACTCCGTGAGTATTCCAATCATATTTTGGTAAGGTGGTAGGTTGCCGTTTTAAATTTCGGTAGCGCGGAGCGTTCATTGTTCGGTATCTTAATACCGATCCCTATATCCTTAAAGGTGTATATTCATTGTTTCGAAAGCTCCAGATTTACGTTTGGGTCTCTACTTCAATATTCTGTGGCGTAATTGCCAAAGAGAATTTAACAGGAGTTTGTAGTTTGTTACTAGTGTAGAGCAAAAGCTGATCTCATCCTTGAGCTGTGTCGAACCGATTATGTCAAACGAAGGACAAATACAGTAGATCTGAATTCGGTGCTGGAAAACCTGGAAAAACTACTCTTCCCTTCATAGCTGTAGAAATGCAAGCCGACCACATTGTACGTACAGATGAAGGATAGTGGGGCGGGAAAAGCAGGCATCCTTTCAAGAATTTAGTTTGTGCTACAATAGGGTTTGAAGCACGCATACCGGCAGATCAGAGGTCACTCGAATTCAGGGTCCAAACGTGAAAGCTTTATACGTACAGAATGCCAGGTCCATGGCAGGCATTGCCAATTTTAGTATGTCATAGGGCCTTGTGAGGGCTAGCCACAGCAGATTGACACCGTTTAGTTTTTTCTGCAGCATGCATTAGAAAGGAAATGGGAAAAGGCATTAACCGTGTGTTCGTCGTACGACGTACCCATCACAACCGCGTATCAACTTCCCCCTAAACTCATTTTTGCTTGATTGATAACGATCCCGTTGTAACACCGAAAATTCCGAGTAAGTTAGGACTTAAACGTATTGGTATATTTTCACCTATCTTGGGTAAGATTAAAGTACTAGGTATTTTAGCAACTACTGTACCGCAAACACATCGTCAGTTTGGCGTTTGTGGTTTCTTCCATGGCGCTGGCGGTGAGTGGAAAGCACTTTTACACCGAAAGCACCGAGACCCATGGAAAATCACAAAAATAGGTGAAAGCAGAATCCATCCAACATATTTCCAATATCCTGCCAAAAGGTTGCCCCATAAATGATAATTTTGTTAGATGATCAATGGATTCATGCATCTTTTGGACAGCACTACTGCCCCGCAAAACACGATTCCCTGGTGTGCTCGCCTGTAACCAGTCCCAGAAAAGGTCGCCGGGTATCACTTTTCTTTCAAGCGACATTGACGCAGCTGGCAGCAAGTGCAGCGAGCAATGCATATGTGGGTATGATCCAGACAAGGGGCATTGAAATTTCAAGACCACTCAGAGATTGGATGTTTTGACCTCACGATTCCGTGCCCCGAAGCCACAGCCACTCGACTAGCGGAGATGCACCCGACAATATGGTACAGTGATACAAAAATATATTCATGTCCGTTAAAGATCGGTCACATGGTGAAAAGCCATGCAGGTCTTAATCTGGGCTTGTGTTTGTTGATGGGAGTTATCAAGAAGGATTTTGGTGGCTTTGGGTCGATAAACAAGCATTTTTCACATGCCGCAAATGGTTCACTAATAGAGATTTTTGCACTTACCCTTCTCACCACCTGTGGGGCGTGATAAACCTCAAGTTTTCCCAATTAGGCTAGGTTCGTGATTTTGATGAAGTCGAAATGAAGAAATGATTGTGACCCTTTATCATTTTATTAGCAAGCTTATTCGTGAGCCCCGTAATACCCGTAGCTCACCACGCTATTATGACACTATCACCTACTAAGTTGAAGCTATTCCGGTTGAAAGCTAGTTAGAATCTCGAATCCTGGGGAAAATCAAAGCTATTCCTGCTTTTGGCCTTGATGTTAAGGCCAAAATAAATCTCACCGAAATAATGATGATGAAAATAGCAAAAAGTCTGAAAACCCCAACCAAATCACGGCGCTTTTATTTATCAAGCAATGATTAGTCATTAATATATGACGGCCCACAAGGTTTTGAGAAACTCGAAGTGCAAGAATCCTCTTCATCTCCACAATCTCTTCCATTTGTCCGTTCCTCAAGACAGCGCTCGAAAACTGGAAAGAGGATACGTAAGAAAGGCACAGATTGTATTTGCCGTAAGCTGCTTTCGGTAATTGTCCTGCTGACAAGGGCATCTACGGCATCGACATGAGAGGCACAGGCGGTGCCGCTGTGCCTTATCTGGAACGCAAATTAAGGCTGGTGTTTTGAAAAAAAAAAGGGATGAGAGTCTAGGAACTACTACACCGTTCATCAGGGCCGTTCGGCCGATAGATTGCCTGACCTAATGTTACACGGGCGATCCCCGGTTCCGTTCTGTCTCAAATTTGATCTCAAAAGGAAGCAGCTTTAGAGATCTTCCGACGGAAAGATATAGCACAGGACCTTCAACCATGAAAGCGCAGGATCGCCACGAGATGCAGTTGGCTCGTGCTTGATGATCATTCTTAGATCCTTTTTAGGTAAATAGAGCTTTTGAAACTTGGGCTTCCAAGTTCTGGCCAGAGGAAATCTATGCCATGGATGTCTCAAGCATGACGGGTAAGTTATAGGAAAGTCTCAAGGGAAGTCTGAACTATAAAAATGAGATAGACAGATAGATAATCCGTCGAAACTTTGAAATAGAAACACGGTGTAATGCCAAAGTAAAAAGAGATCGAGTAGGCATGCACATCCATTAGCATACACAGGTAAACCATGAACATACCAAATGTACGGAGTATACGTAGTTGAGGTACAGATATTATTATTTACCTATGATTAGGTACACAGTTCGATCCGGTAGAGGAACACGGAGCAGCTCGAGTATCAATCATTAGTTGATTAGTCATAATTTAACAGACTTCCTTTCTATGCCTTAGGCATACTAGCTTAATCGCTTTATCGATAACCTTGAAGGAAATTTGATTATTTCATCACAATCATCATTAAAACTCCCACAATTTTTACACCACCATTTAAATTTTGACATCGCGGATCCGCCATTTATACTACATCCCGCTGGCTCTCAACTCACGCATCTGCTGGATCGTATCCACCTGAGTCATAAACTCAAAGAGCCTCAGCTTATTACTGACTGACACCAAACAAGCCGCCACCATCCTTTTGACAGAGCCACGAACGGCCTTAAAACCAGCTCATCATGGAATCGGGAGACAATATCCAGAACGCAAATCCGACAATCTTGGATGTGTCTGAAATATCACGTCGAAGAGAAAAACGCAGGGTTCGAGATTATTCGGCCAAGAAACATGGTATAGAGAGCATATTGATGGCGAAACCCAGCTATGCATTGGATCCTTTTTATCTGTCGGATCTTTCAGAAGACTCCGATGATTCTGGCCTGGAGCCAATAGATGAACAAGAAATATATGGTAAGAGTTTGAGTTTCTTTATTCACTCGCTGCTAGATTCTGTTCAAGGTTCTCGATACATCCTAGGAACCATAGTATATATCATGTAGACACAATACCATTCTCCCAAAGGCAAATATTTCAAGCAAGCTTATACCTCTCTATTACGCAGTGTATTTGGAACTTAAAAGAATCATCAATATGTGCCAGCTGTTTCCTCGAGTTTGTATAGCTGACGTTTAAAGACTTGATTGCGCCAATCTCCGACCCTGAGCACCCTCTCTCATTAGAGTCTCTTGGGGTAGTTAAACTTGAGGATGTTCACCTTGTTTCACCTTCTGATCTCACAAACCCAGCAGCGCTCTCTCGCGTACTAGTCGAATTGACACCGACGGTTTCGCATTGCTCCTTAGCAACTGTTATTGGACTTGGCGTTCGAGTACGATTGGAACAAGCCCTCCCGCCAAGTTACCGAGTCGAGGTCAAGATCAAGAAGGATACACACAGTCAGGCCGCTGAAGTCAACAAACAGCTAGCAGATAAAGAGCGTGTTGCGGCCGCACTTGAGAATGATAATCTCATGAATTTGTTGAGGAAGATGATGAAGACCTGTCTCGACGGTTAATGATATGACCACCACAACGTTCATAAAGTCTGTAGAAACTACTTTCGCGTGTCTAGGGAATTAGTCAACAAAAAGGGCGCTGCCATAAGAAAAGACAACTTCATAGTTCCCTGGTGTTTCCCTCGAGTCAAACAGACCAATCCCCTTGATTGACCTACCAAGACGCTGTATTACCAGAAACAATAACATAAGTTCATACCAAATACCATATTTCTTCCTTTCCGAATGCATGTGCGTGTGACACTATACTAACCGCGGTACTCTGCCAGAAACTTCTAGCAGACCTCTCTGCAACATGTTGAATTTGTGTCGCGGATCGAATTGTTTCCCAAAGTTCAATTGCTAGTGGCATTTTCATTGTTCATGATGTCCTTGTAGTTCCAAGAACATTCCCAATCATCGATCTCCACAAGTGTTACGGACCAAACCCCTGATATTTTATCCACTTTTTACCACGAGCGAGCTTCGTAAATCGTTTTTTTGTACACAATTGAACAGGCAATCCCTAGCAGCAAGCTATTACCAATTTCTCCGTATTGCAAAACTTTTTGGCCTACCAGAAAGCAAATTCCTGACAAGCCCCCATGTACATGACACTACAAGCGACATCTCCTCAAGTGCACACAATTCCCAAGCACATGAGACCACTGCAATCTTAGGGCTCAATCAATCATGCCTCGGTGGTAGTAGTGATGAAAAGATGTCATAAAGCTTACGTAGACCCTCGTCTTCTCTTTAATGTCACCTCAAGGCTCAAGTTTCTCTCACCACATCCAGAAAACTGCACGACATCAAATGCCGCTTACCGATCAACATTTCAGGGGCTAGGTTCAAAGTTTTAGCTTTCGCTTGTCATTAACTCTCCACACAAGATAAGCATAATTTTCAAAATAACGAAAAGAGCTTCCGAGGACCTCGGATTGAAATCTAGAACAATCCCATCTTCACACGTGCTTAATATATTAAGCCGCCTCTTTGTCTTTTATACTTTTTGGGGCCTGTCATATCCTCGCACACGCACGAGATTTTCACGAGGGAGTGGAAGTTTCGTGGAAGGAACGTGCTATCCTTCCTTGCTTGGTAAGAACAGAGTAGATACTGGGAAAGCTTGCCACGTCCTTCCTTTCTCTATTTTACCCCCACGAACTCGAATGACAACATTTACTTCGCCGCCCCCAACTTTCCTTGGGGAGTTTCTACATTGAGCAATTATGAAACATTGATTTATGGTTGATCAATTCAATAATCCTGTCGATCAAATTATTTCACGCGATCAGCACTAAATCTTTTCCCTGTACATAGATAGTGCATTGTGCAGATAGATTGTGACTATACGGAGTACTCTACCAACATAATAGCCCACTAGCCCGAAATCCCCGCATCCCGGTAGCTAAAATGTTCCTGGTTCGTTCGTTCGTTCGTTGACCAGATGGAAATCATTCCAACCATCCAATAAGGTCCTCGTCCATGTACAATATGATATGATATCACATAACCATCCGCTTCCATTCATTCTATTCAATTCACATTCTTTGCTCTTATGCATAAAGCCTCGTACATAGCACGTACATATCGGCATCACCGAGCCGCATAAATAGATGTAAAATTTATGCTAGAAACTTCTTGATTTGATGATATCGATCCTCACCAGAAATACCAGCGAGTGTAACAAAGAAAAATCAAAGAATGGTAACCCTTGCAATGTGGGCACAGAAGGTAGGTATATTAGTTGATTTGGGAACCGGGGGAAGAACGCTACAGGCGCGGATCATCTTTCCTCCTTCCTACCTCATTTCTTGCTTGTGCGGCCAAATAAAACCCCGAATGCTAAATCGGCGTTAAGAAAGAGAGGAAGGTCTTTGGAATGGGGTAGTTTGACCAGAAGAATTATCTTTCCCTTTCCCAGCGATTAGAGTTTTATCCTTTCTAGCCGCACGAATCGAGCTGATGCTTGTGCGAATTGCGATCTCCTTTTGGTTCCATAAATACCTAGGTAGTAGGTAGGAAGGCTACTTCGTAATGTGCATTAATTATAGTTGGGATCAGGACCAGGACGTGTGATGGTTACTGTACATGCACAAATGCAATGCGACCATGTGATTTGATTATTGTTTTCCCGTACCATTACCAAAATTTTATCAACCATGTTCTGTAAGTTCGTGCGTTGCATATATGTATGTACATGTACAGAGTACATATATCTACATACTCGTATGTACGAGTACATACACTACAACATAATACCAAATTCCAGCTATCACATGTACGGATGCCTACACGACCTAGTGTATATATCCATCCAATAATTCAGACTTGACATGAACACATGTATCTATCTATTCGTATATCGCATAATACTACATGATACGTAGATACGCATATAGAAATAAGAAACAGAAATGAAAGACCACGGGTGTATCTATCCATAGATAGATAGAATGGAACTCTATAGATGGATGTATGGAACAATAGTTTTTCTAATTTATAACTATCTTGGTTATATATAGTGCGGGTATACATGTAGGGAGTATGTACGTTCATCTACACACTACATGGCCTTTCCTTCCTTCCTTCCTTCCTTCCTTTCTTTTACCAAATTAAAACTAGTGAGTTGGGTATACATTCCACTTTATATTGAGTTTGGGTTTGGGTTGGCGTTTGTACGTAAACATATAAATATTTAAATATATAAATGAATATATAAATGAATAAAGTCATGAACCCTGTAAGATCTTACTGTTCTGTAAATCCTTTATGTCAAATACCCTCATAATGTGGAGATGCAAATGCAGATGCAGATGCAGAATGCGATGAATGGGATGGATGGTATTGTCGGCAAAAGCTTTAATGCTCTACACCCTGGGATATCCATAAAGGCGTAGAAGATCACTGATGATGATGAAAACGTGGTTTAGCATTCGTTTTTGCAATGGAATTGGAATTAGGTGATCAACCTACTCGATCCGTATAGAATATTCAGCCCTCCCTAGCTACATATCAAGTAGGTAATATAATATGATATAAAATGGATTATGCACTTTTCGAAATCTTACTTTACACTCATAGATACATACATACATACCATACCATACATATATACATAGTAAGTATAAGTAACTACGTACGTATATCAAGTAATCGAATGATCAAAAAGATTATTGGTGTATACTATGTTCTACTCTTTACTTATATCCTAATGCGTGTGCACTTCATATGTATGCACTGAGTGCAGTAACAGGAACGACTGTAATCTTAATGTAATGGTAGGTCCACCATCCCCAGTTTTATGTCGATTTATCCCCACGGTTCGGTGTGATCTACCTGGGTTAATTCATCAATGTGTGGATTTTGCATTCATTCATCTATTTATCCACCTCGATTTTGTCTCTCTTTAGTATGGAGATGCACATGCACATGCAAAAGAGAAAATTATACATGTGCAGATCTCGATTATTTTAGTCGCAAATGTTTCAATTCGCCATGCATGAACCAGTTCCCCAAAACGCCCATGCATTTCCCCTCTCGATTTGGAAGTTTAACCACATCTGTATGTGGGATGAGATGATTCAAATCCAAGAATCAGACCTCTGTCAGGTTCTTTAACCATTAGGGCGAGTGTTTGGTAATTTTACCGTCAACCTACCCATCTAGGATTCCCGTTTCTTTCAAACTGGTAAAGAGTTCCGGCTCGAGGAATTTAGCCACACTTACATCCTCACTCAAACCCTTTCTTCTTCTGGTCTTGAGAACAAAATCTCGAGCTGTGGCTTGTGCATTTGCGGGTTCAAGAGGTCTGAGGATTACATCCTTGTCTAATGGATCGCCGGGGACGATACTCCACCGATCAAACACTAGAGAAACAGTTGCTTGGCCTTGAGTGTGAATGCGGAGATCGGTTTCGAATCCAAAAGAATCGATGACGGGTATCAAACCACTGACACGATAAAGGGGGGTACCAGCGATGGGACCATCCGACAAGACGTGACCGCGACGACGAGCTAGTACAGTGTAGAGAGAGGTGACGGAATCTGCAGGTCCGGTCATGGAACAGGAGTAGACGGGTTCCATTAACCTTGGAGAAGCCATTAGGAAGGAAGAATAGCATGCGCGTCGGGAAGTGGGAATAATCTGACCACCACCCCGGAAAATTGCTTCGGGAGCCAATATCACGTCTGTTATTTTGAATTTACTATTGCGGATTGCTACAAGGAACGTTAGCACTAACTCGGATAGATGGACCAATGAAAATTTAATTCAGGGGTTAGTAGTTGTGGTCTGTGTGACAATAATGGACGGAATTTTCCATATTAATTCAATGATACCATGGCGTGAGGGTCGTCCATAATTACAATGTATCATGTATGATACCTGGGAGTAATAGGTAGGGTAAGGATGAAAGGGAGGGCGTCTGGGGAAAAGGGCAGAGGAAAAAATGTGTGGAAACTTACGCTCTTCGCAAAGTGGCCCTTCTCGAGCTGCCCAGCTAAATCCTTGTCGAATCGTATCTCGTACACTAAGTAATAACCTCTTATCCACCTGTTGTAGATCAGTCAGCATAAAAAGGGCCGAATAATCTCAATTCTGTGCAACACAAAGGCTATTTAACCTTTGCAGGTAATAGCAGTAGCAGCTCTAGATCGGCTAGCTACTAACAAGGGGTAAGGGAATAGGTTCTTTCTGGGATTGAAACTTACCTCGGATGGAATGGTATCATCTTGTAAAATGTTTGGTCCCAAGTCGTCGGGACCGAAGGCCCAAATACTTCTAGAAGCCAATAAATCCCAACCATAGTTCTCCTCAAAGTATTTGCCAATCACGCGAGCAGGACTCTTTATGCTGACCTTTCCACTTTCAATATCCTCAGCAATACCCTGGTCAAGAGGTTCTGCAACCATTGTGATTTTGTTCTTCTTGTTTGGTGTCTGGGCATAACATTTGATAGCTGATGTCTCAACGACTGTCTCACAGAAGCGTGTGACAGGATCAGACACCTTGATCTCCATCTCTGCATATAATCGTCGGAGGTCATGCAGGACACAGTCCATGTAGAGTTCACCCGTGCCCAGAATGACGTGTTCGCCAGATTCTTCTACCTTCGTAGTGATAAGAGGGTAGCTTTTGTTGACTTTTCTCAAACCATCCAACATCTTAGGAAGCTCGGAAGGGTTGATTGGCTCCACAGCCACCTTGAAGACCGACTCGGTGAAATGAGTAATGGGTTTGAAAATATACGCATCCTCTTCATTTGGTAAAACAAGGGGTACAATGGTTGCAGATTTAACAATCGAGTTATCTACACCCCCAAGCAGAACCCAATTGCCCGCGGGTACTCCATCTGTAGGGATATTGTATCTTGTTTCAGCGATCCATACATCCGATATGGTGGCGACACTCATGTCCTCTTCATCATCAATTGAGTATCCTTCGCCAAGAACTCTCACTTGAGTACCTGCTCGTGCAATACCACTTAGCACTCTTCCGAATGAATAGAATCCCGTAGCATCGCTTGTGTTTAATAGCTTGGTGATTTGTATGACCAGTGGACCATCTTGATCGCAATTCTTCATAGCCGCTCCTACCGTTGTATCCAATGGACCGGTGTAATGGCGTTCCAGTTTCTTCTCTGCTGCTTCCACCGGAGAAGGTATATGCTGTACAACCATATCGACGAACCCGGTTGATGGGCCGAAAAATTGTTCACATACTAGTTTCAAAAGAACGTTGGCATCCGTCTTGTACTGCGATGGTTTGAGGAAAATCCCAAGCGTTTCCAGAGTGTCCTTCAAATCTTCTGGGCTCTCACTAATAGTGTGAGAGTATAGCTTGTAGATTGGTTCCAGGATGAAATTCACAAAAGAGCGCTTAGACCTCTCTTCAACACCCTTTCGAGTGAATGACCTCCTTGATGGGTTATAGAAAATGTCGCCCCACAGTCTCCTGGCAAATTCGTGTGCATTGATACCACTCTCTTCGTTGTTCAAACCCGGACCTCGCTTGTGATTTGGGGCGTAGCTGTCTGCATACATTTTCGCAAATGATTGCAAGGTAAAACACCATCCCATGCTAGTACAGGCAAAAAGAACATTCCCCTTCTCAGGACTGAGTCTTCGGCTCTCCCCTTGACCTGGTAATGTAGCCTCAATCACGGTATTGACCTCCTCAATAACATGCTTGAGCTTGAAATAAGCATCCGTTGGTGGCAGCTTGAGCTCCAGAATTAGACGATCCATTTTATTGACAACAAGGGTCAAGGGCAGTCCTTCCAAAACGGCATGTTTTATGATCCGTTCTGTATTGACTTGAACTCCTTCAACAACATCAACGACCAAAACTACTCCATCTACCAGCCGTAATGACGAGGCAACTTCATCCACGAAATTAACATGACCCGGAGTGTCGAGGATATTTAGAAGATGTGATTTCCCCTTAGTACTCTGGAGCACCAGACTCATGGGCGCGGATTTTATGGATAGTCCCCGTTCTCGCTCAACAACATGGATATCTGTATAACGTAATTGCTCATCCTTCTTTCTTCCCGTCTTCTTTTCTAATCGGTCAGAGATGTCGTGAGTCTCTAGGACCAACATGTCCATAAATGCGGTTTTGCCATGATGCAGATGTCCAGCAAAAGCAATGTTTCTAATTTGTTCGGGATAATTCATGAGGTCGGACATGAAACTTCGATCGAAATGTACTGGTGGAAGATCCGCCTCTTGGATGTTGAATTTCTTCTGTTCCACGGGAGCTATAATAGGTTGCGTGAGAGGTTGCGCATCTTCTTCTTGCACCATAGTTTCCACGTCCTCTCCGTATACTTGCTGGGCCGTGGGATAATACTGCTTGTCTTCATGCAATATCACCGCATTTGAAGGACCTTCATCTAAAGATGGAGTAGTTAGCAGATAGCTTTATAGGTTCCATAAAATAGCTATGACCAACCATCAAGGTCCATCAATTCCTGTCCCGTAGGTTCCTCTGGTGCCTCCTCGGGATATTCATCGTAAACGTATGCGCTCGCATCATTACCATGCTGAGACTCCTCTTCTGACTCCTCGGCGTCACCAATGAAGTTTCCAAACCTGCAAGAATATTAGCAACGGTCAAGCATTTCAAAGAGCTTAAGATTTCGAGGATACGTACTCGTCATAAAGATCATCCATTTTGAATAAGTAAAAGGCAAAAAATATATGAAATTGAAGGAATGTGCAAGAAAATAGAGCTCCAATCTTGCCGGCTTCGCGTCGAAAACTCGAGGTTTCGCGACGGGACTTTTTTAGATCACGTGCTACAGCCTTGTCACACCAGATAACTCTTATCCAATGGAATCAAGGATAGATCTTTAGTGGAGCTAGAATGCAGAGAAGAGATTGATTAGATTAGATTTTACAGCGACTTCGGAGATTTTCGAGATTGATTACTATTCTTGCCGCCTCTGTGAACTCAACTTGTTTAAAGAAGTTTGATTGATATTCTTGCCGCCTTTGTGAATTCATCTGTGATGTGCGTTGTTCAAAGATCACCCTTCACATTGTTCTAACCATATACAAAGCACAACTACAAAAGTGTCAGGAGATTTCGAGGTTAGATTAGCGGGGCTTACCACTGTTCTACCAACTCACCGCCCTCACCATAAATATTGGCACATCTTTGTTGAGGTTGAATCCTTTTCTCCAAAATAATATTTACAAATCTCAAATCTTTCTACTTTCTACTTTCTGCTCTGTACTTTGCCCGTAAACATGGCTCCAGTTCCTCCAGTTTATATTGTGTAAGTTTCCTGTACATCCCCGGTTTCCGGAATTGTTACTACTTAGACCAAGTTCTGGATATCTTTCCTCTTCTACGCTCGTGACCACCGTATAGTTGAGAAATACTAATCATTCGATGTCTCCAGCTCAGCCGTGAGAACACCCATCGGTTCATTCTTAGGTTCCCTCTCTAGCAAGACTGCAACTGAACTCGGCGGCATTGCCATCAAGGGTAAATCTATTCGATCTATGTGGGCGTATAAAATATTGAGGCTAACGAACATCTAGCTGCCGTTGAGCGTGTACCAGAAATCAAGCCTGAAGACGTTGAAGAAATCTTCTTTGGCAATGTTTTATCCGCAAAGTAGGTCGATCACTCTTTTTCTTTTTTAAAGAAAATTAACTAATTTGGACAGTTTGGGACAGAACCCTGCTCGTCAATGTGCTATTGCTGGTGGCCTCACTGAAGGTGTAGTCTGTACCACCGTCAACAAAGTTTGTGCTTCCGGCACCAAGGCAATCATTCTTGCCGCTCAGACAATCATCACTGGCAACGCCGATATAGTTGTAGCCGGTGGTGCGGAGTCCATGTCTAATGTTCCTCACTACCTTCCAACTCTCCGAAATGGTGCCAAGTATGGTGACCAAACTTTGGTAGACGGTGTTCTCAAGGATGGTCTCACCGATGCCTACAACAAAAAAGAGCATATGGGAATGGCTGCTGAAGAGTGTCATGTTGATCATGACATTAGCAGAGAGCAACAAGATGAGTATGCCATCAAGTCATACCAAAAGGCACAAAAGGCAACTGAAGCCGGTCTCTTCAAGACCGAGATTGTTCCAGTTGAAGTTAGCGGTGGCCGCGGCAAGCCAAATGTTAAGGTTGAGAAAGATGACGAGGTTAAGAACTTGAACATCGAGAAGCTCAAGGCCATGAGACCAGCTTTCATGCCTAATGGAGGAACCGTCACCGCTCCAAATGCTGCACCACTTAACGACGGAGCTTCAGCTCTTGTCCTCGTCTCGGAAGCTAAGTTAAAAGAACTTGGTCTTAAACCTTTGGCAAAGATTCTTGGTTGGGGTGATGCTGAAAAGGCACCAAGCAAGTTCACCACGGCACCATCTTTGGCTATTCCTAAGGCTCTGAAGCACGCCAAGATTGATGCTTCAGCTGTTGATTACTATGAGATCAACGAAGCTTTCTCTGTTGTCGCATTGGCAAACATGAAGATTCTCGGATTGGATGAATCTAAGGTCAACATCCACGGAGGCGCCGTTGCTATAGGACATCCCCTTGGTTGCTCCGGAGCTCGAATTGTCACCACATTGATCAATGTGTTGAGAGAACAAAAGGCAAAGATTGGTGTTGCCGGTATCTGCAACGGTGGGGGCGGAGCCTCCGCTCTTGTCATTGAATCTTTGCAGTAAAGTGCTTCTAACAATTGCTTACAATTTGGATTTGGATGGTACATATTTGGAGTATCAAAAAGCATGATCGGCGATGAAGCAACATAGATTCAAGTCTGATAAAAGTCTCGCGAAACGATTTACAATACCCATAAGCTTTTTAATACACCCCTCTAGATCTTCTACCTTAAAGTCCTCAGCTATTTTCGTTTTGTCACATTCATGCAATTGCTCAGCCTCGTAAAAAGTGATCTTATCCTTATAGTAGCCTTGCATATGCACTAAACTGTAAAAGCTCTAGCTTTGCATGGCCCTGTCGAAAAAAAGTTCGAGATAAGTGCAATCACCAAAAAAAAAGTTCCGGCGCATCAATACCTCAATTTGTTGGTGTTCATATCGCCATCAAAAAGGTTTTCGATCTTTAAACAATTGGAAATTATGGTCGGCCAACGCAAAGCAGTGTGAGTTTGGAACAACTACTACAAATTTTCTACTCTTGAGCGCTAACTTCGACAACAACAGAGATCAGCGCATCCCCGCGCTCATTCGCAATGGCATACAGGAGAAGAAACGAAGCTTCATTGTGGTTGTTGGAGACAGAACAAAAGATGTCATTGTACATCTACACTATATTATGTCCAGTATGGATATGAAACAGAACAAATCGGTTATGTGGGCATACAAGAATAAGCTTTTAGGTTTTACGAGGTCTGTATTGACATCCGTTGTCCTTAGAAGCTGCATACTGACATACTTGTTGCTTATAGTCATCGGAAGAAGAGAGAAACTAAAATCAAGAAAGAAATTAAACGCGGAATCAGGGAAGCTAACACAGAGGATCCATTCGAGCTGTTTGTGTCGCTGCACAACATTCGATATGTTTACTATAAGGAAACCGAGAAAATCCTGGGAAACACATTCGGAATGTGTATACTGCAGGACTTTGAAGCCATTACACCGAATCTCTTAGCCAGAACGATCGAAACAGTTGAAGGTGGTGGACTTGTGGTTTTATTGCTCAAAGGCATGAACAGCTTAAAGCAACTATACACACTGTCCATGGATATTCATTCCCGATACCGAACAGAAGCGCACGATGATGTTACTGCGAGATTCAACGAACGATTCATTTTATCCCTTGGGAAATGCGAATCATGTCTGGTTATTGACGATGAGTTGAATGTTTTACCTATATCCGGAGGGAAGAACGTGAAAGCTTTACCTCCACCAGATTTGGACCAGCCAAAAAGTGAATCACAGTTAGAATTGGATAACATGAAAGAGGCCTTACAAGACACGCAACCAGTGGGATCCCTCGTTACTTTGGCGAAGACTGTAGACCAGGCCAAAGCCCTTCTGACATTCGTGGATGCTATCGCCGAAAAGACGCTGAGGAACACTGTCACGTTGACTGCCGGCAGAGGACGTGGAAAGTCTGCAGCTCTTGGTGTGGCTGTAGCAGCAGCTGTCGCGCATGGATATAGCAATATTTTCATCACATCCCCAAGTCCGGAGAACTTGAAGACTTTATTCGAGTTCATCTTCAAAGGTTTTGATGCTCTTAACTACATGGATCACGTCGACTACTCAATCATACAATCCACAAATCCTGATTTTAACAAAGCAATTGTTCGAGTGAACATACATCGTCAACATCGTCAAACAATTCAATATATCAGACCGCAAGATGCGCACGTTCTCGGACAAGCCGAATTATTGGTCATCGATGAAGCCGCGGCGATACCGCTACCCCTCGTCAAGAAGCTTATGGGTCCTTATTTGGTATTCATGGCGTCCACTATCAATGGTTACGAAGGTACTGGACGGTCCCTATCTTTGAAGTTGATTAAACAACTCCGAGAACAATCTAGAGGCACGACAAATGGAACTGGAGATGTTGAGATAGCTGATCGATTAAGTGGTAAGGCGGCTGCTAAAGGTGCTGATAATAGCTTCTCAGGAGGTCGCTCGCTAAGAGAGATCACGCTGTCTGAGCCAATTCGTTATGCACAGGGTGACTCCGTCGAGAAGTGGCTCAATCAATTACTCTGTCTCGATGCCACTTTACCTCGATCGAGATTGAATACTCTTCAAGGATGCCCAGATCCTTCACAGTGTCAGTTGCTCAACGTCAATCGCGATACCCTCTTTTCTTTTCACGATGTATCCGAAAAGTTTTTGCAACAGATGATTGCTCTTTACGTCGCTAGTCATTACAAGAATACCCCAGACGATCTTCAGTTGATGAGTGATGCTCCTGCTCATCAATTGTTTGTACTCGTTCCACCTATTGAAGAGAACAGTAAACACTTACCAGAGCCTCTTTGTGTGATCCAAGTGGCTCTCGAAGGAAAGATCAGCAAGCAAAGTGTCATGAACAGCTTGAGTAGAGGTCAGAGAGCGGCTGGTGATCTCATTCCTTGGTTGGTCAGTCAGCAATTTCAAGATGACGATTTCGCTGGTCTCTCTGGAGCACGCGTGGTTCGGATAGCAACAAATCCTGATTATATCAAGATGGGATATGGAAGCAAAGCTCTCGAACTTCTGACTGATTTCTATGAAGGAAAATTCGCTAACCTCTCAGAGGATATGAATGATTACGTGGAAGAGACAATTACTCGTGTCACCGACGAGGAGTTGACTAGTTCATCTCTTCTTGACGACAACATCAAGGTTAGGGATATAAGAAAAATGCCACCCCTCTTCTCGAAGCTATCCGAGAAGCGACCCGATAATCTCGATTATATCGGCGTCAGCTACGGACTTACTCAACCTCTCCACAGATTTTGGAAACGAGCCTCGTTTGTTCCCCTCTATCTTCGACAAACGCCGAACGAATTGACTGGAGAGCACACCTGTGTTATGGTTCGCACTTTGGAAAATAGTGAGAATAGAGACTGGGAGTCTGCTTTCTCTAGAGATTTCCATCGCAGATTCTTGTCTCTCCTTTCGTACCAATTCCGCGAATTCCCTTCCGTCTTGGCCTTGAGTATTGACGAATCAGCAAATGCCGGTTCAAAATCAGACCCAGAAGCCGCACCCAAGCCACTTTCAAAAGCAGAGTTAGACAAACTCATGTCGCCATTTGATCTTAAGCGCTTGGAATCCTATGCAAATAATATGCTTGACTACCACGTCATTCTAGATCTCATTCCAACACTTGCGAACTTATATTTCACTGGTCGTTTGAAGTCTGATATCAAGCTCACAGGTATTCAATCATCGATACTTCTTGCTGTCGGCCTGCAAAGAAAAGACCTAACAGCCATCGAATCGGAATTATCGCTTCCGTCCTCCCAACTATTAGCCATGTTCATTAAGATCATGCGCAAAATGAGTGCACACTTTGGCGACCTGGTTTCCGGGGCTATAGAAGCCGAGATGCCAGGGCGCGAAAGCATCGGAGTCAGCAGAGAAGATGCAAATGGAGCTTTGGATGATGAAGTTGTAGATGACAGATTTGTGCCCCTAGAACAAGGACTCGAAGAAGAATTGGAAGAAGGTGGAGATGAAGCTATGAAAGCTTTAAAAGAAAAGCAAAGGGAGCTTATTGATGCTCTTCCTTTAGACCAGTATGTTTTCAATATCAGTACTTCCGGGAATTAAAATGCTAATCCATTGACCAGATATGAAATCGAAGCAGGGGCACCAGGTTGGGCAGAAGCCGAGGAACAGGTTAAAAATGCCGCTAAATCCGGAAAGAAGGATATAGTAGTTGGTGTAAAGAGTGCCAAAACAAAGAGAAAGGCAGGGGAATCAGCAGCAGAAATTTATGAACAGGAGATGGGTGAAAAGGCGCATAAAAAAGCAAAGAAGGGTTCTAAAAAGGGTCATTAGTTCTCTCGTTTCCCATCAGTGTAATCTAAATCCTGTATATACCTTGTACTTAATGAAAGAAATTATATGGAATATCTCTTAGAAATGAGTCCTTCAGTCAATGTATATGAATTTGAATTTGACAGCGACACGTATCAAAAGTTCACCAAAGTACTCAATTATTCATGACCTTAACAAGCCGCATTTGAAAGGCTGCCTGATACACAACCTCCACCAAACAAAACTTTTCAAACTCTTTCCACAAATTTTCACCTCAAATTTAAAAAAAAATCATGACGGATACCAAAGATACCAAATCAGAAACTCCATGGTGGAAAGCATTTCCAGAAGCAAGAGCAAAATGTCCGGAAATCACAGCAGATGATATGATGAAGTTGTTTGATGATATGGATATTACATCTGAGCCGAGGAGTTTCTTGTTGGTGGATGTTAGGAGGGATGATTGGATGGTATGCTATTTCTTGCTTTTTTTGGTTTTTGTATTCGTTTCTTTTGCTTTGATGTGTATGTATATGAGTGGGAATGCGGGAATGTGTGATGTGGTGATATGGGAATCATTCCCTTTGAGGTTGATTTGTTTCTGATAGCTATGTGTAATCCAATCCATAGGGCGGAACAATCAGAACCTCACTTAATCTTCCCGCGCAAAGTTTCTATCAAACCCGGAAGACGCTCTTTGAGCTCTGTAATAGAGCGGCTATGACAAAGGTTATTTTCTATTGTGGTATGTATTTCTGTGCGTTCTAGTTTTGGGAAATGAGATGGGTGTTGATGAGGTGTAGGGTCGTCGTCAGGTAGAGGTCCAAGATGTGCTGGTTGGATGCAGGACTATATTGATGATGTAGCGAAGTTTGGGAAGAAGAGTAATATTGAAGTTCTGGTCTTGAAAGGTGGAATAAAGGGTTGGGTGAAGGAGTTTGAGGGGATGTTTATGGATGGGTTTGAGGAGGGGAAGTGGGAGGAGGCTAAGTAAAAGAGGATGGGTTATCATGTCCAGTCGAATTTCACGACATCTGGATAAATGAGGTGCAGAACTTTCTTTGGGAGGGGTATAATTTATTGGAACCATGGTTCATCTTGCAAAACATATTGTCTTTTCTTCTTCCGCGCTCCTCGATATGCAATTTGTATTCATAGCCTGTAAACGCCCTGGTCCAGATGTAATCTTCGATTTTCTTTTCCTTCATATCCCTTGAAGTCTCAATATAAATCCATAATATTCCTCCTTCCCTTCTCAATCTCCTCTGTTTTCCCTTCCGCCACCTATTCTCTCCAATGCCTCAAGCATAACGACTGAGTTTCCACGAATAACCTAATGCGCTATTAGTCTTTGAATGAGTGCGCGGCAGATATGTGACTACATACGACCATTCCAATCTTCACTTTCTCACCACCCTCCTTCTCCTCAACTGCATCGTCTAGCACAATGTTTAAGAAGACCTATTTCATCTTGTCAGCCCCATTGGATTTGGATGCGCGCGAGGGAACCAACATCGTAACCTCTCAAAACACCAATGACCTTTCTGCTACCATTCAACTGCACAAATAGTCTCTTATCGAGGTACTACACAGGCAAGAGAGTTAGCAATCAATTCTCCAACCATTCTCCTTTCCACAAGCTTTCGCGCAACAGCTTCAATCCATCGCCTGGTCGCGTTCCTCAATCTCGCTCTTCTCTACTTTCATTTCACCAGGTCTTCGGGAATTCCACACACCTTTTTAAGCTCTGGCTGAGCTTGAGGCATGTTGACGGTAGATTTGGTATATTCGTCGTGAAGATGTCGTGAAATTGGAAGCTTGATTGCATGCTCTAGATGGAAACAACTCCAAAATTTTGTGGCTTGCTTGGGGTTTCGTGAGGCTGGAGTTTGTGATCACGTGGTGATAAGAAGATGGTATTTTATTTATCGTAGATGGCGAGGCAGAGCTTCTTTGGACGCGTCTCTATTTACTACAATTGGAGTGTATGATTTCTATTTTACGGGGCATTTATGCGAAGTTCTGATCGGCAGACTTTTCAAATTGGTAAGAAAGTCTGACTAGAAGAAAAGATGTCGGCAGTTCGAAAACCGCTCAAGAAATCCAATTTGCGCCGGAGTATCGCATTTGATGACTTGACGCAAGAAGGGGACGATGTGCCAAAGAGCGATACTCCTAGCGGTGGCAATGCTACAGACAAATCTCCGGTAGTCAAAACTACTCCCTTTAAAAAGAAGAAGAGACCGGCATCATCACGTCTCTCGTTTGGAGTAGGTGACATCATATCTGGTTCCGATGCCGAAACCCTCGAGGATGATGAATCGTTTACTCTAGTAAAGAAACCACTTGCTCGAAAAGTCGCAGAAGGAAATGCGAAGAAAACTAATGCAAGATTACCTTTGCCGATGAGGGCCAGGGATGAAGATGAAGATGAGGATTCGGGAATGGGAAGACCGACTTATAGTAAGGATTACTTGAAGGAATTGAAGAGTTCGCAGGCTAGTGCTATGAAAGAATTGGCAGATGTGGAGATTGGTGGAGGAGAGGAACCGTTCTTGGATGCGAGTGAGTTAGATGGGGCTATGGTTGTGGATTTGGAGGGGAATGGAGATACGGTTGGGGAGTTTGGGGGAAGTACAGCGTCGGTTATACCTACGGAGGCGGAGATTAGGGAGAAGAAAGAGAGGAGGGCTAGGATGGCTAGGGAAAAAGATTTCATTTCTTTGAATGATGATGAACCTGATGGAGGACGAAATATGTCACTTCTTTCTCGGCAAAAGAAACCAGAATCAAGATTGGTTAGAGACGATGAAGAAATCATGGAAGGTTTTGAGGAATTCGTAGACGATGGAAGAATCTCGCTAGGAAAGAAACAAGAACGTGAGGAACGACGTCGTCGTAAGAAAGAAATGGCAGACCTGATTCAACAAGCCGAAGGTAGCTCAGATGAAGAGAGTGATGATTCGGAAGCGGAAAGAAGAGCCGCATACGAAGCTGCACAAACAAGAGCTGGTATGGATGGATTGCATAAACATGATGATTCAGCTGCCGCCAGGGAAGAAAATCAGATTCCTGCTAGGATTACACCAATACCTGTATTATCAGAGTGTCTGGAAAGATTACAAAATACGTTAAATACAATGAAACTCGAACTTTCCAAGAGGAAAAAGAAGATTGAAGAAGGACAAAAGGAAAAATCAGATATTATTAAAAGGGAGCAGGAAGTTCAAGTACTGTTAACTCAGGCGGGTCAGAGATATTCGTCATTGAAAGCAGATGCTCAAGTGAAGGAGCTGGAAATGGCTGATGTGAAGGAATTGGTTGATAAGAGTAATGAGATGGCGCGGGAGAGGATAGGAGGTCGCGATAGGGGTTTGGAGAGTTTTGGAAATACGCCTGTAGGGAGGGGAGAAGTGGTTGATGGTTCGTGAGTTGGATTTAAAGAATAGATCTTATAGTTAGGAGTTAATACCATTAATATTCCACATTGTACTCGAGTATATTTAGTCTAATCCACTTCTTTGCCTGCGCAAAGATGGAGATATTGATATTCAAATCGCAAGATGCAACAAAGATTAAATAAATGAACAATTCGAAATACCCTCTCTCTCTCCATATAAGAAATCCCCAACCAACCTTCCATCCCTTTCAATCCCCTCCCTACTTCATCCCCATAACTCATCAATCAATGAATCAATAAGTCTAGGACCCTACTTTCAGGCCACCCTCAATTTAGACCACCCTTTTACATCAAAAATCACCATTTTCAATTATTAATAACTTTAAAATTAATCAATAAAATTTAATAAAATTTGAATCATAGATTTATTATATAATTATAAAACAATTTTAAAAATCAAAAGAAGAAGAAAATTAAAAAAGTTTTTTAGTATTTTCTTTTATAAAAAAAAAAAAATATTCAATTATTAAATTATTGTTGATATCACTTCAGTGATACGATTGCAATGTAATGTATTACCTTCTTGTATTTTGTTCATGGATGATTATTATTTATTTAGAGGAGAGAGACTTATTTATATTGAAAGGGGTACGGGCTAGAATGCACTAGTCGTGCAGCTCTCTTTGTATACGGCTCCCTTTCGAGGTTGATCATATGATGTACCGATAATATAACCTTGTTGTATACGAGGTTTACCCGGTGTAGTGTCACGATTCACGATTAAGATAAGGATATGTTGAGGGGCAGCAGTCAACGTGTCCATATGAGTTTAGGCCTTATCGAAAAGCAAGGCGATTTGTATACAAATTTGTATGGTAATCGCTTTATATAATCTCCCTATCTTTAGCAAGCTTGGATATATAATCTGATCCTAATCATATGATAAGAAACTTTAGAAACTTCGAAAACTTTTAGAGCTTTAAAAGCTTTTTGGAGTTTTAAAATTCTATAAAACTTCTTTATATTTATTAGTATATAATCAAAATAGTTTTATAATTTAAAAACTTTATATTCAATTTAGTTATCAATTAATTTATTTATATTCCAATTGATTTAATAATATATTCATTTTCGAATAGATAATTAGTGATTATTAATCTTAATCTATAATTATTAATTATACAAAAATCTGAAATAGTTATTATCTTAATCAGATTATTATATTTTGAATATTATTATGATTAAGCTATATATAATATAATAATTTTCAATTAACAATCTATCGAATTATCTTTATTTAATTCAATCGAAATCTTTATTCAGATTATTGTTATTATAGAATATAAACAAATAATTTAGATATTCATTTTTAATTTATTTTATAAAGATTATAATAAATATTGAACTTTTGTTATACAAATTGATCTTTATTATACTTTTAATAAACAATTTTTCTTGATTTTTATATAAAGAATTTTATAATTGATTTCCTTTTTCTAAGGAATTATATTCAATTGAATTGAATTATTTTTCAACAATTTAATAATCAAGATTATCAATAATCAATTAAATGAGAATATGAAATCTGAGATTTATTATTTTTTCTTTAATTATAAATTGTTTCGATAAGGATTTGATAGAATATTCAAGGAAGTAGACCCTGATTATATAGCTAAAAGAACATTATAATAATTTAAACAAACTAAATTAATCATAATCTATACTATCAAGTTTCAACAATATATCAGATATATTATATAGAATAATAACTATCTAAAATCATAATTTTATAAAGAATTAAAGGATATTATAAAAAACGAATTAGTAAAAACTCTAAAACTATCTAATCTTTTCAAATTAATTGAAACCTTCATTTTTATTAACAATTGATTTTATAAATAACAAATAAAGAAAAAAGGAATTATTTAAAAAAATAAGAAGTTTCAAAAACCTTATCGTCAAAACAAGTATTATGATATTAATAATCCAATAGAATTAAATAATATCAAATGATATTATATAAAGTCAAATAATCTAAATATTAATAAAAAGAAAAGATATAAAAAGAATAATTTATATTATATTTATAGAAAAAACAGATATATATTTTGAGATTGTTTTTAAAAAAAGAAATTATTTATTATAAAAAATAAAAAACAAATAAAATTTAGGAATAGAAAACAAGGTTCTCGAAAAGTAAGAATTCTAAAAGGAAATTCAAAGAAAATAGGATTATTGAAAAAAGATCTATTTCAATTCAATTCTAAACAATTAAAAGAATTGAATAATAATAATCAAAACTCTAAAATTAATATTAAGAATAGTATCAATTACAAAAGAAAACCTTTAAAAAACCTCGAATTAGAAAACAAAAAATCAATCAAAGAATTCGAAAAGGATTAACAAACAATTAAATTTCATTATTTATTTTAAGAAAATAAATTATAATATTTAATCAATTATTTAAATAAAAAACAAATATAATATTATTATAAAGAAAAGAAACCTGATTTCATTAAGAAATATAAAATTTATAATTATTTCATTTTGTTAACATTTTATATAATAATATATAATAATACTTATTATATAATATTTCAAAAAAATATTAAAACAAATAATATTAAAAGATATATTACAAATATAAGATCTTTATTCTTCAACGAAATATAGAAATATAACAAATATAATCTGAAAGTTAAGAAAATATAGAAAATCCTATTACAAATCGAGATTTGTTATATTTAATAAAAAATCGATAAAAATAACGAAAAAGTATTAAATTAAGATTATTATCAAGATTTTCAAACAAGATTAATAGAATTACTATTCATTATATTCTATTAATTATTAAGTATAAACAAATATCAATATAAATAACTGAATCTTTTTATTAAAGAACAAATTATTAAATTATTATTATTAGAACTTAATAATACTATAAGAATCGAACAATTGATTATAATAATCAAATTAAGGAATCAATAAACCAATATCTTAATTGATTCTGAAATTATAAATATATTTATAGATTCTAATTTCATTAAAAAGAATAGAATTCCTATAGAATTAAAACAAAATCTTTATTAATTAATACTATTAAAAAGAAAGAAAATTGGAATTGATAATTGAGTATATAAAGAAATCAATATTATCAAGATGATTATATTAAACAAATATATCGAATAGATCAAAATGGATTTAATATTATTGAATAGATATACAATTATCCTTGATATTTTATAGATTAAAAAATACAATTCAAATATCAATTAAATAAAAGATACTTTAATATTCGATTGTTATAATTACGATAACAAATGATTATATAATCCGAAAGAACAGATTTCTTAGAAAATCGAATATTATATTATAATAACAATAAATCTTTTATTAATCGATAAAATCGATGAAAAAGAAATTCCAATATAATATAAAAGATTTGTTAAGCTTTTCGAAGATCTATAAGATTTAAAGGTTTTATTAAAATATAAACCTTAGAATTATAAAATCAATTTCAAAAAAGAGTTTGTATTT